ATTACTAGATAATCACTGATAATTACAGGGTGGCTAGAGCTGTAGTAGAAAGAAAGGAATTAGAGACACTAGAATCAGAGACAAACTGGAGAAGATTGGATCCCAGTTTCCTTAACATCAGATGAATACATATTCAGGAAAGATAATAAAATGTATACAACCACAGTTCTAACAATATGCAAAATTATTTATCTTACACAATAGTCTCAAACATTTGTTTATTGATCCATCCAATTGAGACAGTGTTTTTACTTTTTATTATTAAAATATTTTAAATATTTTTATTGATTTTTAGAGAGAGAGGAAGGGAGAGGGAGAGAAACATCTATGTGAGAGTGAAACATGGATCAGCTGCCTCCTGTATGCCCCCTATGGGGGATCAAGCCTGCAACCTCAGCATGTTCCCTGACCAGGAATCAAACCAGCAACCTTTCAGTGCCTGGGATGACGCCCAACTAACTGATCCACACTAGCCAGGGCCATTTTTCAAAATTTTATTGAATTTATTGGTTAATAAAATTGTATCGGTTTCAGCTGAGACAGTATTTTTTAACTCCCCATTAAATAGATGATAAACTTCCTTCCTCCTCATTATTTCCAAACATGTATGGATATACCATTAATTTTATCCACCAAGATTTAAAGCATTTACCTTCTGTTGGGTAACCATAATTAAGTATCCATGTGACGTGAATATTAACAAAGGTAGCTAGTGAGGGCATCCTCCGATGTTACTGATCTCTTCCCCTCTTATTGAGAGAGATGACTTTGAAGTCCACATGTGGATGTTGATGTGAAGGCTTCTCATTAGGAGGCTTGGTGAGGGGAGGTAGAGGAGTGACTGGGTAGGCATTTGCGCATACACACATACACACATACACACGGAGATGTACGCAGACACATCCTTATACTGCCAAAGAGAGGAAGTCCTACTCTAGGATGCCAACTCCTGTTTTGAGAGCCCTCGCCCCTGCCATGAAGAAATTTCCATCTCTGCTTTACTATGAGGGAAAAGCTGTACATTTGTTAGGAAGATTGGATGAGTTAATATTCGTAAAAGTATTTAGAACAGATTGAGGGAGTAGGGCTGACTCAGTGCTCAGTAAACATTAGCTATTACTATTATAAAGCCTCTGCAACTTGTTTTCTTTTTTAGAAACTTTTTTTCTTTATTGATTTTAGAGTGTAAGGGAGAAGGAGAGAGAGATAGATACATCGATGACAGAGAACATCGATTGGCCGCCTCCTGCATGCCCTCCACTGGGGATTTGGCCCACAACCTGGGCATGTGTCCTGACCGGGAATCGAAGCAGCAACCTCTTGGTCCATGGGCTGATGCTCAACCACTGAGCCACACCAGCTAGGCTGTAACTTGTTTTCAATGTTCACGATAAGACATGCGAATGTAGTTGATTTACCTCTAACTGTTCTATACTATTTGTTTGCATATATAATACATTTATTTGTTTCCCTATTGATGGATATTAGACCATTATCAAATTTGTTATTACAATGTTGCAAGAAATACCCTTATACACATATCTGTGGGCACATATGGGGTGTCCAAAGGGAACGTAGAGGTGGGGGTTAATTACTGGATATTGACTATACACTGTTTGACTTAACTCAGTATCACCAAATAGCTATTTAGCAATATATGATAGTTTCTATTTCTCCATATTCTTAACAACACAGTGTAAAACACTTTAAATTTGCAAATATTATAGTTCAAAATTGTATTTTATTGTTTAATTTGCATTTACCTGTAACTAGTGAGATTTGTGCATCTTTTCCTTTGTTTATTGGCCATTTGGGGTCCTTTTCAGTTAACTGTATGTTTAATATATGTTTATATATTGTATCATGCTTCTATTTTTTCCCACTTACCCGAGGATATTTTTCTATTTATTATCAGATAGAGTGGGAGGGAAGGAGAGAGAGAGAGAGAGACACACACACACACAGAGAGAAACATCAGTGTGACAGAGCCACATTGACTGGTTGCCTCCCACAGGACCCTAGCAGGGCTGGGGACGAACTGCAACCAAGGTATGTGCCCTTGACTGGGACTTGAACCTGCAACCCATTGGTGCGCGGGCTGATGCTCTAACAGATGAGCCAAACCAGACAGGGCTCACGCTTCTATTATTTATTTATTTATTTATTTATTTATCCTCACCCAAGAATATTTTTCCATTTATCTTCAGATAGAGTGGCAGGGAGAGAGAGGGAGAGAAAGGGAGAGAGAGAAAAACACCCACCTGAGAGGGACACATCAACTGGTTGCTTCCCACTCGACCAGGGTGGGGGAGGAACTGGAACTGAGGTACCTGCCCTTGGTCAGAATGGAACCCGAGACTCATAGGTCCGTGGGCCGATGCTCTACTGCTGAGCCAAACCATCCAGGGCGCTTCTATTTCTTAAAAAATTAACTTGTAGGCAGCCTAGATATATTCTAGATATGGAATAAAGGTTGATGTTCACATTTTTGGCTTGGACAAGTGGGTGGATTGTGTGCTATTTAAATGGATGAAGAAGCATAATGGAAAACAAGTTTTAGGAGTAATATCAGGAGTTTACTTTCAGACAAATTTGAGATGCTTTTGAGTCATCCAAGAGAACAAGTCTGTGCCACAGAGATACGTTTGGGAGTTGTCAGCTTACAGATGGTATGTAAAATGATAGCAATGCATGTGGTTATCTCCCAAGAGAATTGGAAGAGACTTGACAAGAGAAGGATGCTGAGATGGAGGATGAGTAGAGAAAACTAGAATTGTGTGATATCATGGAAGCCAAGAGAGGAACCTGCTCCTTTTTTTCCCCTTCAATTTTTGTAATGGCTGCATAAGGTTTCATTGTGTGGCCCTGGCCAGTCTGGCTCAGCGGTTGAGTGTTGGCCTGCGGACCAGAGAGTTCCGGGTTCAGTTCCCACTAGGGGCACGTAACACACACACACACACACACACACACACACACAAGATTTCATTGTGTGGGTGTACCCTAATTGTTCTTTTATTTGGAATTTGGATTTATGTCAGTGCTTTTCTATTATAAGCTACACTTTGATAAACATTCTTATAGATTCATCTTTTTTCGCCACTGATTATTTCCTTTGGTACTCCTATATGTAGGTGGAAGAGTATGCCTGTTTAAAACCTTTTACTGTGAGTTCCACATGTCTTCTAGAAAGGTTGCCTTTATTTATATTCCAACCAGAATAAATTTGCTTTTTTCCTCCATTCTGGCGGTAGTGGAAAAGTGGTGAGAACTACATATTGCATATCAACATTTTTAATGGTTGTAAAGTGTGCCATTGTATGAATATTCATAATTTTTTTTCCCATGTTTTGTTCAGATAGAGTGGGAGGGAGAGAGAGAGAGAGAGAAACATCGACGTGAAAGGGACACATCGAATGGTTGCCACCCGCACGACCCAACCAGGGCCAGGGACAAACTGCATCGGAGACACGTGCCCTCAGCGGGAACCGAACCCGGGTCTCTCGGGACTGCAGGTTGATGCTCTAACCGCTGAGTCAAACTGGCCAGGGCAAATGTTCATAATTTATTTTACCAATTATATTGTCGCCCTGGCCGGTTTGGCTCAGCGGTTAGAGTGACGGCCTGCAGTCCCGAGAGACCCAGGTTCGGTTCCCGCTAAGGGTACGTACCTCGGTTGCAGTTTGTCCCCGGCCCTGGTTGGGTCATGAGGGTGGCAACCACTCAAAGTGTCCCTTTCACATCGATGTCTCTCTCTCTCTCTCTCCCTCCCTCCCACTCTATCTGAACAAAAAATGGAAAAATGTCCTTGGATAAGGATAAAAAAAATTATATTGTCTTCTATTTTTGGTATTACAACTAGTATTGTAATTAATAGCTTTTTCAGCTTAATCTTTTTGCTCACTCTTAACCTGTTCCTTAGAATAATTTCCTGAAAGTGGAAATGATGAGTCAAAAGTATTTTCATTTTTAAAGCTGTGGAGACAGATAAATCACCCTCCAGAAAGTTTGTGCTCTTCTTATCAGCAGGGATATCACTACTCTTCGGGAATTACCTGGAGAACTACACCTTTCATGGCTTCTATTAGGCTAAATGGATCCGGTATATCTTTATATAAAAACTATGTGCAAATAAAATTCTTTAATATAATTTTTGCACGTTGCATGCCAGATATTGAGGCCCCAAATCTGAAAGGCTTGTATTCTAGCTATATTATCTGATCTGTGATCTAACAATTATTTCCAACAGCATTGTGCTGGCGACCAAGTCATCAGCGACATTTCCCCAGGGCAAAGAGGGAGGAGACTTGAAGCTAAGGGCTTCAAAAATTAATCTAGTGTGGCCGTGGGGTCACTTGGAAAAGGCTCTCTCTCAGGCTCTGTCTCATTTCAGTTGAAAGTTCAGTCTCAAAACCAGGGAAATTTTTGTTAGGTTGGATTCGTTTTGGAATCTGGTTGACGTTTCCCGGTTTTTAATTTGTTTTAATTGGCATTTTCTGTATTGTGCTTTAACGGTTGGCCAAAATAGGTTCAGTTCTCTTTGACGTTCTTACAGATGCTTTTGAAAAAAAACAAAAACAAATGATACATAGTCACGGTTGTTTCTGCAAAGAGGAAACATTTGGGTTAGAAACTCCGCAGACACCGGATTCCTGGAGCGGTACCCGTGTCGGCGTGAGACGTGAGCGCTCTGATTCATCTGAGGGTACTCAGGTCTCGGGGACGCCGAGAAGGGGCACCGGGGGGCGCAGGCGCGGGCGCACAGGGGTGTGGCAGGTGCCCAGCCCGGCTGCCTGAGGACCAGCCCACCCGGAGGCCCGCGCCAGGGGGTCGTCCCTGCGGGACCATCCTTCCCGCCCTCCGGAAGGGGCGGAGACCGCTGCTGGCCCCGCCCCCTATGGAGGCTCCGGGGAGGCCTGGGCGGGACTTCCGCTCGCGAGGGGTACTTCCGTGTTCGTCGGCGATCGCTGCGGGAGCGGAGTGAGGTGCCGTCCGGCGGGTCGGGGGCTGGGCTGCGGCCCGCGCTGGGCCGGCGATGCTGGGCGGGAGCCCCGAAGCACCGGAGCACGAGGCTGAGGGCGACGGGGCGGGGGTTCTTCCTGCGCCGCCTGTCATCGACTTCCCGACGGAGGGCTCGGACCCCAAGTACGATGGTGAGGGACCCGGAATGCCGCGGCGGCCCTCCCCTTGCCCCCTGCACCTTCATTCTCGGGTGCAGAGAGCTTGGCTCAGGGGCCTGGGCAACTTCTGCTGGGTCCGGGCTCGAGCGGGGCGTGGGAGAGGAGCGGGCCGGCTCGGGCAGTGTGAACCCCGGAACGAGCGCCGGCGACCCGCCGGGTCTTTTGTTCACGTTTGTGCTCTCGGTGTCCCCTGCGCACTCAGCGCTCCCCCGAGGCCCTTCCAGTCCCGAGCCTGCGGGTTGGCCAGGCGGTGAGCCGGCGCTGTGCCGCCTGCCAGGACGGGACCGTGCACGCCCAGCGCCGAACAGTTCGGGCTGTGTTTTGATGTGTGGCTTCTCTTTGTCTTGCTTCACCCATGGGGCAGCCGAAGACGTCTCGTCGTGAGGCGGTGTGGCAGTCCTCCTCTTCGGTTAAGAAAAAAAAAAAAAGGTCCACGTTTTCGTGAGGCTTTTGGTTACTTGGACATACGAACCCCTCGTCCAAGTTCTTAGACGACGTAAAGTGAGAGGTGCTCAAAACGTTGACTCGAACCAGTCCGAAGTAGCCGGTATTTTAAGGAACGTGCAGTGGGGCTCTCGAATTGCAACCAGTTGTCCTGGCCATTTAAAAACAATCAATTTGTGCTATCAAGATTGACTACACTGAGCCTTAGGTAGCGGCAGCATCATAGCCAATGAGGTTTATCAGAGGCGCGATGATTGCTAATTGAAAAGGAAAAAAAAAGAATGAATTCAGGGAGGTGTTTTCCTATAGGGTAGTTCTACTAGGATGGTTATAGAGAATACACATTCAGTTGAAGCATGAAGCAGCTGTTAACATGTTAAAATCGATTTTTAAAATATGTCTTTATTGATTTTTTTTTTTTTTTTTTTAAGACAGAGAGGAAGGGAGAGAGAGCAATAGAAACATTGATGTGGCAGAGAAACATCCATAGGCTGCCTCCTGCACACCCCTACTGGGGATGGAGCCCACAACTCAGGCACGTGCCCTGATGGGGAATCAGCCTGGACCTCTCAGTCCATGGGAGGACACTCAGTCCATCGAGCCACACTGCCGGGCTGTTAGAATTGATTTAGAGGTGCAAGCTGAGTTGAAAAGGTTTTAATTTCTTAAATTCTTTTATTTTCACCCTTAATACCACCTATAATTCTTGATCCCAAAGGGAGACAAAAACAGACTTTGGACAAGTTGTAAGGTAGCTATTTCGCTGTGGACAGACCGACCTTTAGAGCAGCTCCGTAGTACATAGGATTACGTCATAGGAAAAGGCCCAGTTGTAAACACGCAAGTCTGCCTTTTCTGTAACGTTGTGATAAGGTTTTCTGCAAACTGAAGATTATTCTTGCAGGGTGTGATCTTAGATTAACTTCTAAAAATGTCCTTCTCCTAGGTTACTAATAACACCGCTGTGTTTACATATTGCCTTTTCTTCCAAAGACGCCCACAAAGTCCAGGCATAATTTTATCTTTTTAGGTGAAAAGTGGGGTCGGAAAAATGTAGTTTTATTTGTGGTAGACATGAAAACAGATAGTTCAATGGTTTCTCTGAGGTCTTCTATCTGATGTGAGGTTAATGGCAGAGTCAGAAAATTCAAAACCTAGGTGTCACTCTGAAACCTGTGCTCCGGGATTTTATCGGGCAGGGATTCTCCTAGAGCCAGCAGCAGCCTCTGATCAAAGTTACTGTTTTTATCTTCCCCGCACCCACCCCGTTAGAAGGAGGGTCAACAGTAAGCCCATTGTCAGACTCATTCATTTTTCTTCTTTTCACCGGACACGAGTTTTCCAGAATTTTTACCTCAGATTAATTCTCCAGGTTCCTCTTTCATTTAATAATGGACCTTTTGGGTCATACTTTCCTGAGGAGGTTGAATTAGGTGATCCCGTTTCTGTTTGTCTACTCCCCTCCCACTCGGCAGCAGCCTAGCCCTCTAGTTCACCTAGGATTGACATCTTACTTCTTACTCTTTTATAAGAGGACTTGATCTCATCTTTCCCTTTGGCCACTTTCCTCTTGGTTTCCTGACCAGAACTGTGAGATGGGAAGCTTTCAGCTTATTTCCTTTTCATTTCACTCCCTGCATGAGTATTTGTTCACTGGTCTTTTTAGAGGTGTCATGTTCTTGATATATTAGGTTGATTTACTTCACAGATCAACCATTCTTTTTTTTTCTTATTAAAAAGTAGAATTTTCTCATTATAGATCATGGAAAAGTATAAGAGTATAAAGAAGCAGGAAACCCTCCTAACCATAATCTCACCATTGTCAACAATTCAGTATCTGTATTGTTAAAATTCACTTTACAGAGTATGTTGAAAATACTATATAACAATGCAGAAGAGCCCAGCTGGTGTGGCTCAGTGGTTCAGCGTCACCCATGCACCAAGAGGTTGCCAGTTCGATTCCCTGTCAGGGCACATGCCCAGGTTGTGAGCCAAATCCCCAGTGGGGGACATGCAGGAGGTGCCATCGATGTTCTCTCTCCCTCTCCCTTACTCTCTCTCTAAAATCAATAAAGGAAAAAAAATTTTCAAAAAAACAGAAGAGAAGAAATTTAAAAAGAAGAAAAATTTAAAGCTGTAATCTCATCACCAGAGGTTAGTGTTTATGTCTTGGTGTAGCTAGAGACAACTTAGATGGATTTTGCGTTTAAAACTTTGTCAAAGAAAGGTATTATGAGTGGATTAAATCTTTCTATCTGATTTTGTCCAAATAAGATAGAAATTCAGATAAATAATTCACAGAAATTTAAAGGAGTAAGGAAAAAAGGGATAGTCACCTGTACTGGCATCCCTGAGGAGAACTCACTGCTAACAATTTGGTGTCTTTATTTGCACACTATTGAGAGCTGCTGTAGGCCAGGGAGATGCCTAGGTACTAAGGAGCAACCAGGCAGACTCTAAAACAGCTTGTCATGTCATTTCATTCCTTTTACAAATTCTACTGATAGAACGTTAAAAACATAGGGGGTAGATATTTTGTTCATTCCATTCTTTTTGTGTATGTAGATTTATAGAGCTATAAAATAAATATTTTTTAAAATTGTGATGTATACATGTGACATTATATTAGCATTCTTTTGTGACAAATTAGCCGTTAAAATATTATTTTAGGTCCTGGCCTATTTGGCTCAGCGGTTAGAGCGTTGGCCTGTGGTCCAGAGAGACCCAGGTTCGGTTCCCGCTAAGGGCACATACCTCGGTTGCAGTTTGTCCCCAACCTTGATTGGGTTGTGTGGGTGGCAACCACTTGATTTGTCTCTTTCGCGTCGATGTTTCTCTCTCTCTCTCTCTCTCCCTCCCACTCTATCTGAACAAAATATGAAAGGGTGTCCTCGGGTGAGGATAAAAAAATATATATATATATATATATTAGGACTATTACATTCTGTTAGTCTTTGTTCTGTTGTTGGAAAATAGGTCTGTCTTTTTCTTCTTCTTTTTCTTTTTATCATTAGAATAATAATGGAGGCCCTGGACCATGTAGCTAAGTTGGGTGGAGTGTCTTCCCATACACCAGACTGTGGTGGGTTCAGTTCCCGGTTAGGGTATATACCCAGGTTGTGGATTTGATCCCCAGTCGGACTGTGTGCAGGAGGCAACTGATTGATGTTTAACTCTCACATTGATGTTTCTCTCTCTCCTCACTCCTTCTCCCCCTCCCTCTTTCCTTCTCAATAAAAGCAAGTCCTCATGTGAGGATTTAAATTAACAAACAAATAAATAGAAATAATAATGGGTTTGACATCTGTATACATGAATCTTTGTTAATATCTTTTTTTAAAAAGAACTACCCTGCTTTGTTTATTTATTTGTTTTTATCTTCACCCGAGGACATTTTTCCATTTTTTGTTCAGATAGAGTGGGAGAGAGAGAGAGAGGGAGAGAGAGAAACATCGACGTGAAAGGGACACATCGAGTGGCTGCCACCCGCATGACCCAACCAGGGCCGGGGACAAACTGCAACTGAGGTACGTGTCCTTAGCGGGAACCGAACCTGGGCCTCTCTGGTCCGTGGGCTGAGGCTCCAACCGCTGAACCAAACCGGCCAGGGCCATTTCTTTCTTGATATCTCTGGGACCTATTTTTTCCTCCATGTTCCTGTCACTTAACCTCCTGTACTCCTGTTAGCTCACTCTAACTTCGTGCTGACTGTCACATGCCTCCTTCCAGGCTACTACTACTGTTTCCAGGACAGTTTACTGAAACGTTTTCTCTTCATTGTGTTCTTGGCCTGTTCAGTAATGTATTACATAAGCAGTAAGTGAGAACTTATGACCTTCAGTTGAAGTGCAAACTCGTTTGTCTGGTTGGTCTTGTGTAGTGGAAAGAGGATGATGGCCTTGGGAGTCAGTCCGAGCTGCCTGCTTCAAGTTCCTTACCCTCTCTCTCTATGAGATCGGTGCCCTCATCCATAGAATGGGATGGGAATACTTACCTTTTACTGTCCTGTGAGGGTTCAATGAGATCATGCATATAAAACACCTGTACATGCGTAGCATATATTCAGTAAAGTTTTGGTCCTTCCTCCCTTTCCCTTTCTCCTCTACCATATTTTTGTCTTTATGCCTGGGCCTAGGCTGTCCTCTTGGCAGAAGGAAGCCATGCATACAGGAGGCATTTCTGCCTGTTTGCTTGCATATTCATTAAGTCATTTATTCATTTCTACCTTTGCAGACATTACTACTACCAAAACTTTCTCCCTTCCCCCAATGGCATCTTTCTGCTAGTCTTCCAACTTCCAGAATTCAACTGAAAACTCAATTCCACCTCGGTGAACCCTACTCAGCTTAATTACAGTTTTTAAAAAAATTTCTTAAGTTTAAATAGTTTGTTTCCTTAATTAGAATGTGCTGTTTTGTCATTTTGACATATGTTTACCATTTATTACATTTTTTTTCTTCTTTTAACTTTTAGAGTCCGACGTTCCAGCAGAACTCCAGGTCCAGGTGTTAGAAGCACCGCAGCAGCAGCCGACCTTCCCTTTTGCAGTTGCCAACCAACTGTTGCTTGTTTCTCTGCTAGAACACTTGAGCCATGTGCATGAGCCAAACCCACTTCGTTCAAGACAAGTGTTTAAATGTTAGTAAGAGGAAATTTACCTACTAAATAAAACTTGTGGAAGTACTATATTATTGAATGTTGTGGGTCTGAGAAGTGTGGGTATATAAAAATTTGAAATAAGTATTATAGCTCCTATTTCTTAAATTCATTTTATATTTTGCTTTAGGTAATTCCTTATGAATATAATTATTAGGGGCCCCAAAAGATTAATAACCATAAAATTGTGCCTATTTAAATAAATATGAGATAGTTCTTTTGTGTCTATAACATAGTAATTCATTTAATTTGTGAAGATCTCTTATGGCTTAGTTGGTGAGCTGGTAAATGAAAATCACAGATACTTATTCTGAACCAGTTCTTGACCAGAGCACTGGAACAGCAGTGTTCATGTAAATGAATAGGAAACGGTTTTCCTCTACATACCAAGTACTTTTTTATTTTCTTATATTGATTTTTAGAGAGAGGAAGGGAGAGGGAGAGAGAGATAGAAACATCGATGAGAGAGAACATCAATGGCTGCCTCCTGCACGCTCCCCATTGTGGATTTGGCCCACAACCTGGGCATGTGCCCTGACCAGGGATCGAACCGGCGACTTCTTGGTGCATGGGTTGATGCTCAACCACTGAGCCACACTGGCTGGGCCATTGGTTGGTTGATTTTTTTGTTTGTTTATTTTATCCTCACCCGAGGACATTTTTCGATATTTTGTTCAGATAGAGTGGGAGGGAGAGAGAGAAACATCGACGTGAAAGGGACACATTGAGTTGTTGCCACCTGCACGACCCAACCAAAGCTGGGGACAAACTGCAACCGAGGTACATGCCCTTAGCAGGAACTGAACCCAGGTCTCTCTGGACCGCAGGCTGACAATCTAACTGCTAAGCCAAATCGACCAGGGCGATTGTTTTTTTTTTAATCCTCACTGAGGATATTTTTACATTTATCTTCAGACAGAGTGGGAGGGGGAGAGAGAGACACATCGATGTGAGAGAGACACATAGACTGGTTGCCACCCACACGACCCTAACTGGGGCCGGGGACGAACTGCATCTGAGGTATGTGCGCTTGGCCAGAATCAAACCTGGGACTCCTTGGTCTGCAGGCCGATGCTGTAACTGCTGAGCCAAACCGGCCAGGGCCATTGTTTGATTCCTACATGTCCTGCCTGGAGATCGAACCCACAACCTTGATGTATCAGGACGATGCTCTAACCAGCTGAACTACCTGGCCAGGGCAAACAAAGTTTATTTAAATAAATGTTTTTAATGTGATTCATTTAGCTGATAATCTCAATGTTTTCCATGTAGGAAGATCCTCTATGGATCTATATTCCTTGAATGAGGAAAATTCAAGCACTTCTGTAGAAACCTCTGAGGAGCCTCTATTGTGACTTCAGACTTGACTTTCCCCTAGTATTTGGTCTGTACACACATCAACTATGTGCTTTTTCTGTGTTGGTTAAAGATATTCCATAATAGAAAACAATAATCACTTTTGTTGTCAGTTCTAATCATTTATTTCCACTCCTGCCTTTATTCTTATCTCATTGCCTGTTTGCAAAATGTAATTGTTTGAAAATCAGAAGACTACTGCGATTACATTTGTCTTGCTTTCTTAAAAGATGGAGCTTAGCTCCTGGCTCGTTTCGCTCAGTGGTTAGAGTGTTGGCCCCAAGACCAAAGAGTCTTGAGTTCAATTCCTGCTCAAGTGCTGGTACCTGGGTTGGAGGTTTGATCCCCGGCCCCCGTGGGAGTTCTGTGGGAGTCAACCAGTCATTGTGTCTCTGTCACATTGATGTTTTTGTCTCTTTCTCCCCCCGCCTCTCCCTCTCCCTTCCTTCTGCTCTCTCTAAAAATCCACGGAAAAATATCCTCAGGTGAGGATTAACGTAAATAAATAAATGAATAAATAAAGAGATAGATAGACAGGCAGACTGGATGGATGGATGGAGGGAGGGAGGGAGGGAGGGATGGGTGGAGGGAGTGAGGGAGCGATGGAGCTTAGTACTTTACTGACTGACCGGGAGTGGTATACAAACGACTGATCAGTGTCAGAGAAGTAAGTATAGATGTGCTCCTGACCAGAGGGTGTACGAGTTGTTTCTGCACTTCTACAGAAGCAGCCCCAAGTTGTAAAGCAAGTGTAAATGGAACTTTTTCTCAGAGGCTATTCCGACTCTTTGGGCTCTGTACTCTTTAAAATCGCCATTTGCTTGATGGCCTTTCTAATAGGTTTTTGTATTCTTTTTCTAGTGCTTTGTCAGACCTTTATCAAAATGGGGCTGCTGTCTTCTTTCACCTGTAGCGATGAATTTAGCTCATTGAGGCTACATCACAACAGAGCCATCACTCATTTGATGAGGTCAGCTAAAGAGAGAGTTCATCAGGTAAGCACTGAACTGTGTACTTTGTATGTGACAAAAACATTTTAATTTCCAGAGGACTGTATTTTAAAGCATTATGAAATCCTGGTTATAATACAGGTGTATAAAAATGTTAACTTTGATTTGTTTATTTAACAAATATTTATGAATGACTACTGTGTGTTAGGCTCTCTGGTACGCGTTGGAGTTCAAGCAGTAAGCAAAATAGACTGCCAGCCCTCATGTGAAGAGGGATCAGTAAACAACAGAAAAATAAAAATATGTAAAAATAAATGGGGGTTAGATGGTGATAAGAGTTAAGGAGAAACATAAAGCAGGGAAGGACTTAGAAAATGTGTGAATGTTACATAGGGTGGCCAGGGAGGGCCTCACTGAGACTCATTTAAGCCAGGAGCTCAGGCTGAGAGGAGGAGCCATGCAGATAGATACCTAGAGGAAAAGCAAGCCAGAGGAGGCACAGGAATTCCCCAGCGACCAGTGTGCCCAGTGTGCCCAGTGTGCGAGGTGTGTGGGGAGCTGACAGGCAGCCATGTGGCTGGAGTCAGCAAAGGGAACGTCACTGCGGGCAAGAAGGCAGTGAGAGGGAGGATGGAGTTGGATCTTGAGACCATAGTGAAGACTTTGGTTTTCACTTAGAGTAAAACAGCATTGCAGGATTTTAGCAGAGGAGTGACATCATCTGACTTTCGTTTTAATGGGATCAACCAGCTGCCATGTTGAGAATAGACTGAGGGGACAAGGGCAGAAACAGGGGACAGGTGCAGTCATACAGGCAAGAAGGAGATGGTGGTGGCTGGGAATGGAATGGGTGGTTAGCAGTGGGGTGAGAAGTGGTCAATTTCTACATATATTTTGAAGGTAAAATCCACCTTACTTGCTGATGGAGCTCTTAGGTACATTCTCAGCTTTGTCAGTGGATAGCAAGAATGTAGTTTTTTTAGGAGTGATCTTACAGTTAAGAGAGAAATACTGTCAACTGTAAACTTTTAAGTAATGTTGAAAAAGCCATTGAGTTTTTTTTTTATATTGTGTAAGCATTTGGGACTGTTAATTAGACATTGAATTTTGATAGATCCTTATTCCATGAAAATTTCAAAATGTTTTTAAAAATAATTTTTCAATTTTAGGATCCTTGTGAGGATAATTCTCATTTCCAGAAGATCAGGTCTGTATTAAGTACTTTTATGATTATGTAAATATTAAATAATCAAGTCAGGATTAAGATTTAATCAGAAATTAGTTTTGAGTTAAAAAATACTATATAGTTTATGAAAATTAAAAACTTTATTCTCAGCAATTAATTACTGTTCCAAGATTTGCTTTACTTTTCGTTTCACTCCTTTAAATAATTTTTAAAAATTTGTTGTTTTCTTTTTTTGCTTTTAAAAAAGTTTTCTTTCCTTTTGATCCCTGCTCTTCTCATTCCCTGTGGATTCCATAAGGCCCACCCTTAATTCAGATTACTGATATCCAGTCTGTCTAGGGAAAACCATTGCATTTTGGCTGTAGTTAGGAAATATTAGTTTAAAATCTATAACTTATCTGGATCATTAAGAAATTTAGGCCACTTTATTACTGAGCTCCACTAACCAACTTCTGTCTGTTAGTCATCGAATCCTAATTACTGGTAAAATATTAAAATTAGATCCGTGCTCCCTGTGCTGTCTTTATCTCCCTATTTGCTTAGCAAATGTTTTCTTCCTAGAGAATGAAAAATTTCATTTTCGCTCATCCTTTCCAAATTGCCACAATTTAGTGATGAACAGAGTTAGCAGGTTAGTAGTAATACAGGGAGCATGAACTACCCAAGGACATTCTGATGCTCTCATGCTTTGATATCAACTGATCATTTGTATTTAACTTTCAGATCAAGGGAAGTAGCCTTTGAAGCACAAACTTCACGGTACTTAAACGAATTTGAAGAGCTTGCCATCTTAGGAAAGGGTGGATATGGAAGAGTATACAAGGTTGTTTTCCACATATTCTTTTTGACCTACTGCTCTAAATAAATGTATTTTGAGAAGTTTTCATTATTTAAAGTATACAAAGGAAAATTCCTAGAAATTGTGTATATTTACTTTTCATTAAGATTTGTCATTTATGGGGAAGTGGGCAGGTTTTCATTTTTTCCTAACCACATTGGTGGTTTAGGTGGAGTCTGGCAACTCTGAGTTTTTGTTCTATAGTTAATTTTTATTTAACTATCTGAACAAAAAAAAAAGTACGCGTCTACCTTTTTTTTTTAATTCTCACTCGAGGATATTTTTCGGTTTATCTTTAGAAAGAGTGGGAGGGAGGGAGAAGGGAGGGGAGGAGAGAGAGAGAGTGAGAGAAAGAGAGAGAAGCATCGATGTGAGAAAGACACATCGACTGGTTGCCTCCCGCACGACCTCGACTAGGGCCAGGAACCAACTGCAACCGAGGTACGTGCCCTTGATCAGAATTGAACCCGCGACTCTGATCCAGGGGCTGACGCTCTAATGGTTGAGCCAAACTGTCCAGGGCATTTTAATGTCATCTCTTTGGTTAGTTTGGATTATCTAAATTTAGGTTAAAATAACTTTCTTTATTCAGTTGAAATTTAATTTCACAATATAGTTTATCTTTTTCTCTACTTTTTAGGTCAGGAATAAATTAGATGGTCAGTATTATGCGATTAAGAAAATCCTGATTAAGAGTGCAACTAAGACAGATTGCATGAAGGTAAGATTTTAAAAATGTATTTATTTTGAATAATTGAGTATTTAAGTTTTTTTTGAAAGAGGGGTGTGTGTGTGTGTGTGTGTGTGTGTGAGAGAGAGAGAGAGAGAGAGAGACAGAGAGTGTGTGTGTGTTTGGCAAATACTATGTGGTATGGCTTGCTAGTTTACTAAGAATGGGTTATAGTAACAAACATTAAAACTAAACATTTTTTTACTTAATTTTTTTTGGTACGTGCCTCTAGCGAGAACTGAACGCGGGACACTGGTCCACAGGCCAATGCTCCAACTGTTGAGCCAAACCGGACAGGGCTTGACTTAATTTTTTATAGGCATTTCAAATTAGCCACATTTCAGGGTCATGCTGGGGAAATTACTTTTTTAAATTAAATTATTCATATACAGTATTGCTTGTTATGAGAAAACATGAGTTCAATCCAGGTCCCAGTCTTCTCCTGACATACTTGTCCTGGGAAAATGACCTGGTCCTCGGAGCCACTTCTGTTTTCTGCCCTTGAAATAGTGGTGACAGCATGGTTTTATTTACCTTATGGACTAGACTTCCTGATAGGAGAATGATTGTCAATGAACTATGCAAAGTATAAAGGGCTATAAACATGTAAATTTAGTAGCTATAAAAATTTCATTGATCTCTCACAAAGGTATTCCATTATTTTTACTAGCAACTTGTTAGATGCTCATGTATTAGATACTACCATTCGTACAGAGGGATTTTACTGTTTGCTTTGGAACAAATGGTAGTGTCTGATAACACGAGCATCTAACAAACTGCCAGTAAGAGCTCGATCTAAGTATGTTTCTCCTTTAGGTACTACGGGAAGTGAAGGTGCTGGCAGGTCTTCAGCATCCTAACATTGTGGGCTACCACACTGCTTGGATCGAGCATGTTCATGTGGCCCAAACGCAAGGTAAGCAGTTTCAGATTAGATAGACTTGAAGGTCAGCAAAGCGCAGCCCATGTGCTCAGTCTGGCCTACCCTTGTTGTTGTGCATCCCTTAAGCTGAGAATGGTTGTTTGTTTGTTTGTTTGTTACATTTTTATTTAATTTTATTTTGTAGTCCACCCGAGGACATTTTTTGCATTTATCTTCAGATAGAGTGGGAGGGAGAGAGGGAGGAAGAGAGAGTGAAGCATCGACATGAGAGATACACATTGAGAGGTTGCCACCCACGTGACCGGGGCTGGGGACAAACTGCAACTGAGGTACATGCCCTTAGTGGACACCAAACCCGGGACTCTCTGGTCCATGGGCCAGTGCTCTAACCGCTGAGCCAAACTGGCCAGGGCGAACCTGTGACTCTCTGGTCCACGGGCCGATACTCTAACTGCTGAGGCAAAACAGCCGGGGCTGTTTGTTAATATTTTTTAAAATATTAAAAGACATCAAAATAAGATATTTTGTGAAAATTATATGAAATTCCACATTTCAGTGTCAATGAATACTATTTATTAGAACACAGGCTCATTTGTATGTATTGTCTGTGGTTGCTTTTGTATTACAACAGCAGAGTTGAGTTGGTGCAACAGAGTCGCAGGGCCAGAAAACCCTGAACTATTCATAACCAGGTCCTGCACAGAGAGTTCGCTGTCCCCTCGTAGAGTGGAACAGCTGTTTTGTAGTTCCTAAAATGTGCCAGTCGTTTGAATAAGCTTGTACTGTACTTTGCCAGAAGGTCTTGACATTTTTAGATATGTGGTTTCATTTGGTATTTTTTTGTATATTTTTTCTCTGTCTTTGACTATAAATTAGAAAATTGGGCTGCTTGAAGATTTGTTTTTGCTTTTGTTTAGCAGATAGAATTTCTGTTCAGTTGCCATCTCTGAACGTGATCTCTGCCCAGGAGGATGACAGGTATGTGGACTGGTGTGGCCTTTGCAGGTTAGATAGAACCTGCCACCTGCATTGGGTTGCCTTTGTCTTTTGCTGTTAGGAGTTCAGGAGTGTTTTAGAGTTTTCTTTTTGCTTATTTTCATTACAAATTGTTGTTATTTCCTCCTCTTAGGTATTTCCAGTCACTATTTTATTTTATTATTTTATTTTATTTTTTATTTTATATTTTATATTATTTTATTTTATTTTTTTTATTTTTTTAAATTTTATTTTATTTTTTGGTACGTGCCCCTAGCGGGAACCAAACCCAGGACTCTCTGGTCCGCAGGCCGATGCTCCAACCGCTGAACCAAACTAGCCAGGGCAGTATTTTATTTTTTTAATCCTCACTAGATATTTTTCCATAGATTTTTTTTTTTCTTTTTCTTTAAGATAGGGAGAGAGAAAGAGAAACACTGATGTGAGAGAGGAATATTGACTGGTTGCCTCCTGCCCAACCAGGGCCAGAGATGAAACTCGCAACCGAGGCATATGCCCTTGACCGGGAATCAAACTCGAGACTCTTTGGTCCAAGGGCTGATGCTCTAATGGCTGAGCCGAAGTGGCCAGGGCTCCTGTCAGTATTTTAAATAAATGTGGCTGCTAGGTAGATTTTATAGTTAATTTTGGTATATGCCCCCAGCAGAAACCGAACCCGGGACTCTCTAGAGGGTCCACAGGCCAACACTCCAATCGCTGGGCCAAACTGGCCAGGGCAATTGCTAGGTAGGTTTGATGCCATTTTTTACCCCAGGGGTTCATCAGGAAGACTCATATAGACCTGAAGGAATAGTTAATTTACTCTTGATCTTTTTTTACATTGATTATTGTCTTTACTAGTTTTTTTTTCCCCCTCCAGTGATCAATATGATGTTAAAAATGATGAAAGTAACAGCTCATCCATTATCTTCGCCGAGTACACCTCAGAAAAAGAAAAATCCTTAGGAGAGTCTGGCGTTGAACATCAGAATAACAAGTTGGTGAACTACACCACCAATTTAGTCCCAAGAGATGCCAGTGAGTTTGAATCATCCATTGAGCTCCAAGAAAATGGCTTGGCTGAGTTGTCTTCCATGTCGATTGCTGAGAAGCAGCTGCCGCTGAGGCTTAATTCAGACTTAGAGGGGAATTTCACGTCTACCGAGGAATCTTCTGAAGAAAACTTCAAGTTCGTGGGACAGACAGAGGTAGATTTCCTTTTTACCTATAATAATTGTATAAAGGACTACGATTAGATATGGACTCCCCTCTTCTCCAGCCGACCTGCACCTGGCGCTCCTCCCTTTCTCTGCCCTAGCCCTGCTGCCCTGTGTTCAGCCTCCTCTCTCGTTTCCCCTGGATTTGGTCTTCCCACCCTCAGTTAACTCGTCCTTTTCTGGGTCATTCCCTCCTCTAGATATTCTCATGTGTGTACCCTGGAGTGGGAAGCATTGAGCACACTCTACTTCCTATGTATGTTAGCATATATATGTTTATGCAGAAAGACTTTCTCTATTTGGAACATGGCTTTAAGAGAGTCGGGGTAGGATTACCAGGTCAATTTTCAGGAGACTCCTGTTGAGGGTTATACTGATATGCTGGTGAGACTCCCGCCCACTCTTGTCAGTATCAAGTATTAGTATTAAAAGAACTTGAAGCCCGGCTGGTGTGGCTCAGTGGTTGAGCATAAACCCATGTACCAAGAGATTGCCAGTTTGATTCCTGGTCAGGGCACATGTCCAGGTTGTGGGCCTGATCCCGCTGGGGGCATGCAGGAGGCGGCCAGTTATTATTCTCTCTCATTGATCTTTCTCTCTCTCTCCTCCCTTCTTCCCTCTCAAGTCAATAAAGAAAAAAAATTAGAACAACAACAAAAAAAGAATTTGAATATCAAGAGTTTCTGCACATTATCGGTCATATTGGATTACAAAACTACACACACGCAGAATTAACTCTTGCTGTCTGGGACTATGTGGCCATGTGCACATGGTTTTTTATGAAACATGAAACTCAACAGGCTCACCTGAATGCAGAGCATCTGAGTTTGAGGGATTTTTAATCAAAACAGCTTTATTTCTCTGTATAGGTTTGGAAAATTTTTCTAGTCCCTAAATCATTGGGCTGCATTTTTGTTTACCTTTCCCTTGGACAAGTTATTAGTTATGTACAATGTGAAGCCAGCCAAAGTGTGTATATACTTTGGGGTATACACAGAGCTTCATCTTAGCTTTCAAAACTGTTTATGTAGGGAGCAGACCAGACAGTTTCAGTGCCTCAGTGTCACGTTCGAGAGCTTCTGCCTTTTGACACCTGCCTAACTCCAGCAGGACTACCCCTGCCCACTTGGATTATGACACACAGTTTTAAGTATTGATTTCCTTCTTCATATCCTCCACTAGACTTTGAGCATCTTGGGCAAGCCTGTGTCTATCACCTCTGTCCTCATCACTTAGGCGAGTGCTTGGCCCTGAGTAGGCAAGTGAGTATTGGCTTAGTGAATGTGTTAAGCGATGCAGATGGGACCAGCGTTGTGTCGCCCCCTAGGTGCAGTACCACCTGATGCTGCACATCCAGATGCAGCTGTGCGAGCTGTCGCTGTGGGACTGGATCGTGGAGAGGAACAGGCGGGGTCGGGAGTGTGTGGACGAGTCAGCCTGTAAGTACTGTGCAGCTCTGCAGGTGTGGGACTGGGGAAGAGACACAGGAGGAATGCCTCCCTCTGCAGCTAGGTACTTTACATTGAAAAAAAAAAGAAACAGTTATGCTTATTTCAACATTTTTCAAAAACAAATAATTGGAAGTTAATTTTCTCTGTAATAGATACATACTTTGTTGATATTTAAGCAGTAATGCACTAGAATTTAAGTAAATGATTTTGGGTAGAAAAGGTCTCTGAAAGTTTTTTAAGGAAAAAATTTAAATACTTGTTTTATTTTTTTAACCTGAAAATGTGGTATTGTTGCACAAAGAAACCTTTAAAGAAACGTTTAGCCCTGGCTGGTTTGGCTCAGTGGTTAGAGTGTCGGCCCTTGGTCCTAAGGGTCTCCAGTTTGATTCCCAGTCAAGGGGGTTGCAGGTTGATCCCTGGCCCTGGTCTAGGTTGTGTGGGAGGTAACCAGTCAATGTATCTCTCTCACATTGATGTTTCTTTCTCTCCCCTTCCCTAAAAAAAAGGAAACCTTTATAGGAAGGCATGTGGTCAAGAGTTTGTCTCCCTAAAGCTCCAGATCTCTGTCCCTCTCCTGCAGTTATATATTCTCTAGATATACTATAAGGGGTGTGTGTATGTATATGCATTTAATCCTCACCTAAGGGTATGTTTTTATTGATTTTAGAGAAAGAGGAAGGGAGAGAGAGAGAAACATTGGCGTGAGAGAGAAACATTGATCAGTTGCTTCATTTATGCACTCCGACTGAAGATTGAGCCCATCATGTTGATAGTATGTGCTCTTGATAAGAAGCAATGAGCAGACACTGTATCTCTGGTCTTTCTCCCCAAAACCTATAAACCTAGTCTAATCATGAGAAAACCGTCAGATCCCAGTTGAGGGACATTCTACAAATACCTGACCAGTTCTCAAAACTGTCAAGGTCATCATAAACAGGAAAAGTGTGAGAACCTGTCACAGACGAGAGGAGTCTCAGGAAACATGACAACTAGATATAGCGTGGTGTCCTGGTTAGAACCCTGGAACAGAAAAGGAGACAGAGGAAAACTGGAGATCTGAATAAACTGGCTTGGATCAGTATTGGTGCTTTCATGGTGACAGATGCATATATTGAGAAGCCCTCCTTGCATTTGTACCCAGGCAGGAGGTTGGGCACTTCAGTGTAGAGGTGCTTGTAGTGGAACCACTGCTTTTACACACACATGTGTGCACACACATGTCCCTAAATTATATGCTAGGTAGTATAAAGGAGAGTTTAGTAGGTGTGAGCTGTTGATAACAAAGTGGGCTCATTCAGGGTGGAGAAAGGGGCATGCAGTATTCTTGTGCTTGAAGGTCAACAATAGGTTGATGATTTAAAATGACTGCCCTGGCCGGTTTGGCTCAGTGGTTAGAACATCGGCCTGCAGACCAGAGTCCCGGGTTCGGTTCCTGCTAAGGGCATGTACCTCAGTTGCAGTTTGTTCCCGGCCCCATTTGGGGTCGTGTGGGTGACAACCAGTTGATGTGTCTCTCTCACACTGATGTTTCTCTCTCTCTCTTCCTCCCTCTCTCCCACCTGCTCTATCTGAAGGTAAATGCAAAAATGTCCTCGGGTGAGGAGAAAAATAAATAAATAAAATAAAATGACTGAATACAGCCTGGCCAGGGTGGCTCACTGGTTGAGCATTGACCCAAGCACCAAGAGGTCACCGATTCGATTCCTGGTCAGGGCACATGCCCAGGTTATGGCCCCGATCCCCAGTGGGGGGCATGCAGGAGGCGGCCAGTCAATGTTCTCTCTCATCGATGTTTCCATTTCTCTCTCCCTCTCCCTTCCTGTCTCTCTAATATCAATAAAGGAAAAAAAATAAAATAAAATGACTGAATGCAGAAGAGCTGGTAAATTTTTACTAGATTACTAAACTTACTTGGCTGGAAAACTTCAGGCCAAATTATTAATTTTTATTTGTTTTAGTGTTAATAAACCTCTTTACCCTCTAAATTCATATACTCTGTCATTGCATTAACAGATTAATTCATTCATTTACTTTTTACCCATATACTTCATTTGTCAGTCATTTTTGGGAAATGTGCATTCCAAACTTCTGGATGACGAAGCTCACCCCCTGGGCTAACATAATTTATTTTTCTTCTTGCTCTATTGTTTGTAATCGGATCTTCAATCCCCAGTGGGCCAGGATACCAGATTTATTGGCATTAAACTCCAGGATGTCAGGGGTTGAAGGGGACTTAAACATGATTTAATCTAGATACCTGGTGCCTGGGAATTGTTTACTGAGTAATTACCACATAGTCTGAGTGAAATGAGGGGTCTCTTTCTGGTGACAGAGCCCGTCAATGGTTGGGTGGTAGTTTGCGATGGCATCTAGTAGCTGAGGAGCCTTCCTTGGTAATTCCTAGTTTGGAACCATATTTGGAGTGTTGACTTTGTTGAAAATCTGAATGTTGTATAGGTATCAGATGTTAATGTATTTAGAACTGCAGTTATCATTTAACATTTAGATGTTAATCAGAAAAAATTAGAGAAATAAAACTTTTTTTTTTTTTTAATTAACTTCAGGTCCTTATGTTATGGCCAGTGTTGCAACAAAAATTTTTCAAGAATTGGTGGAAGGTGTATTTTACATACATAACATGGGGATTGTGCACAGAGACTTGAAGGTAAGTAGAGAAGATGAAGTCATTGAAAACTTCTTATAGGGGTGACTTGGTGTTGGTTCATTGAATTAAAGGGAATTAGGTACTCTAGTTCATTTACCTAGAAGAGTGTCATTTCTTTCATGTAAGTCATAATTTTATAGATCCAGAACATGAAGAATTTAGATTGAATTTAAATGCAGTACATTTTGGGCATTTGAATATTCTCACTTTTTCAGGTAGTGTGTTCTGAGACCTATGATAATTGATGATGCTGTATTTAATGCTAACAGAAATATTCATCTGTTAGTTCAACCTTAGAAGTAAAAATCTGTTCCTATAATTATCTATCTTTAAGGAAATTTAACATAGGAAAATTTGTTCTGCTGTTTTCAAACTCTCGAGTGGCCATTCCAGTTTTCATCCACAAAATACTACCAAGAAAGAGAAAAAATATATTTACTTCTTTGGCTGAGATTTTTAAATTTACTTGCTTACCTTTTGGGCAAATATTAAATCGTGGAAAATGCATTTAAAAGAATATTTAGGGCCTGGCCAGTGTGGCTCAGTGGTTGAGCATTGACCCATGCACCAAGAGTTGCCGGTTCAATTCCTGGTCGGGGCATATGCCCAGGTTGTGGGCCAAATCCCCAGTGGGGGGCATGCAGGAGGTGGCCAGTTGATTGTTCTCTCTCATTGATGTTTCTTTCTCTTTCTCTCCCTTCCTCTCTCTAAAAATCAATAAGGAGGAAAAAATTAAAAAGAAAAAAAGAATATTTAGGGCCCTGGCCTTTTTGGCTTAGCAGTTAGAGCGCTGGCTCTCACACCAAAGGGTCATGGGTTCGATTCCCAGTCAAGGGTATGTACTTGAGTTGCAGGTTTGAACCCCAGCCCTGGTCGGTTGCATGGGAGGCAACCAATTGATGTGCTTTTCTAATATCGATGTTTCTCCCTCCCTCCTTCCTTCCCTCCTTTCCACTCTAAATAAATAAATGGGAAAATGTCCTCAGGTGAGGATTAGTCAAAAAGAGAATATTTAGGAACAAAAAGGTAATGCGCAAATCAGTTTTATTTTTTGAAGAAGTTTAAGAACCAGTAGTTCGTACATTCAGGATGGATAAGGCAATGGTTTAAGTATCTTCCGGGTATGTGTCTAGCCAGAAAATGTGATCGGAGTTGCTGAAATCCTGTGGCACCGTGACATTGAGGTCTTATTTCAAGAGACAAGTCAGGTCATAATACCCATATACAGAATTCCATATTTTCTCTGGGAGAAGGTGCTTCACATGTTGTTTGTACTTCTCACCATAAATATTTATGATGTTTCTTTTACAGATATCCTCTAGGGATAACGGGTTTTGAGACAATTTTATTAGGGATTCCCTTAAGAGGTGGAATTCTGGTAGCATGAGTCCTGCAGGTAGAATTCCTTGATTATTGGTCAGTCTCAAAGGGTAAGAGAGGTAAAGCAACTTGGCAAGAAGTGCCGTGTCTCTTATATTGGAACTCCGCTGGAGGTACATGTGTATGGGAGATTCCCCGTTTCTTGTTAGGATGTTAATGTTGGCTTCAAATTCAAGCAAGAGGTTGATTACTGCCTCTCTGCCTGCAAAACATGCCTCGTGGATAGCTGTTTGGCCCTTGTGGTCCTGGGCATTGACTTCGGCTCCGTGAGTCAGCAGCAGACGGATGCAGCCCAGCCCTGCTGCCAGCACTCGGCCGGCTTTGCTGGACGCGGTGCAAACTGCCAACTTAAGGGCTGTGTTCCCCGTGGAAGGGATAGCGCAGTTGACATGTGCGCCACAGGCAATGAGCGTCTCTATCATCTCCTTATTCAGTATATCTGCAGCCATGTGAAGGGGCGTCATGCTGCATTCATTAATAGCATTGACCTGAGCACCGTTTTGGGCTAAAATGGAGAGGACTGGATAGGTCCCGCATCTTATGGCCAGGTGGAGGGCCGAGTGCTTGTATCCGTTGTTCACCTGAGCGTTCACTTGAGCTCCGTGCTCACACAGAATGCGGAGGCACGTCACGGCGTTATTCTGAATGTCTGTGAGGAGCCTTTGGATTCTGTTCCCCGGCTTTGTCTGCACGGTAGAGGTGATCGGCCAGTACAGCAGCATCAGGTGGAGTGTGGTGAGGCCTCGTGTGTCCCTGGAAGAGGTAGTGAGCGCTCGTTACACCTAATTCACAATGGGAATGGCGCTATGCGAAGAATTAATGATAAAGGCGACATTTATTTAAAGTAATCCCCCCCTTAATTAGTTCAAAAAGTCTTTGAAAATCTGCATTGCTGTTTAATTTCTCAGGGTATCAGCGTTTTGGGGGACAGGGTGGTATGCATCAGCACATGGAGGGCCCAGCTTTTTTTTTTTTTTTTTTTTTTTTTATCCTCACCAGAGGATATTTTTCCATTTTTTGTACAGATAGAGCGGGAGGGAGAGAGAGGAAGGGAGAGAGAGAGAGAGAGAAACATCGACGTGAAGGGACACATCGAGTGGCTGCCACCTGCACGACCATCCAGGGCCGGGGACAAACTGCAACCGAGGTACGTGCCCTTAGCGGGAACCGAACCCGGGTCTCTCCGGACCACAGGCCGACGCTCTAACCGCTGAACCAAACTGGCCAGGGCGGGCCCAGCTTTCTATAACAGCGTGTTTCACTTTGTTACTCCTGCGAGGGCTGTGGCCTCTTCAAGGCTGTCTTATTGTTTGTACCGCTGCTCCTCTCATAGTGCTGAGCTGAGTTAGCAGCCGTTCAGTAGACTGGTGGACGGAGTTGATCTGGCGTTACCACAGAGGTGTGCTGCAGAGGTGCAGCCTCCTATGGGCCCGGGCTCTGCCTCTGCTCCTGTGCCTGTCGCTTTCCCTGTGTGTGCAGGCGGATCACATGACAGGGTTGAATCTGGAGACCCACCGTCGCTCTGCGGTCCGTCTTCAGTCCCTGCTTCCACCCAGGTGCAGTGCGTGTCTTAACAACCTGGCCCTCATCTACATTTTTCCTGAAATCTCTCAGGAGTGCCTAAAAAACACCCTTGTTTTTACAGTAAAAGGGGAAGGATTATTATGAACATCTGGCTGCTTGGTGAAATGAGAAGAGGATTTTCAGTTCACACGTATTTTTTTGGTGTGAGGCCCCGGGCAAGTGCGGTGGTGAAAAGCAGGCAGGCCCTGTACAGGCCTCACAGACTATGGGGATGGCATTAACCATGTCTGAAAGACTAGGGGGGTGTACAGTGGGCCGAGTTCTAGAAAGCCTGACCCATGGATGGCCTGTGGCAGGAAAGGGTGTGTGAGGAGCCCCGGAGGAGCATGGGTGAGTTTGTGGTGGTCCATCCAGTTCTCCGAAGACTGCAAGAGACCTGCCAGGCTGCGGGGAGGTGTTTGGAGGAGGGTGAGAGCAAGGTCAGGTCAGGGGGGACTCTCCCGAAGTGTGGTCAGGACATGGGGTTTACCTTTCTACCGTGTAATTCTCCCCTTTATTCAGATGGTATTTATTGGGCACTTACTAAGTGTCAGGCATTGGTTTAAGCACTGAAGATATATTGGTGAGCAAGAGAAACTTTTCTTTCGTGAAGCATACCATCTGGTGGAGGGTAACTAAGAAAAAATTCCATTGCCTCTTTACATTTTATTTTTCATATCTAACAAGTTTTTAAATTCCCTAAGAGCTGTGAGCAGGACTTAATGCATTTTCTACAACACCATTGCTGAGTGCTTAGTACTCAGTATGAGCTTTAAGTGGGCTGACTGATTTGTGTCCTTGCATCCCCCCCCCCCCCTTTTTCAGAGTATCTCACGTAATCAGTAAAGAAATTGGTTCATTCAGCCCTGGCCCGTTTGGCTCAGCGGTTAGAGCATCGGCCTGCGGTTCTGAGAGACCCGGGTTTGGTTCCCGCTAGGGGCGCGTACCTCGGTTGCAGTTTGTCCCCGGCCCTGGTTGGTCGTGCGGGTGGCAGCCACTCGATGTGTTCCTTTCACATCGATGTTTCTCTCTCTCTCTCTCTGTTCCTCTCTCTCCCTCCCACTCTACCTGAACAAAAAATGGAAAAATGTCCTCGGGTGAGGATTAAAAAAAAAAAAAGAAAGAAAGAAATTGGTTCATTCAGCCCAGCCGGTGTGGCTCAGTGGTTGAGCAGCCACCCATGCACTGAGAGGTCCTGGTTCGATTCCCAGTCTGGGCACATGCCTGGTTTTCGGGGCTGATTCCCAGCAGGGGGCTTGCAGGAGGCAGTGATCGATGTTGATGTCTCTTTAATCTAAGTTTCTATTTCTCTCTCCCCCTTCCTCTCTCTAAAATCAATTTAAAAAACAAAACTTTTAAAAAAAGTATTATGCCTCATTTAAAAAAACAAGAGAGAAAATTTCTGGTCCACAACACCTGAAGAGTGGATGAGTGTAGACGTGACAGAAAACTAACATCCAAATCACATGCATCCTTATATTGAAATGGCCACCTTTTGAGTTACTCACCTTACTTCTGGGTCAGCGCCATGTTCTAACAAACAGTGCAAACTTTGAGCCTTGCGGTATTCAGCAGCCAGGTGAATGGGGATGATGGACTGCGTCTGCTTCAGAGAAAACCCGAGTATTACAAGTAGCCATGTAGGAATCGTACGGTGTTAGCGTGCTATTCCAGAGGGGGTCGGGAGTTTGTATATCTCGGCTCAGTGGTTTTCTGGTATGTGCATTGGCATTCTCCTTTTCTTGGGCCTGTTTTAAATGACCCAAAGCCAGTGAATTTCATATTATAAAATCTGTGTGTTAAATAAAGGCAAATTTGCCAAGGCAACAAAATAACTCACTCAGAGCTTTGAAAGTTGATACTTGAAAGGAGCTCGTAGTGAAAATTTAATGGCAATTGCTATTAAACCACTTAGGCCCTAAATTAACCCACAGGATGATTGACAGGTAGGTTTATGCTTTGTAAGGTTTTGCCAAAGTCATAGTAGTACAACCTGCACTTCCAGGATTTCAGAGACAAGCTGCAAATGTTCTGTCTGTGATTAGCAGAGCTGTTTTTGCCAGTTCTTAAAATTATATTTTGAGCTTGGCCGGTATGGCTCAGTGGTTGAGCATCAACCCATGCACCGAGGTCGCCAGTTTGATTCCTGGTCAGGGCACATGCCCAGGTTGTGGGCCAATCCCCAGTGGGAACGAGCAGAAGGCAGCCAGTTGATGTTCTCGCTCATCAATATTACTATCTCTCTCTCCCTTCCTCTCTCTCTAAAATCAATAAAAGAAAAAAAATATATATATCTTAAAGTAGTGGCTTTACAGTGTGGCTGCAAGGTAAGAGGGCGGGATGAAGGACAGGGTCACTTTATTTTTTTATCCTCACCCGAGGACACTTTTCCATTTTTTGTTCAGATAGAGTGGGAGGGAGGGAGAGAGAGAGAGAGAGAGAGAGAGAGAGAGAGAGAGAGAAACATCGACGAGAAAGTGACACATTGAGTGGTTGCCACCTGCACGACCAACCAGGGTCAGGGACAAACTGCAACTGAGGTACGCGCCCTTAGCGGGAACCGAACCCGGGTCTCTCTGGACTGCAGGCCAACACTCTAACCACTGAGCCAAACCGGCCAGGGCGATAGGTTCACTTTTTGAAAAAAATAAATTGTAAAGGTAATCATTATTGTATAAAAATTTAGAAAATGAAAAAGCAAATGTAAAAATGAGAAAAAATTCTGTCACAGACATGACCATTGGGATGTTGGAGGGATGACATTAATGTTCCTCCAGCCACGTGAGCTCTCTCCTTTTCCCACATCAGCGCGATAACTGGAAGGGCAGTGCAACGATGCTCGGGACATGGAGTGTGGCTGTCCACTCTTGGGTTTGGTGAGGACAGCTAGGAGGCCCGATGAGTTCACAAGAACTCGGTGGTATTCCTTCCACAACATCACAAATCTTTTGTCTAAAAGTGACAGAGCAGAAAAGAGGGTACCTGGGTCAGCACTAATCTGCAGCTGGTGGAGGTGGCCAGAACGGTCAGGGGCTGATTGACGGGGTGGCTTCGAAGGAGTGCCTGGATGGCAGTGCAGTCTTCTCTCATGATGGCCTCGTAGAGTTTGGCGTGGAGCGCGCCACATGAGCCCTCTTCCCCGTCCGTGACCAGCTCCCTACTGCCTCTCTTGACTATGTTTCCCATGAGAAACACTTAAGATTGAGGACTTAAGAGGTCAGGGAAACTCGTTATGGAATCGGTCAGTTTCCGCATCTTTATGATTCTTCAGTTCAGTTCTAGAACCGTTCTAGAACCGTAGCCGTGAACACGATTCATTTTTGTTATCAGAGCCACACTGCTTCAGATGTTGTTCCTATATCATATGGTGTCAAATACAAGCAGTTTTTAGGACTTTCTACTTGGTCACAGAAACATCCAAATGATCATCTTACATGAGGATTCTTTCTGTTTTCTCTTTCCATCCAGCTGTAGATAAAGTCAAACAATGCTAAAACAGAAATTTATACATTAAAATAACTACATTTAAAATGAGAAAACCCAGCTTTTAACCTCGATGTCTGGATTTAGTGGAAGTCCCCTCTCTCCTAGCACAGGTGCAGTATCTCACTGGCACAGGAGTAGTTTCTCTGGGGATACTGCGGGTCTGTGGTGGTTGCTTAAATAGAACTGAGTATTTACCTTTAGAATGTGACCTAGTCGTTCCCAGCCCTGGCTAACAGAATTTTCTGGGATCTTTTAAAAAAAATGTTTCTGTTTTTAAAAAATGGCAGTCTTTGATGTGTTGGAGAGGACAGTCATTTTTCAAAGCCCCTCGGGCGATCCTGGCGTCTGGTTCGGGCTGAGGAGCACGTGTGTGCAAGCACGCCTGGCAGTGGTTCTCAGACTTGCAGTGTTGACCTGGGGCCGCCCTCAGGGATTTCGGTCTGATTGGTGTGAGGAGTGACAGGGGCACAGATTTTTTTAAAGCTCTCCAGTGAGTCTAATGTGCTGCCAAGTTTGAGAACCACTGCTCTGGTTTTTAATTTTCGAGGGCCACTTGCTCCTGATTTGAAAACTCTATAACATCCACACATTTTTACTATTTGTTTTTAGACCACCAAGGAGTTGACTTGTTCTATTTGTTTATAGCCCAGAAATATTTTTCTTCATGGCCCTGATCAGCAAGTGAAAATAGGAGACTTTGGTCTGGCCTGCACGGACATCATACAGAACACAGACTGGACCAGCAGGAATGGGAAGAGTAAGTTTTGGGTGGTTGTTTTGTTCATTGCATAAAAAAATAACATGTCGCCCTGGCCAGTTTGGCTCAGCGGTTAGAGCATCGGCCTGCCGTCCAGAGAGACCCGGGTTTGGTTCCCACTTAGAGCACGTACCTCGGTTGCAGTTTGTCCCCGGCCCTGGTTGGGTCGTGCGGGTGGCAACCACTCGATGTGTCCCTTTCACGTCGATGTTTCTCTCTTTCTCCCTCCCTCCCACTCTATCAGAATAAAAAATGTCCTCGGGTGAGGATTAAAAAAAAAAAGAAAAAATACCATGTCAACATTTGAAGAGAATTAGGAAGATTTACTAGCAAAGGTGAAGTAAAGACAGAACGTGCCGTTGTTCCCTTGGGAGCTCCAGCGCCCTACCGAGTCTTTTCCTTCCTGGGTTCACACTGCAGTGTTTAACATGTAGCTTTTCAAATTCTAGGAACACCAACACATACTTCCAGAGTGGGTACTTGTCTGTACGCGTCACCCGAACAGTTGGAAGGATCTGAGTATGATGCCAAGGTAGTGTTTCCTGCTTCTTACCTTTTACTGGATTTCTTCTGCAGTCTTAAGTGACAAAAAGGACAGTAAATGCAGCGGGTTGTGCTTTTGGAGATAAGAGTTCTATAGGTTATCTGTAGCCCCAAGGGCCAAAACAGGAAGCCTCACTTTGCAGCTAAATTTCAATGCATTGCTTTCTAGGCTCCTTTACTATTTCTAAACGTGGGTATAGCAAATTGTCTTTGAAATGAGCTTCCCTTTAGAATGTCAGCCTTTACCGCAGGAGGGGAGAATTCAGAGGCCTGTTTCCTCCGTTTTCAGGCTTAAATAAAGGCTACGTGTCACCCGAGTCCCTTTCATCCACATTGCTCCTGGAAGGACTGTTAAGTAAATCCTTTACTCAGTATCAAAGCTTAGTACATTTTCTTTTTGAGGAATCATTCAGCTTTTTAGTGACTGGGCAAGAGCCGCCAGAACAGAACCATGGCTGCACCTAAAATCCTGTCTGATCAGGGCCTTCCCAAGAAAAACCCATTTTCAGGGAGAGCAGCAGATTTTATGCAGAGTTTATTAACCTTTACCAAGACTTCTTACCTGTGAGTGAAGCAGGGCTGAGATTGGAGGAGCCTCTGGGACATGTGTGACCCCGCTGAGGCTGGCCCCAGCTCGAGGGAGCTCACATCTCTGTCCGGCTGCGCCAGGCCTGGGCTTTCAAGGAGGGGCGGAGCCAGGTGTATGGTAGAGACTGCTGTGGTGATGGGATCATCCCTGTCCCTCACTTGGCTAGCAGTCCTTTGTGCCATCAGCCTCTTTTTGGCATTAAAGCTTTGTGACAGTAGCTGTCACCTGCTCTCAGGGCAGTCGGTCTGGCTGGCAGGTAACTGCCTGTGAGAGAGGAGCCGGCGGCCATGGTCCTTCATGGTAGACTGCAAACGTCCTTCCTTAGAGACACTCGTGCTGCAGAGGGCGGTGTGGAGAGGGCGGTGCAGACACGATGCTCACTTTGTATTCACTCCGTGGCCCTTCCCGCTTCTCGCAGTCCGACATGTACAGCTTGGGTGTGATCCTGCTGGAGCTCTTCCAGCCATTTGGAACGGAAATGGAGCGAGCACAGGTTCTCACAGGTTTGAGAAGTGGTCAGATACCCGAGTCCCTCAGTCAGAGGTGTCCCGTCCAGGCCAAGTGCATCCAGCAGCTAACCAGGAGGAACGCGTCCCAGCGGCCGTCCGCCGTGCAGCTGCTGCAGAGTGAGCTTTTCCAGAATTCCGGAAGTGTACGTATGGCTTTTCTAAGTGCTGGGGAAAACGTGAAGCTCAGTTTGTTTAAATTGTGAATCTCATTTTGTAAAGAACAGTAGAGCTTAAGTAAGACTTAGGGAAGCAAAATATGTGACCCCCTCTCAGCGTCCCAGCAGCACACCTGTTTGCACAGTCCAAGTGCACAAGAGGACCACTGCCAGCTGCCTGCTCTAAAAATTGTCAGTATAGGCTCGTGTCCAGCCTCATCTCACTAAGCCAAAAGGTTTTAGTTTTCATTTCCAACTCTGCTATGTAGCCTTTCGTAAATGATTATAACGGGCCTACTAGTAAAAAGGGACACACAGCAAAGGGTAACAGCGGTCATTCTTGGGGAGTGAAGCAGGGGTGCCAGAGACCGCCTGAGCCAACCTGAGGTGTTCAGCATTCCCCTGTGGTTCTGGTGTTCTGTTCTGCGGCATGGTGTTGCCCCGGGCAGCCCACCCCCTTCCTTCTTCCTGACAAGTTAGAGTGCCGAGCAGTCTCGTATTGCATTTACTGCAACATTTCTCATCCATTCTGATTCTCGAGAAACTTGCTAAGAGTTAAAAGCTTGATTCAAAGGTATGTTCACAGATCCTGTTGTCTGTTGCTACTCAAAGTGTGTTCCTCAGACTCAGCAGCATCAGCATTATCTGGGGCTTATTACAAACACAGGGTCTTGGGCTCCACCGCAGACCCAGAGTCAGAATCTGCATTGAGAAGACCCGAGTGATTTACACACACTGTCCGAGCAGCACTGTGAGTGCAGCGGTTCTCAGCCTCTCCAGACCAGCAGCTTTAGATCGCAGGAACTTGATAGAATTCGGTGGGGTGGGGTAGGGGTAGAAAGGGCAGTCGTCTGTTCTTTAACAAACCCTCAAAGTGATTCTGGTGACCCAGTAATTTGGGAACATCTTGCAGTTAACTGTTTAGTTGATTTATCTATTTAAGGCTTATTAATTTTCAAGTAAAACTTCCCTGGCCGGTTTGGCTCAGCGGTTAGAGCATCGGCCTGCGGTCCGGAGAGACCCGGGTTCGGTTCCCACTAAGGGCACATACTTCGGTTGCAGTTTGTCCCCGGCCCTGGTTGGTCGTGCGGGTGGCAGCCACTCGATGTGTCCCTTCACGTCGATGTTTCTCTCTCCCTCCCACTTTATCTGTACAAAAAATGGAAAAATATCCTCGGGTGAGGATAAAAAAAAAAAAAAATTTCAAGTAAAACTGATTTGTGCTGTTTTGAGCGGTAAATAGACAGGTAGAGTACTTTTCTGAGACTTTGGCAATGGCAGGTGTGGTTATTAAATGATCTCCTTGGGTGGAAGGGATTTCTAACTCCCAGTTAAGGTAGCTTTTAGAGACCAGTTATTTGGTATTTGTGGTAAGGATTTCTCCTATTTTGGAGAGTTATTTATGAAGTAATCTCTACACAATAAATCTGTATGCACAGGAAGTTCCCACTTTGCACAGTAGAGCAGAACTGTAAAGACCATGCAAAGAGGTCTTGATAATCAACGGGGAAAGTTACGATTATTCCACAACCTTAAAAATGTCTATCAAAGCATTAAAACTCTGGTCAGGTATAGATAATATAGAAATGAAAACAAACAAACTGGCCTGGCTGGTGTGGCTCAGTAGTTGAGTGTCGACCCATGCACCAAGAGGTCGCTGGTTCGATTCTGGGTCAGGGCACATGCCTGGGTTATGGGCTCCATCCCCAGTGTGGGGACATGCAGGAGGCAGCCAATCGATGATCTCTCTCATCGATGTCTCTCTCCCTCCCTCCCTCTCTAAAATCAATAAAAAATGATAAAAAAGAACAAAACTGTAAAACTAATATTTAGTGCAGTATAATTGAGAATTAAGTGTTTCAGGACTAGTTTGAACAGTGCTCGCTGTGTGACCTTGCGGGGGGGGGCTTTCTTCAGTGCCCTTGGAACCGTCGTGCTCCTTGCTATACTAGGTGCGGATCAGCCTCCATTTGATCTTTGGCAAATTCGATGCCGTGAAATGTCTCCTAGAGTTCTTCTAATGTGAAGTTTTCTGCTGGGACTCTCTGGGACAGCTTCCTCACTCTGTTGACAAGTCCCTTTACTGGGTCCTGTGGTTGCTCACCAGTCTGTCTAGTGGAGGCAGGGTCAGCTGTTTCTTCTGACACCATTTCAGGTTGATTCTCACTTCCAGCAATACCACTTCTCCTTAGTTTGCTGCACTTCTGCCCATTGGCCAGTTCCCTTTCAGTTGTCCACTTTTTAAAAATGTCACTTGGGTCTGTCACTGGGAGACAGAGAAGCAGCATAGCCATACACACGACCTGCGTATAAACTAACAGATGCATCGACCGATGGACTTCATGAGGTGATGTGATTGGTCTGGATCAGGACATGTATCAGTTACCTGGTGTTTTGTGGACTAAACCATAGTGCCAACTGACACTTGAACCATGCTGCCTGGTAACTGGCCTTATTTCACTGGACTGATAACTGGGATCCATGCATATCGGGGCTATACAAAGAGAGGCATGCCTGTGTATTTAAAAGGAAAGAAGCCATTTTAATGGAACTTAGCAATTTCTATTTCAGGTTAATCTCACCCTGCAAATGAAGATACTGGAGCAAGAGAAAGAAATCGAAGAACTAAAGAAGCAGCTAAGCCTCCTTTCTCAGGACAAAGGGGTTAAGGATAATATGAAAGATGGGGGCGTTCCCGTCTAGCTTTATTAGGCTGTAAAGTATGAAGGTGGACTACTTCAACTCTTTAAGCTCAAATCAACTGGATTGTATAGTTTCAATCTTTATGGGGGTATAGATGATGAAATACTTAAGTTTGTATATGACTTAAGTGAGGTGTGGAAGTACCCTCAATTCCTTAAGTATCTTTCCTGATCTAGCATTTTGAACTTGACTGCTCTAAAACCTACTGTGCTCTGTCCCCTCTTCTGTCCCACAAGCTCCTATCCTGGGTCTCTTAATACTACTGTCTAGTCTCTCAGACTAAAAGTTTACACATCACCCTCAGTTCTTTTCTCTTTTGAACTCTGCCTGTCGACCACCAAATCCTCCCCTAGAAGCTTGCACTGTAGAAATCTGAGTGTGCTCACACTCACTGTGCATGAGCTGGACTGGTGGTGTAGACAGCTGCCATTTTCCCTGACCCTGTCCCATGCTACCAGTTAGCTACCAGAGGACACGTCATCATGCCCTGGCTCAAAGCCTTTGCTGCCTCTAAGGTAAAATGTGAACTTCTTAAGTGTACATCATCCCGCCTATTTCTTTCTTTCTTTTTTTATCCTCACCCAGGACATTTTTTGTTCAGGTAGAGTGGGAGGGAGAGAGAGGAAGAGAGAGAGAGAGAAAAAAAAACATCGATGTGAAAGGGACACATCAAGTGGCTGCCACCCGCACGACCGACCAGGGCCGGGGACAAACCGCAACCGAGGTACATGCCCTTAGCGGGAACCGAACCCGGGTCTCGGGACCGCAGGCTGATGCTCTAACCGCTGAGCCAAACCGGCCAGGGCCATCCCGCCTATTTCTGTCCTCATCACCTTTAGCTGGAATCATCCCCTTTCCAAGCTCTGCATTTCCTGCCCCTAAATGATCTCAGAGTAGTTCTGATGCCAGGGTTCCTGTGTCTGCACCTGCAGTTTTCTTCACAGCACCTGACTCCCGCGTTCCTCAAAGACGACAACACGATCTGTTCTTTTTGTACTGAAAAGGTGCCTGCCACTAGCTGGTACGTGTCACAGTGTACGGTACACGACACTGCTGAATTTTAAATAAAACAAAAACCACAGGTTGCATGGTGCTTTTATTGATACTTGACAATGGCCCTAAAGATGGGTTTTAGTACAAGTCTCTTTACCAATAACAGGGATGAAATAGCACCAGTCTTAAAATCAAAACCCATTAAAACCAGTTCCCGAGATTCACTGAAGGAGCTTGAGGGCAGTGCTGAAAGGCGCCAGGTTCTCACAGGCGCTCATCCACTTCTGCACGCTGGCTGGCACGGGCACACTGCAGCCTCTGGTCTGCTGCAGCACCGACCAGAGCATGACGTCGGCCACGGTGAGTTCATTCCCCACGAGCCAGGGGCTCTTCCCGAGAGCAGAGTTCATGGAGCAGAGCACGGCGGCTTTTTCTTTACCACTTCCCTCTTTTAACTGAAAAATAGCTCTGTCTACCCAGCTATCTATGAGGGTTGAATTGACTGCATTATGCTTCTGGCCAAACAGAGAGAACAAGAAACGTGCAATGTTCCCTTCTCCCTCGATGGGACACATCCTCTGGACACTGAACTTCATCTGAGTCTTTGGCACTGAAAGGAAAACACCCCATGAAAGTCAACAGGGGCACCACCCAGAGGCAGTACTTACATGTGGGGATGGGATTCCCTCACCATGAACTGGCAAGGGAAACTAGTTTCAAGAAAATCACACTTTTAGGTGTAATACTCAAGAAACTTTAAACTACGTTTAAAGAATGCAAACTAGCCCGGCTGGAGGGGGTTGTGGGTTTGATGCCCAGTCAGGGAGCCACTGAAGGCAACCGATCAATGTTTCTCCCCCTTCCTCTCTCTCTAAGCATGTCCTCAGGTGAGAATAAAAACAAAAAAAAAAGAACAACTATATGTTAACCAAGCAATCATCTGGTATTTAATTATGGCAGTTTTTACGCTACAGGGGACCTCAGACCATCTAGTCCAATCCCGGTGTCTGAATTTCCAGGATGAGGACCAGGAACCCCCAACCCAGGTCAGAGACTTTGTACCCTTAGCCCCTCCATTTGTGTGTAGCTGAGGGTGGCTAAGGCATTACTGGATGGACAACACTAACTCACTTCCCTTGCACAACCAGGGGAGGCATTCTTCACTGTGATAACGGATGTTACCATGCCATCCTTTATGGCTATTTGTTTTTTTTTTATCCTTACCCGAGGACATTTTTTCTATTTTTTGTTCAGATAGAGTGTGGGACGGAGAGAGAGAGAGAGAGAGAGAGAGAAACATCGACGTGAAAGGGACACGTCGAGTGGTTGCCACCCACACGACCCAACCAGGGCCGGGGACAAACTGCAACCGAAGTACGTGCCCTTAGTGGGAACCGAACCCGAGTCTCTCCGGACCGCAGGCCGATGCTCTAACCGCTGAGCCAAACCGGCCAGGGCCCTTTATGGCTATTTGTAAACATAACATCAATGTCCCTGTAATGACAGGTTTTAGAATGTGAGGGCAAGATGGCTATGACAGCTGCTACTCCCCTCTGGCTGGTTAGACAGGATCTCCCCTAAAATTGTGCCTCTACTGGAGACCCTAACCCTTCCATAGGAAGGAAGATGGTTTGGGGTCAGGATTCATCTGTGCTCTTCTAGTCGGACCCGAAAGCACATGGCTGAAGTCTGTACAGCTGAAGAATGTCACTTACCATTCTTCCAAATAAGAGTAAAACCCAGCTGGTATTCATTACGGGGCTGTTTTACAGTCTGCTCGCCAAAGCACCTGAGAAGGTTTTCTGGCACATTCTTGACCGCTGAGTGTGTGTGGACGGTGGACAGGACCTTGTAGCGGCTGCAGAGCAGCCGGTGCAGCACGAGCAGGGCGAGGGGCGGCGCGGCAGGGTTTGCGTTGATCACGATATCTTTCAGAGCCCCGTGGTCCTAGGGGAGGGAACCCGAACACAGGTGTTACGGCATCAGTTTGAGAGTGTACACTTGTATCAGGTGCTGTTCTGAGACCCTCGTGCCCATGCAGAAGGCGCTGCCATTATCCCCCTAACAGCTGATGACACGAGTCCTGGGGAGATACGCAACTCATCCAGGGTCACTCAGCTCAGTGAGAAGTCGAGCGGGGCTATGATGTGACGTCAGCCCTTTAGCCCCTGCACCACTGGCTCCTGACAAAAAGTTAACTACTCTCAAATCAGTAAAACAACATATTAGGAATGACACTTATATCTGTCCCTAAGTTTGAAAAAAAATCACACGTAATTATGGTCAGCCTATTGTATCCGTAGGTTTTGCACCTGCAGATTCAACCAACTGGGGACTGAAAACTATTTTTGATGTGCAGTTGTGTACCTGCAGATGTAAAAGCTGACTATGCATTGTTCTATGTCATTTTAAGTAAGGGGCCTGAGCATCTATGGATTTTGGTATCCAAGGGGGATCCTGTAATTAGTCCCCCGTGGATACAGAGGTACGACTATACTCCATTTATCAAATCTAACACCTGACCACCTAACAGCATCAATTGTTCACATCAATTTGTTTTGTGTTACATGTCAATGAAGAGTCTCCTGAAAAGCGTTGGCTCAAAATATCTTTGGTAATGGGAGGTGGAGGGAGTCAATCTGGCCTCTGGTTTTGCACTCCTGACTGATGCCCTTCGCATGAACTATGATGAATGCTTTGCAGCTGTCTGAACATAGCATGTCACTTGACGCTGTGCCTTCTTGGGTATCAAAATGAATCTCAAGCAGCACGTGCTCTGGGGAACCTTTCCAGTGTCCTGAGACCAGCACAGCTGTGTCTGGTAACCAACTCATCAACTGGACTGGCTCCCTGTGGGCCTGGCCAGGTCTCACTGGGGCCTCAGTGCATTTGAACATGTACTGGGTGATAAAGGGACACGTGCAGAGGTACCAAGGTTACCAAAAACTGAGCCTTGGGGTAGACACTGCAATATAGCCTGCATTTTTCAGGTCCTCAAGTTTTACCATTTCTATCACCAATTCTAGAGGGCACTGGCAGGGACTCTTGGGACAAACCCTTTTGCACCCTCCAATACATACTGTGTGATAAGACATTCTTTCTTTACCTATCAGTTTACACCCTAAATTATCCAAAGATTGTCGGCTGATCATTAAAGGTGGCTGATACAACTTAATTTTAATAAAGCAAATTGAATTTAAGCAAACTACACCTTGAACTACAAGACTGTGATGGCTCTTAGCAGTATAATTGACCAGGATTGGTGGGTGTTTTGTGGCTGGGCAGCCACAGCCCTGACAGTCAGGCTACTCTGAGTCAGCGTTGACTGCTGAACCTTAGGAGCACAGAACGAGTCATCGAAGATCTGTCTGTCCAGGGCTCAGGCTGCTGGAATGCTGCGGGGAATGGGGAGAAGCTGTAACTGGACTCCCTTCTCTGCCTCAGGATCCTCCCTGCTCTTCTGCACTGGGTCTGAGAGGTCAAGCAGCAGCTTTAGAACTGGTTTTGGCTTCACTGAGAGCTCATGAACCCGCTCTGAGCAACAGAACAATCATGTAGGGGAGGAAAAAGATCATGCTCTTTGTCCTGCCTCTGAAAACTAGCAAGCCAAGGCTTCATTCACATGAGCACAATTTTCTGGCACTAACAACCTAGCATGCTGATGTTCTTTAGCTTTAAGTGAACTCACCTTTCCAAGTACTGAATTTAAGTCCAATGCACTGGTTGATAAAGCAGTGGGCTCTTCGGCTTGGATTATGTGGGTTACGTCCAAGTCTGCATCTGGCGTCTGAATCATCTTGGAGAGACCATCGACTGCAGCTTTCAATTCGTACAGACGTTTTAAAATATTGTCCTGACGGGACTCAAGAGCTTGAAGAGATGGGTCAGACCCTCCCTAAGCAAACCAACACCACAGTGTTCATTTCCTCGACCATCAAAGCAGTCTGCTTAATTTGATCACTTGTCTTCTATTTAGTTCCACAAATTCATCAAACCTCCCACCTTTTAAAAAACATTAAAACAAAGCAACATAATCTCATTTCCCCCACTGTCTAATAGGTCCTGCTAGCCACCCACAAATGCTTTAAAGCAAATAAAAAGCATGACTGAAAGCTACTTTGAAACTGTGTAACTCTAATTTCAGGTAATTTAGTCTAAGAGAAGGATAGAAAATAAATACAAATTGTTCTTTATTCTTCCTATCAAAACACTTTATTTAAACAAATAGAAATGGGGGAGCAGTGAAAATGTAACTCAATTTACACTAATAGAAGGGAAAAGGGAGCACACAGAGCTTAAAATAAACAAGTGTCCTTTGGCTTGGAAGTCTGTCCAGGAGGTCAAATGATCAGTTCCCCAAATGCTTCATTCTCAGGGCAGTACTGGAACTCTCATCTTCGACTCATCTAGAACTTTTACTGCCACGTATAAATATGGAATGCTTACATTCTTCATTCACTGAATCTTTGCATCTTTCTTGCCTGGTATAGTGATCAGTACACAGTACGTTACCAATGTTTGTTTGTTTATTTATTTATGTATTTATTTTTCTTTATTGATGTTAAAGAGGAAGGGAGAGGCAGAGAGAGACAGAAACATCCATGAGAGAGAACTTCAACTGGCTGCCTCCTGCACGCTCCCCTCTCCCCCCACTGGGGATCGGGCCCACAACCTGGGCATGTGCCCTGACCGGGAATCAAACCAGCGACCTCTTGGTGCATGGGTCAACGCTCAACCACTGAGCCATACCAGCCAGACCCAATGTTTATAATAAACCTAAAATCAATACAGATTTAACTTATAAAGTAATATCGAGAAACCACCCAAGCCCGACTGGTGTGGTTCATCATCCCATGGACTGAGAGGTCCCACTTGGATTCCAGGTCACAGAATGTGCCTGAGTTGCAGGCTCAGTACCCCGTGGGAGCAGCCCATTGACGTTTCTCATCAATGTTTCTATCCCTCCCTTTCCCTCTCTAAAAATATCAATGAAAACATTAGGAAAAAATACGTTTTTATTTGAGAGAGGGAGAGATAGAAACATCAATGTGAGAGAGATACATGAACAGGCTGCCTCCTGCATGCCCCCTACTGGGGATGGAGCCGGCAACCCAGGCCTGTGCCGACCGGAAATCCAACCAGGACCTCTCAGTCCATGGGACATCGTTCATGTGGGGCTCAGTATGCCATTAAAATAATAAGGTGCTCACCAGAAACCAGTCTGAATACAAGACGAGTGCTACTTCCTGTGTAACACTCATGTTACTCAATGACAGTGTTCCTGAGTAATATTTCCGATCTCTTACCCAGAATGGTTTGCTGCACTGTTTGTGCACAATCTTATTCATTTCTACAAATGGCAGTAGGGTCCCTGCTGAGCTAGGATGAAGAAGCATCTACTGGATTCAAATGTCTTCAATGTACTGAAAATACTCAAACCAGTAACATGGCCTGTGATGACCAGCTCTAGCACAGCCGATCTCATCCCTTGTTCTGAGGAATGAGGAAATGTTCAACTCTGCTTTACTTATCATCCTTCTGTTTTTAAAAAATTTATTTTATTATTGGTTTTTGATTTTTTTTTTTGTACCTGCCCCTAGCAGGAACCAAACCCAGGACTCTCTGGTCCGCAGGCCGATGCTCCAACTGCTGAGCCAAACTGGCCAGGGCTACTTATCATCCTTTTAAATCTCGGTTTGTTGGGGGTTTTTTTGCTTTGACTAGACTGTGACCTATTGTGTTTACCCGCTTGTTTTATGTTCTATGTATTTAGGAGCAGTTTATTCTTTGTGTTGCTGTCATTGTGATGTATTTCTAATTAACTGTCTATCCACTACCATCATCTGCTACTGAAGTGGGACTGTGTCTTCTAAAGTTAGAAACTCTGGGGAGGGCGCCAGCATCAGGGATTTGTATACACTGCCGGTGAGAGCACACATCAGCGTCACCACTTTGGAAAGCAATTTATCTAGTCCGTCCCGTTGAAGACAGACCTGCCCGCGGAATCAGCAATCCCATCCCTAGTAAATACCCCACGTCGACTCGCGTACAAAAACATTCACTGCAGAAGGAAGAAACTTACAACGGAAAACCTGCGGACCTACGTGAGCAGTGGGATGGACAAACCGTGGGGTTAGTTTTGCGTTGGGAGCGGACTGCAGAGGGGACGGATACTTCGTCATTTCACGCAACAAAGCGAATCCTGAAGTCATGATGTCTAGACTCATCCAGACACAGGACACAAACTGCATGCCTCCATTCACAGCAAGACTACGTGGTCTGGGGATGCCTCTTTCGGGGGCACATAAGAAAAGCAGGGCACGATCAGGGAAGTCGGGCTTTGAGGGCAGTGACGACGTGTGTTAACCAAGGTGGTGGTGACATTGAGATCTGCGTTATGTTTAAAGTTGGCATTTTCCTGTAAGTAAAGTTTAAGCAACCAACCAGAGGCGAAAAAAGAAAATAAATACACGACCCGGGCCTGGAGGGTCCCCAGCCCCTAACCCCGTTACGCCGCAGGCCAGGCCACGGCGCCTGCGCACTGAGCGGGCGGAAGGCCTGGGCGCCTGCGCACTGAACGGTTGGAAGGGCGGGGCCGCGCGCTCTTACCTGCACGTGGCTCACGTTCTGCGCCGGGCTGCTGTCCCTGCAGTGCACGTTGGGGAGCCGGTACATGCAGGTGGGAAGCTCTACACGGAGAGATGCGCCACCCTCGTGATAGGGCTTTACCTGGTACATCGGCATCGTGAGAACCACTGGAGGGAAGGTGGCGGGTGAGGGACACGAACGCCCTGAAACCGTCAGAGACCTCCACGGACCGCGGCCACCTTCTTTCTGATCCGGCGGCGAGCGTTCGGCAAAGCTCAGTTCCTGTGCTCTAATTGGCCCGGGCTCTCTGGACGTCACGAACCGGACTTTTCATTCCACCAATCAGCGAGAAGGAGACGGACCCGCCGGTTTCTGCCCCATCCGGAAGGGGAGGGACTCCGTTTCAGAAACAGCCAATGGGCGGTTCGAAGGCGGGGCACCCGTGGGAGCGGCGACGGGAACTGTGGCGAGTGCAGAGGCGGGTCAGTCTCTGCATCCATGGAACGAGCCGAGGCGCCGAGGTGAGCCGTGCTTGCAGTCTGCCTTCGCGGTTGTCCTCTCTGCGGCGCGCGGCGTTCCAGGCCCCTACAAAGGTGGGGAAACGACCACGGCGTTGGACGAGCCGGCGGCTCGCAGGCCCCGGAACGGGCTCTTCAGCGCTCCGCCGAACGCTGCCCCTTGGGGAGCACTTTGCGGTCGGGTCGGGGGATCGGCCCGCTCCCAGGCAGGCTGACCCCAGACGTCGCCACACGTCCGTGGACCTGAAGCCGGGCCTGAAATCCCAGTAGACTGAATTCGTTTCCTTTTTTACCTGGCTTCTCTCTTTTTTTGGGGGGGGGGGAGGGTAAACAATTGAGGTTATTTTGGGGAGACTTCAAGGTACACGCTAATTTGCATTGCCGCAGTTTAAAAAATGCAGAACTTCTCGGTCTCCTGGAGAAGGCGATTCGGCGTAGCGAATCTTCGGCTGGTTCTGTGCATTTCAGTGTCAGAAGCCTGAACCCAAATTCGCAGTGTTTTATCCCCACCCCCTCAAAATAAATACCAGAAATGGACCTGTAGCTTATGGCTCCTGTGTTCTATTACGCCCAGGTTATCAAACCGTCTACTAGAAATTGCTAAGTTAATGAACGTATGGAGTGCATTCTTGGGACGATCGGGGTTTACCAGACAAGAGGGGGAGGGGAGCGGTCTAGCCAGAGAGACCTAATGGACAAGGAGCTGTGTGTAAACGAGCTTGTGCTATTCAGGATACGGTGGTTCGCTGTGACTACAAGGTAGGGGAATTGTCGAAGGGAGAGTTGGTGAGAATGAGAACATAAAGTAGACGAGGTCTAATTATGACTAGATTGTAAACGTCATACAGCAAGACAGTGGGATGCTACTAAGTTTTCAGCAGAAAAATTATTTGACCAGATTGGTGGTGTCCAAAGTAACTTGTGGTAGTAATTTGGAGGCTGGATTGGAGGAGGGAGGAAGTGGAAGCAAACCGGCTGGAAAACTCTTAAAGCAGGTACAGCCAGAACTTTGAGGACCTTTGCTAAGGCAGCTGCTGGCAGCCTGGATTTGGAGTGGAGATTCAAAGGCAGCTATGGGAATAGTTTTATAACTGGTACCCAGTTTCTAAGATGCTTTTGGTTTTGATATAAGCACTGTGTCTTTCCCACCATACTCCTGGTTTTTCAGGAAATGTTGCTTACACTTTTCAAGAAAGAAGATCCTACTATTGCAAAAGATTATTGACCTATAGCTTGCGGGGCACATGTGTCTCCTCCATGTAGATCCCAGTATAACCAGGTTTTAAAATATCTATTGCATTTGAAGTACCTAGTCAGGAGATTTTTTGACAAATATCTTAGAAATGTAGAACATTTAATAATTATGAATATAGTAAATGCATGTTTATATAATAAATGAACACGTTAGGCTCATTAAATATCAACAAGAGATGAATCACTTCTTACAGTTAAAACCAGGACGAAAAATACATTAATACACACTTGCTTTGTTTCTTGTAACTGGTTTCTTTAGTACAGAACTTGCTAAGGTCATCAAACCTATAGATCGGAGGTCGGTCCATCAGATTTGTTCTGGGCAAGTAGTATTGAGTCTAAGCTCTGCTGTGAAGGAGTTGGTAGAAAATAGTGTGGATGCCGGTGCCACTAATATTGGTAAGTTTGAGAGACTTATGCCACACGAAATAGTCAATTTATGCTATTTTATTCAAGTCATGTTTGTTACTGTAATAAGACACTCAAGTTTGTTATATAAGAAAGTACTTTTTTAAATATGTTTTTATTGATTTTTTTTAGAGAGAGAGGAAGGGAGAGATAGAAACATTGATGTGAGAGAAAAACAGATTAAGTGCCTCCTGCACACCTCCTACTGGGGATTGAGCCTGAAACCCAGGCCTGTGCCCTTACTGGGAATCAATCAGGACCTCTCAGTCCATGGGATGACGCTCAATCCACTGAGCCACACCGGAGCTGAGAAAGTATTTTTTAACTTAAACTTACTTAATAAAATAAATTAGTATGTGCCTAGTACTTAGCTAGATAGTAATAATAGCAGTTAACTTGTTTTTTAAATAGATTTTTATTGATTTTTAGACAGAGAGAAGCATCAATCGGCTGCCTACTAGGGATCAAGCCCCTAACATGGGCATGTGTCTTGACCAGGAATTGAACCTGTGACTTCTTGGTGCATGGGTCGGTGCTCAATCACTGAGTCACACTGGCTGGGCTATAGTAGTTAACTTTTATTGTGTTTTTCCTATGTACTAGGCAGACATTGTACTGAGAACTATGGATAGGATACCTTATTTAATCTGTAGAATAACCTTAAGCTATAGGAATTATTACTATTGTTACTATTATCATCTTTTTTTACAAATGAGGAAGTTAAGGCAGAGGGTATTTACTTTTTTGAGGTTATAAAGCTAGTAAAATATGACCCCAGGAAGTCTGATTCCAGAGCCTATTCTCTTTAATGAGTATGTTAAAGTTATTCATTTTAAAGAAAGAGAAAGGAAAAAACTAAAAACAAAACTATTTTATTAGGTCTAGTAAATAACCAAGAAGGACTTTAAAAAATAAAATGACAGTAATACATTTAAATAAATACAGTTATGACTTATATTTGCATTATATAAATTATAAATACTGCCAGTATAAAGGCTTTTACGTGGATCATTTCTTTGAGAAATAAATATTTTAATCTTTGTAGATTTAAGGCTTAAAGACTATGGGGCGGATCTCATTGAAGTTTCAGACAATGGATGCGGGGTAGAAGAAGAAAACTTTGAAGGCTTAAGTAAGTTGAACTTTTCTAACCCTATTTTAAAATATGTGGGCAACATATTTCAAAATTTTGAGTAAACACAAAAGCAGCTTTTCAAACCCAGTTACTTAGGTGGGTATTATGTATATTCATTGCTGTACCACTTGAAATATCCTGGGCCTTACTTGATACCTCTCTTTCAGCTCTGAAACATCACACTTCTAAGATTCAGGAATTTGCTGACCTAACTCAGGTTGAAACTTTTGGCTTTCGCGGGGAAGCTCTGAGCTCACTTTGTGCACTGAGGTGACGCAATATTTTTATTCACTAACTTGATTCCTTGTAAAAATTACTCTGAAAATTAAAAAGTGTGATTAGAATCATTATTGTTTACACCTTTCCTTCTGAAAGGCTCAACTTCTCACTTTTGCATTCTGTTTTATCTTACTACCAATCTAAGTGGTAATGCCTCTGAAATGTAAGCAATGAATGAATGAAATGAAGCAAATAGTATTGTAAAAAAACTGTTACCCTTAGTCAAGCAGTGACTTCTCAATTTTAAAATAACATAGGTGATAAATTATAGATGCTGTTAGTTTAAAAAATTTTTTTTCTTTATTGATTTTAGAGAGGGAGAGAGAGATAGAAACATCGATGAGAGAGAACATCAGTTGACTGCCTCCTGCATGCCCCTCTCTGGGCATGTACCCTGACCAGGAATCGAACCAGCTACCTCTTGGTGCATGGGTCGATGCTCAACCACTGAGCCACACTGCCATTGGTTTTCATTCTAATTTTTAGGAAAAAAATTAGAACGAATAATTTAATTATATAGTAGATTCTAAGTTTTTATAAATAGTTACTTATACATTTGAACTATAATATCTTTTGGATCCTTTTACATTTTTTGTTAGAGCCCTGGCCGGTGTGGCTTAGTTGGTTGAGTGTCAGCCCAAGCACCGAAGGGTTGCCAGTTCAATTCCCAGTCAGGGTCCATGCATGGGTTTCAGGCTTGATCCCTGGGGGTGGGGGTGTGTGTGGGGGGTCAGGAAGCAGCCAGTTGATGTTTTGTGCTCACATCTATGTTTCTCTCTCTCCCTCTCCCTCCAAAAATAAAAAACTAAAAAAATAAATAAAATTTTTGTTAGAACACTAATAACAAAACAGAAAAAGTTTTTATCGTGAATATATAAGTTTTAAGATCTTTTATTGTTTTGCAGTTCAGCCAAAGAAAACCAAATACCAGAGCTTTGATGAAAACAGCACTTATAGAGCTCTCTGTCTTACTGTCTATTAGGTGCCAGATCTTAGACTTTATGGTGACTCTCACCCATTTACACTCTCTTGATTATCTCAGAGGAATCATCATCTCTTTTTTTGGTATGTGCCCTTCACGGGAACTGAACCCGGGACTCTCTGGTCCTCAGGCCGACGCTCCAACCGCTGAGCCAAACTGGCCAGGGCGGGATCATCATCTCTTATGAGAGTCTTGAGAGAACAGAAATGAGAAAGTGAGCAAGCGATGTCCTGATGTCCAGCACCCGTGACTCTCTGACTGACCGTGCCTTACCTGGCATTCTCTTCCAGTGACGTCACCATTTCCACCTGCCACTCCTCCGCGAAAGTTGGGACTCGACTGGTGTTTGATCACAATGGGAAAATCATCCAGAAAACCCCATACCCACGACCCAGAGGGACAACGGTCAGTGTCCAGCAGCTGTTTTACACGCTGCCTGTGCGCCATAAGGAGTTTCAAAGGAATATTAAAAAGGTGCGGTCAGTGCAATCCCAGCTTCCAGAAGCATCGAAACTGTAATGAACATGCACAGCAGAAGATCTGCTAGAACGCTTTATTCTCTTGTTCTCTTGTTGAGTCTGCTGCCTGTGCTTTTTAAACAGGAATTTGCCAAAATGATCCATGTCCTCCACGCGTACTGTATCATTTCCTCAGGCATCCGTATAAGTTGCACCAATCAGGTGGGACAAGGAAAACGACAGCCTGTGGTGGGCACAAGCGGAAGCTCCAACATAAGGGACAATATTGGATCTGTGTTCGGGCAGAAACAGGTAGTGGTGGCCGTTGTCTTACTGTGCTAGTGGTTATGGCGGGTTTCCATTGTCCTTTCTGATAGAATGGAGAGTAAGATCCAAGAACTGATATTTTTATTAGGTACTTATCATAAAAATTAATATTGAATTCTGAGGATTTTTATTTTACTCTTGTAGAGAATAGAATAATACTTTTACTCTCTGAAAAAAATATATTGTGGACAATATGTTGACTATGGATAAGTAGGAGCTAAGTGTTTTGTCTTTATAGAGAAAAATAAAAAAATCATTCTAGTGCAAAAAGCAGCTGTCGAGATTTTTGTGCTCTTACTGTGGTTAGTTGACCAGGAAAGAAAACACAAGAACCCTCATGTCTTCCTTGCTGAAGTTAGGTCTGTTCTGTCTGTTAGGAAATAACGATCCTGGTGTCTTTTAGTTGCAGAGCCTCATTCCTTTTGTCCAGCTGCCCCCTAGTGACACCGTCTGTGAAGAGTTCGGGCTGAGCTGCTCAGATGCTCTGCAGAATCAGTTTTGGTGAGTCGATTGCCTCCAGGAAAATGACAACCCTTTTTTTTTTTTTTTTTTAGTTTTTTGTTTTTAAAGATAGTGATTTCAGGCTTTTAGTTTCTTTTGTTCATCATACACATGTAAGCAGTATTACTGCTGAGAAAGAGGACTTACATAAAGGAGTCAGTTACTTAGTTCAAACAATATTCTGGGTTACTGGTGGGTTTTAGGGGGTTTTCTATTGAATTAGTCTCTGTAGCAAAGGTTAGGTTGAAAAGGTTACTTTTAGACACTGTTTTATGTATAATGTTTCACTTTGTTGGGATCTGGCAGAGAGCAGTGGAGGCTGTTTCCTTTCATTCACGCCTTACTTGAAATCTAGTCCAGCATCATTACTTTTAGTGTAAGAAAAATAGACATTTTCCACAAGCAGAACTGGACCTGTGAGGTCCATATTGCTTACCCTCCCTCCACTCGCCTTTGGCTTATGCCTGGAATAAAAGACAGGGATTCATTTTTTTTAAATATGTTTTTATTGACTTTTTTAGAGACAGGAAGGAGGATCGCGCCTGCAATCGGGCATGTTCCCTGACCAGGAATTAAACCAGGACCTGCTGGGCGTGATTCCTTTCTTTATGTCAAGGAAGGCATCATTCTTACAAAAATGCAAATATCCCTGAGGTTGATCTCAGGTGGAATAAGCACTTTACCAGCACCTCAGTAGATACAAGTTTGCTAATAGAACAGATTTTAAAAGGACAGGGAACAGGTATCGGATTCCCTGGACAGCTGGTCTGGACAGCACGAGGTTCTAGAATGTGAGTTTTCAGTGAGACCCACTCCTTGCGTGGAGCCCCAGGATTTAATAGGGAAGGTGAGAGGAGAGCTGAAGCAAATAGTTTTGAACCCATGGCATTGCCCATGGTGGATTTGCTTCATGGGAGCTTTAGAGCCTTCCAGAGGCCTGTGTTCTCTTTGTGATTCACCGGAATGGAACTCAGGTGCACATTAACCAAAATGGTAGTACCTAGCAGCAGGCCACCAGGTGTTAAGTTTTTATTTCTTTTTTACTTTGAGAATGTTCCATATCATACATGTTTCTAATCCTTTTCATTCTGTACACCTGCCCTTGTTAACACTGAACAGTATCTCAGGTTTCATCTCTCACTGTACTCATGGCGTTGGACGGAGTTCAACGGACAGACAATTTTTTTTTATCAATTGGCGGCCTTGTGACCCAGCAAAGGTATTTAAAAGTGTTTTGTGCAAGTTCTTAAAAAGTCATATAAATGCATTTCTATGTGCATTTGAATGTGTTTTATGAATATTTAAACTGCACCTGCATTGTTTGGCATTTCTTCAAGAGCGTCTTGAGATTGGAAAAAGATTCAGTCTTAGGAGTCTATAGTGAAGGGGCACAAGGAATCTTTTTTGGGGTGATGGGTGTATTTGTTGTCTTGATTGTAAACTTACTTAGTTGTACACTTTAAATATGTGTAGCTTATTGCAGGCCAATTACACCTCATAAAAGCAGTTAAAAATGTATCCCTTTAGTGGTTGGTTAGAATAGCATGTTGTTAGAACCCTGGGAAAAGGGAACATTTAACTCTTTTCTAATCTTTGTTTTGTTTGTAGGTTTCCAGACTTGTGAATGAGGTCTACCACATGTATAATCGACATCAATACCCATTTGTTGTTCTTAATGTTTCTGTTGATTCAGGTAAGTTCCACTGCCGTAAAATCGTAAAATCGGACACTTACTCCTAAAGAATACAGTGAAATTATAAAGCTTTGATATGAATGGAAACAGACTGTTGTAGTAACAATTAATGTGTATTTTTTTTTTTACAGACTTTCTATTTTATTTTACAAACTTTTATTTTGTTTGTTTTTTTATACAGATTTTTTCTGCTTTCTACTGGAAACTGTGTTAATTGCATTATTAGAAAAATGTGACTTTTTTTTTATCCTCATGCGAGGACATTTTTCCATTTTTTGTTCAGATAGAGTGGGAGGGAGAGAGAGAGAGAGAAACATCGACGTGAAAGGGACACATTGAGTGGTTGTCACGCACATGACCCAACCAGGGCTGGGGACAAAGTGCAACCGAGGCATGTGCCCCTAGCAGGAACCGAATCCAGGTCTCTCTGGACCGCAGGCTGACGCTCTAACCGCTGAGCCAAACGGGCCAGGGTGAAAAATGTGACTTTTTCATGTTAGCCAAGGGAGAGAATGTTCTCCCTGGTTTTGAAAGTAATTTATGTCATATTTTTCTTTTAATAGTTAAAATTATGGTTTATTTTTGTCCAGTATGTTTTCTAGGTACTTAGAAATACGTATGTGCACACCTTAAAAGAGATGTAATGATCTATATATCTACCTATATTCTTTGGGGTGAGAAAATAATTTTGGTAATTTGGGGTAGTACTCTTTATCCTTAAATGAGAACATTTTCTTTTCCATGTCATTAAAAGTTATTTAGAGACATTTTATTAGCTGCATTCATTATATTGCAATATATGGATATATCTTAATTTGAAACTTTTTTATTCAGTTTTTGGAAACCTAAATAGTGTCCATATAATTAAATCATTGTCTCTATATTTGATTATTCCCTTTAGATAAATTCCTAGAATTTGAATGACTCCATTAGTGTATATGGTTTACCAATTTACACATCTGCCAACAGTGTACTAGGTATTATAATTTTTAACTAAATTCAGCCCAGCTGGTGTGGCTCAGTGGTTGAGCATCGACCCATGCACCAAGAGGTCGCTGGATCCATTCCCGGTCAGGGCACATGCCCAGGTTGTGGGCCCGATCCCCAGTGGGGGGCATGCAGGAAGCAGCCCGTCGATGTTCTCTCTTATAGATGTTTCTCTCTCTCCCTCTCACTTCCTCTCTCTCCAAAATCAATAAAGGAAAAAAAAATTAAAAACAAACAAAAAAACAACTAAATTTAGTAGGTGATAAAAGGACATCTTCCTTTAGTTTCTAGTTTTATTATATACTTCTGTGTGTTTATTTACTCTTTCTTTTGCAATTTACCCATTCAAATCCATGCATATTCTGTCCATTTAAAAAATTGTTCATCTTTTCCTTATTTATTTGAAAAAGCAAATTTTATAGTTTATGAATAATAATTGGGATACTAATGTCTTTAATAGTACATTTGGTCAGTACAAGTGAATAAAATAGTAGGCGGGGAAATTTCTCTTGTTACAGGTGAATTTAAACACAATATTCTTTCTTTTTTTTGCCTTAGGATGTGTTGATATCAATGTTACTCCGGATAAAAGGCAAATTTTCCTACAAGAGGAGAAGCTTCTATTGGCAGTTTTAAAGACGTCTTTGATAGGAATGTTCGATGGCGATGCCAGCACACTGAACGTCAGTCAGCAGCCACTGGTGGATATCGACGGTAAACAAACTGCAAGTGAAGCCCTGGCCAGTTTGCTCAGCGGTTAGAGCGTCGGCCCACAGACCACTGAGTCATGGATTCTGTTCCAGTCAAGAGCATGTACCTCAGTTGTAGTTTGTCCCCAGCCCTGGTTGGGTCGTGGAGGAGGCAGCCAGTTGATGTGGCTCTATCATATCGATGTTTCTCTCTCTTGCTCCCTCCCACTCTATCTGAGAATAAGTAGAAAAATAGCCTCTGGTAAGGAATAATAAAAAAAAAAAACTACAGCCCTGGCCGGTTTGGCTCAGCGGTTGGAGCGTCGGCCTGCAGTACAGAGAAAAAAAAAACTACAAATGTATAAACAGCTTCTAAAACATAGCTGTTACAATAAGTGCCTCAGTTTGTTGTTGTTATTAATTCTCACCTGAGGCTATTTTTTCATTGATTTTATTTTAGGTAGAGTGGAAGGGAGAGGAAAAGAGGGGGGAGAGAGAGAGACAGACATTGATTGGTTGCCTCCCCCACTACCTCTACCAGGGCCTGCAACCCAGGTACGTGCCTTTGACTAGAATCGAATCCAAAACCCTTTGGTCTCTGGGCTGATGCTCTAACCACTAACCCAGACTGGGCAGGGCTTTTCTTAAATTTTTTTGACATGAAATAATATCTCTTCTAGATAGAAAGAATGTGTCTCACTAGAAAGTCATCTGTTTGTTTATTTTTAATTTTTTTGTTGATATGAGACAGGGAGAGAGAGAGAGACATTTATTTGTTATTCCGCTTATTTATACATTCATTGGTTGTTTCTTTTTTTTTTTTAATCCTCACCCAAGGACATTTTTCTATTTTTTGTTCAGATAGAAGGGGAGGGAGAGAGAGAGAGAGAGAGAGAGAGAGAGAGAAACATCAATAGGCGAGGGACACATCAACTGGTTGCCTCCCACATATCCCTTACCAGGGCCAGGGACAAACCACAACCGAGGTATGTGCCCTTAACTGGAATCGAATCCGCAATTCATTGGTCCGTGGGCCAACGCTCTAACTGCTGAGCCAAACCAGCCAGGGCTCGTTGGTTGCTTCTTGTATGTGCCCTGACCGGGGATTGAACCTGTAACCTTGGCGTATCAAGATGAGGCTCCAACCAGCTGAACTACCCAGTCGGGGAAAGTCATCTGTTTAAAAAGAACAATGAGCCCTGGCCAGTTTGGCTCAGCGGTTAAAGCGTCGGCCTGCGGTCCGGAGAGACCCGGGTTCGGTTCCCGCTAAGGGCACGTACTTCGGTTGCAGTTTGTCCCCGGCCCTGGTTGGTCGTGCGGGTGGCAGCCACTCGATGTGTCCCTTCACGTCGATGTTTCTCTCTCTCTCTCCCTTCCTCTCTCTCCCTCCCACTCTATCTGTACAAAAAATGGAAAAATATCCTCGGGTGAGGATAAAAAAAAACAACAAAAAACAATGAGCAACCACATTTATTGCACAGGGATGTGCTCTTAGCAGGACTCAACTGATTGCTGCAAAGCTTTTTCATTTTCAGAGTTCTGAGAAAGTTGATTTTGACCATTTTTGCCTGTTTTCTCTTTTTAGGGAGGAGGGGGTTTTTAGAGCACTTACTCTGCTGTGTTCCCTCATGTCACAGAGCCGATCTGACATCTGTAATAATGTGCACAATCATTATTTTACTACCTGATCATAATTTATCAGCCATTTCTTTTTTTTTAAGTCCTCACTCGAGGATACATTTTTAATGGTTTTTAGAAAGAGGGAGAGAGAGCGAGCGTGAGCAACATTGATGTGAGAGAAACATTGATCACTTGCCTCTCGTACGCACCCTGACTGGGGATCCAGCCCACAACCTAGGTATGTGCCCTGACTGGGAATCAAACCGGCAACCTTTTGGGCACTGGGATGATGCACCAACCAACAGAGCCACCCAGCCAGGGCGACCATTTCTTGAAGTAGTTAGTTACATTCTTACTTATCCAAACCAAGTACATCTGAGAGAGGGGCTAGAGTTGAGCCTTTGCTGCCTCCCTTGGCAGAGGGAGGAGTTGGCCATTACCCCTCTGATGGCCAGATCTACTCCTTGGGGTAGATCTGCCTGAAATCTTGTCTGTACATGTAGAGATGGAGGCAGTGAGTGCCCACCGCTGTGTCCTCAGAGGAGGGAAAAGACCAGAGAGCTGCGGTGGCAGATGAGCATGGCTGCAGTGGAGGAAGGTGCTGTGCGATGAGGCTTTGCAAACGGCACCAGGAGCTATGGACAGGGCTTGAGGGAGGGCCGTTGCAGAGTGGTTCTGTCCTCATGTTTCCTAACCCCCAAGGGTGGGGACAGCTCGATTCAGAAGGTGCTGGGGTCGGCCCTTCTAGACGGACCTGATGGGCAGTCCTGATAAGCAGAGGACATGGTGGAGGCACAGAGCTCCCAAGGGGTGCTGTGGGAGAGGAGCATGGCAGACCTGTTTACTTGTATGTGGTAGTTCCCACGTCTTTCACCCCTACTCTGCACAGGCATTGTGGACGTGTATGTGGGGGGGGGCATTGGTGGGCTCTCTGAGCTTACTCACAGACACTCTGCCAGAAAGAGAAGCTGTTTGACCTCTCTGTGACCTTGAAGCACAGTTGAGTTAGCCATTTACCTGAAGAAGTGCATTCCCACAGAAATGGACATCAGAAGGGCATGACTGAGAAGTATATCCGCCCTGATTTCAGGGAACGGCACCCACAGAACTGCCCCTGCCCCTTTTCATACAGTAACCCTCAGTAATCACCGTTTTCCTGACTTCTAACACCATGGATTCCTTTGATCTGTTTTTAATTTGAAACAATCCAGTATGTATATTTTTTGGTGATTTATATCTTTCAATATTTTCTTTGTGAGAATCCTCCAAGTCATGTGCGGCAATTCATTCATTCATTCTCGATGCTATATCGTATTCTGTTATTTAAATACTGCGATTTATTTGTGGGCAGTTGGGTTGTTTCCAGTTTGGGGCTATAATGAATAAAGCTGTGGCGAACATCCCTGTCTGTGGCTTTGGTGAGCATGGGCAGGCATTTCTCACAGGAGAGGCGAGGCTGGGTCTCAGACGTGCATATGTTTAGATTTAGGGGACAGTCCCAGAGCGCTTTACACAGCAGTGTACCAGCCTCACTACAGCGGTGAGCAGACGGCAACATCATTTGTGGTTTTTACTTGTATCTCTTTATTGTTAATGTAGATCTGTTTTCACGTTTTATCAGTTTGGATCTCCTCTCTTGTGACATGCTGTTCACGAAAAAGTATCCTCTTATTTAATGAAAGTATCCTCTTATTCCTGACACTCCTTTGTTCACATCTGCTCAGGTCACATCATAAAACCGCAGTGGGCAGAAACGGCGAGCCCTCTGCCAGAGAAGCAAGGAAATCCCGCTTTAAGGACTGGAGCAGAGAGAAGGGCGGTGAGCATTTCCAGACTGCGGGAGGCCTTTTCTCTTCGTCACTCAACAGAGAACAAGCCTCAGGGCCTGCAGTCAGCGCAACCAAGCCGGCTTTCTCCGAGGCAGAAGGGACATGCGCTGTCTTGTAGCCCTTCAGATGCCCTCTGTCCCCAGAGGCCCAGCTGCGGCGCAGGCTGGCCCGGCCCTCGGGAAGGGGAGATGTGTCCGGATAAGGACCGAGTGGAGGCGGAAAGGGACTCGGGGCACGGCAGCACCTCAGCAGGCTCAGAGGAGGGGTTCAGCACCCCGGATGTGGGCAGTCTCTCCAGCAGTGACCAAGTAGCCAGCTCCCCTGAAGACAGGTTTTCACAGGGAAAGATGGAGTCACGTGAGAAGTTGCTGGAAACTGGGTGTCGTTTTTCAGACATGGAATGCCATTTAGACCAAGAAGACAGTGGATGTAAACTTAAAGTGTTGCCTCAGCCTCCTCATCTCTCAAACACCAAACGTTTGAAAAAAGAAGGAATTCCTTTCAATTCTGACATCCCTCAAGAGCCGGTTAATACACAGAACAGTTCAGTGTCTCAGGTCGACGTTGCTGTTGAAATTAATAAGAAAATAGTGCCTCTTGACTTTTCCATGAGTTCTTTAGCTAAACGCATAAAGCAGTTACATCACCAACAGCAGCACAGAGAAGGGGAGCAGAATTACAGGAAATTTAGGGCAAAGATTTGTCCTGGAGAAAATCAAGCAGCGGAAGAGGAACTGAGGAAGGAGATAAGGTAAAGGTTTTTCTTAAGAGTAATTTTGCTCATTTTGTTTCGAGTGAGCCAAAGGCAGATCCTCCCAGGTTCCGCTTCTGCTCCTCTGGGTATTGCTTCCTCTGCTGTGATGGCATCTCTTCTGGGTCAGGGCTGGATGGGCTCGGCCTTGGCAGCCGCACCTGGTCCTCCCTGGGGTCTTCCCTGCACCCCAGACTGCGGCTCGTGCTGTCAGACTGGCTGCAGTTTCCGCTCTTCTCTCCTTCCCCCTTCCTCCTGTCCCTCGAAGATTCTAAATTCGGAGGCAGTTTGATCCCACACACTGGTCGCTATTTTACTGGTGCATCCCAGGCAAGGCTTTCTGTACTCAGCGGCTTCTCAGAGCCGCACACGCCGCCGGTGGCTTCCTGTGAACCCTGCTGCTGACCGGAACCGTGCGGGACCTTTTCCTTGGGTTTCCTCAGCATATCCTTCCGTCAGTCCAGGTCGTTCGATGTCTCCTCGATCTTGACTTCACTCCTCCTCCCCAAGGCTTTCAGCCCGCGGTGACTTTTCCCTGCAAGGAATTCGTGGATGTTGCTATTTTCCATTTCATTGTGTGTTAGGAAAAATTAGAACACATTATCAAACCTGTGATTTCAAGAAGATCGCTCAGGATAAGGCTAAGGAAATGGAGCCAATTTAAAGAACACTATTAATAATACAGATAATAGAAAACACTGCCCCTTTTTGGTCAGTAATCATGTAGAACATCTTGACTTGTTAAAATGTTGAATTCTCATCTGGCTGGTGTGGCTCAGTGGTTGGGCATCAACCCACGCACCAAGAGGTCGCCGGTTCAATTCCTGGTCAGGGCATGTGCCCAGGTTGTGGGCCCGATCCCCAGTGGGGGGCGTGCAGGAGGCGGTCAATCAATGTTCTCTCATTGATATTTCTGTCTCTCTCTCCTCTCCCTTCCTCTCTCTCTAAAAAAAATCAGTAAAGAAAAAATAAATAAAATGTTGAATTCTCCTGCACTTCTGAACTTTTATCTTTTTAAACTTTGCCTCACCGTTTCCTGAAATATGTTGTCCTGTACACAGTGCAGCTCTGTAATTACACTGAACTTTTGTAGCACTTTTAGTCTGGACCACACAGGCTTTGCCCAATTTATAGTATAAATTCTTCAACAGTAAGTTTTTTGTTTGTTTTTTAATCCTCACCTGAGGATATTTTTCTCTTTATCTGAAGATAGTGTGGGAAGGAGGGAGGAAGGGAGGGAGAGAGAGACAGACAGACAGACAGACATCAGTGTGAGAGGAACACATTGACTGGTTGCGTCCTGCATGACCCCAACCAGGGGTGGGGAGGAACTGTAACCGAGCTACATGCCCTTGACCAGAATCGAACCCGTGACTCATTGGTCCACGGGCTGACGCTCCACCTGAGCCAAACCGACCAGGGCAGTAAGTTTTATATTATATAATTCTTTTGATATTTGTAGTGCGTAGCTTATGTTGAGAAAGGTCTTCAGGAAATATTTTCTTTCAAAAGTGTGTAATTAATGGAGATGAACTGCTCTGCTTGGGATCTGGAGGGGACTGTGCACTCGGATGCAGTGGAGAGAGCCAGGCTCCTTCAGACGCGCACACTCGCGCACAGTCACATCAAGTGTGCGTGATAGGGCACGTCAGGTGCCCAAGCTAAAGCTGCTGTCCTTGACCTTTGCCTTCTTTCAGCCCTCTAACAGGGAAGTTAACTGTGACTTCAAAAACAGATGCTAATTAATTCAGTGATCATTTATTTATGGTTCTTGAATTTTTTTCATCAGAAGACTAGTGTTTTAAAATGTCTCCTAATGAACGTTTTCTCCGTGCAGTAAAACGATGTTTGCAGAGATGGAAGTCATCGGTCAGTTTAACTTGGGATTTATAATCACCAAACTGGACGCGGACATCTTCATTGTGGACCAGCACGCCACGGATGAGAAGTACAACTTCGAGATGCTGCAGCAGCACACGGTCCTGCAGGGCCAGAGGCTGATCATGTAGGTTCACTTCAGCGGTCAGAGCTTTCAGTGTAGCTTCACCTCCCAAATTTAAGATCTAACAGCTTATACGTGTGTCTGTACGTTTACACATATGTGTTCTTTCCCGCAAGCATCCGTAGAGCAGATGTTTATACTTTTTACATAACAGTAGTCATACTTGCCATTTACTGAGTGCTCATTATGTGCCAGGCACTGTTGAAGCAATTTACATGTATTATTTCATTTAATTTTCACAAACCTATGAGATAGTTACTGTTACCATCCACATTTCACCAGTGAGAAAACTGAGGCACACAACGAGGTCACATAACTTGCTCAAGGTCACACAGCTGTGTTCTTGTAAGTATCCAACATTTCAGCTGTCAAAAAATGTTGAGCCCTGGCCAGTTTGGCTTAGCAGTGAGAGGACTGGCCCGCAGACCAAAGGGTCTCGGTGTCTATTCCTGGTTAAGAGCACGTACCTGGGTCTCAGGTTCGATCCCCGGCCCCAGTCAGGGTCGTGCAGGAGGCAACCAGTTGATGTGTCTCTTTCACATCGATGTTTCCCTCTCCCTCCCTCCCACTCTCAAAATCCATGGGAAGATATCCTTGGTGAAGATTAACCAAACAAAAGGAAATTCCCCAAAAGTTTTGTGACAGGAGAGGCACGTAGTTCAATAAAGATTTACTATTCACATTGCTTATTGAAATGAATTCAGGGATTCACAGTATTGTTTTAATTTCATTTCTGCTTTATAGCTAAGTGTTTGATTTGAAGACATGGTTTGACTCTCCCCTTTGTTTTTCAGACCCCAGACTCTGAACTTAACGGCTGTCAATGAAGCCATCCTGATAGAAAATGTGGAAATCTTCAGGAAGAATGGTTTTGATTTTGTTATCGATGAAAGTGGTGAGTTATTACCTAGAACTAGAGAACTGTGTCCCTTTGGAGCTGGGAACAGTCTCTGTGGTCACACAGATCCGTGTATTTTATAAGGGGTGAACATGGTTGCCCCTCTCTTTCAGGTGTTTAGTACAAGTAGCACTCAAACAAAACACATTTTTCAGCTAATGAGTTTTTTTCTCCAAATGTTATTCTTTTAGCTCCAGTCACTGAAAAGGCTAAATTGATTTCCTTGCCAACTAGTAAGAACTGGACCTTTGGCCCCCGGGACATCGATGAACTGATCTTCATGCTGAGTGACAGCCCCGGGGTCATGTGCCGGCCTTCCCGCGTGCGGCAGATGTTCGCCTCCAGAGCCTGTCGGAAGTCTGTAAGCGAAGGAAGCTCCTCTGCGGGCCCTGAGCTCGGCTGCTGAGCGGGCAGCACTGCGCGGGTGGCTGTGACGGCCACAGGTCTCTGTCCGTGCAGAGGCTCTTTCCTCCATCAGTGAATGCGCACGCTCCACAGGCCTGCGTTACCTTTGACCTCTACCCCGTAATTACTGCTGCTTCTCTACTTCCGTTAAGTGCAAGCTCTCTCGGGTTCGTTGATCTCAGTACAGTTAGCTATTCATCAGTGTCGTTTGTCTGTGGACCTCGTGGGTGTTAACAACATTGGTAGATAGAGGTCTGCTGTGGCCCTGACTAGATGACACTGTGCAGGTCACACCGAGACCTTCAGTCAGCAAGCGTTTCCCCGGGTGCCCCGCGAAGCGTTGCCCATCAGTTCACGGCTCGGGTGCCGGAGAGGGAGCAGTGGTTGACAGTTAGCCCGGTGTCCAGGTAACGGGAGTGAACTGCTATCACTTGCCCGTAGGAAAGGCCAGGACGCCGTTCCTTCCTTCATTCAGCAGATACGCTTGAGCCCCTGTGTGGCCCGTCCTGTGCCAGGTGCTGGGGACAGAGGGACAAGGCAGCTGAGGTCCTCACCCTTGTAGAGCTTATAGTTTAGTGGGGAGAAACAGACACACACAACCATGACACCTCCAGACACCAGTAAGTTCCGTAAGGAAATGACAGCCGTGTCGGGATAGGGAGTGTGTACAGAAAATTGAGGGGAACATTTGAGACGGGTGAGCAGGGAAAGGCTGTCGGAGGAGGTGGCATCTGAGCTGACACTTGGAGGGGGAGGTGGAGCCCATTGGATCAGAACCTTCCAAATAGAAGAAATAGCAAGTGTGAAGGCTCTGGAGGTTTGAGCAAAGCCAGAGGCTGATCTGAGTGACGGGGAGGGGACCAGGATGAGAGCAGCAGTGTCCAGGGACCCACATCGGGTGTGGCAGTCCTGGTCAGAACCTGGGGGTTGGTGCTGCTTGTGCCGGGAGCCCCTCGAGGGTTGTCGCGGCTGAGGACAGACTGTAGGCTGTTCTCGGTGTAGGGAGTGCCCAAGTGAAATACGGGCGGTGGGGAAGCAGCAGCTTCTTTACATTTGGGGTGGGTGGGATTAAGAGTTCAGCTTAGACCTGTTGTATTTGGGATTCCATGAGACGGTGAGTGGAGTTGTCTAGAATAGTCCTATCAGTGAGCCTCCCGCTCAGGGGAAAGGTCATGCTGGAGGTCAAATGTAGGTGTACTGGACAGCCATAGGGTTGGAGGAAATTACTCAGGGAAGAGTTTATTAGAGCAGAGAATAGGCCCAGGACCTGACTTTCAGCCACGGAGATTTCTTTTATGAAGACCTAATAGTGATCTAATCCTGGAGTTTGTGAATGGGAACTAGAGCTGGGACTGGCCTGTGCTGGCAGCCAGACATTTAAGTTACGTCCTCCTGTGACTCCGAGGTCTTTGGAGCCACAGGCTGCCCTTCCAGCCCTGCCCTGGCAGTCCGCCCACTGCAGCTCCTGTCCTCAGGGCAGCGCACGGAACCTGCCCATTGCCCGGGCTCTCCTCTGCCGCCGCAGGGCTCCGCTCCGGCCGTCCTGCCCTTCCTGCCCTTCCAGCCCCGCCCTGGCAGTCCGCCCACTGCAGCTCCTGTCCTCAGGGCAGCGCACCGAACCTGCCCGTTGCCTGGGCTCTCCTCTGCCGCCGCAGGGCGCCTGCTGTCCTGCCCTTCCAGCCCCGCCCTGGCAGTCCGCCCACTGCAGCTCCTGTCCTCAGGGCAGCGCACCGAACCTGCCCGTTGCCTGGGCTCTCCTCTGCCGCCGCAGGGCGCCTGCTGTCCTGCCCTTCCAGCCCTGCCCTGGCAGTCCGCCCACTGCAGCTCCTGTCCTCAGGGCAGCACACGGAACCTGCCCATTGCCCGGGCTCTCCTCTGCCGCCGCAGGGCTCCGCTCCGGCTGTCCTGCCCTTCCTGCCCTTCCAGCCCCGCCCTGGCAGTCCGCCCACTGCAGCTCTTGTCCTCAGGGCAGCGCACCGAACCTACCTGTTGCCTGGGCTCTCCTCTGCCGCTGCAGGGCACTGGCTGTCCTGCCGTCCTGCTGTCCTGGCGTCCTGCCCTTCTAGCCCTTCCAGCCCCGTCCGCTGCGCGGGTCTGCAGACCAGTCACTGCAGTCTCCCTCCCGCCTCAAGCCCTGTGTGCCTGCTGTCCCTCTGCCTGGACTCCCTGCCTCACGTGCCTCCATCACATCTCTGGCTCCCGCATGTCCCTGGGCTCTGCAGCCGCTGAAGTGACCTTCCTGGCACTCGGACATAGCACCTCTGGGTGATACTTGTCTTGTTTCTGTTAACTTGTCCGTCTTCCTCCAACGTGGTAGAGCCCTGCCCTATATTCTGCTTTAGGACTGTGCCAGGTTTAGGTTTGTCACCTCTTGTCACCTCATTTCTGAGGGCCTCAGTTTCGCTGCCTGCTGTGGCGTCTGCTCATCTCCCTGTGTCTGTCAGATGGTGATACGTGCTGTGGAGGAAAAGCAGAGCGAGGGCTGCGGAGGGATGGACACGGAGAGCTCGTCCACTGAGAGCAGGCAGGGACCAGAGCAGAAACCTGGAAGGAAGGAGAGAGGAGGCGGGACATTCCAGGAGAATGTCCTGGCAGAGGATACAGCCTGTACCAAGGTTCTGAGGCAGGACTGGCTTTACGTACCTGTGCAGGAGAGGGGCCAGGAGGCTGGTGGGAGGAGGGAAGGTTGTGTGCTTGCAGGTGCGGGCGCAAAGGCCAATGAGAGCCAAATCAGGTGATGCGTTTGGGCTGTTGCTCGGGTAAAGGCGAGGGTCGTGCAGAGGAGCCACGATAGCTGACGGACCTTTCACAGGAGCCCCTGGCTGCTGAGTGGGAACGGTGGACGCGCTGAGGGGGGAAGCAGGGAGACTGTTGGGAGGTCACTGCCGGTGCTGAGGTGACAGGTGAGGGCGGCCAGCACAGAGGTCGTGCTGGCACCGTGGAGACTGGCTGGATTCTGGACAGGTGAGGTCAGCATGTTGGGGAAGGGAGAAGGAGCCAAGGAGGGGCTGCATTTCACAGAAGGGTGGAGGCTGCGACATTAGAAGGCAGGGTTCTTTGGGGAAGATTTTTCAGGGAATGTTGTTTTTGAATTGTAATCTTGTCCAGCCTTGTTTTTGAGAAAAATATGGCTGAAGAGTTGTTCTAACCAAAACTCAGTAAAAGTAAACCATTGTGTCTTGTATTCAGGTGATGATCGGAACTGCTCTTAACACAAGTGAGATGAAGAAACTCATCACCCACATGGGTGAGATGGACCATCCCTGGAACTGTCCCCACGGCAGGCCGACCATGAGACACATCGCAAATATGGACGTCATTTCCCAAAACTGACACTTCTCGTTTTACAGAACTAGACAGTTTAATGCAGATCTTTCTGTTTTGAAAGACAGGGTTTTAACCATTTTGTTTTGTTTCAAAATTAACCCGCCATTTTAAAAAAGTACTAAAGCCGTTTAGAAATGATGTTAAGAACCTTTTGAACCATGTGGAGCATTGCTGCAGTTTTTTGTTCTTCATCTGTGCGTCTGTGTCTGTGTCCTCTGTGTCTGTCTGTGTGTGTGTGTGTGTGTGTGTACAGGCAAAAGCATATTTTTTCAAAAACAGGAAGAGCACTTTGGAAGTCATCAGGGCCTCTGCTCCGGCCCAGTATATTTTAGGTGGCAACTTTAAGTCCTAATGATGATTAAATTTGTAATGGTTAATTTCATATATTTTAAATTATGATCCTTTTGGGTTAGTGTTTCTCAACCCTGATGCACATTAAACAAAACCAAAAAAAGAAAAGAATCTGGAAAACCCAGTGGGGATTCTGTGCCCTGCTGGAAAAAGAACCCAGGTGGGGCTGGGGTCACAATTTTTAAACGTTCCCTGGTGCGGCCAGGGTGGTAAGGCACTGCAGTGGGCAAGGGGAAATAAAAGGTTTGGATTTGTTCATAATTTAATGCTGTGATGTGGTTTCCTTGGGGTGTGGGCTGCAAGGTGTTCTAGTTACTGGCTCCGAGTGGTATTGGAGATGGAAGAATTCCTGTGTTTTGTCAAATAGTTTTTCATGGAATCTCATTCCATTTGAACTCGGTCAGAAATGCCAAGTAAAAATGCCGGGTGTGGAGTCCGAGCGGACGTTGTGTCCACCGGTGCGTGTAGGCCACCACCTGCTCTCACCCTCCCTGCCCATACCTCCAGCCTCCTGGAAGAAGGGGCTCCTGTCCCCACACTGGAGTTCGTTCTTAGCTGTAAGGAGACAGGCAGCAATTCTTGCCGAGCACTATGCCGACGTGCCTGTCTGCAGAGTCTCACTTAATATTTTCAAGAACTCCAAATTGGGGTCTCTGGCTCCAAAAATGGTCATGTCCTACTCCCAGAACCCTTGCATGTGGGGCTCTGCAGATGTGACTAAGGAGTGGGCTGAGAAGCGGGGGGTATCTTGGCTGGCTGGGTGGGCTCAGTCTATCCCATGACAGACAGGTGGGAACCTCTCCCAGCTGCGCCAGGGAGGCGCTACCAGCCCATTTGGAAGATGCAGGGAAGCAGCCTCTAGAATCTGGAAAAGGCAGGAAAACAGGTTCTGGAGATGCCAGAAAGAACTAGCCCTGTTGGACTCCGAACTAACAGAACCGTTCAATGATGAACGTTGCTTTAAGCCACTAAGCAAGTTTGGGTAATTGGTTTACCGGCCAAGGAAAGCTAGCGCCTGCTTTAAATATTCCTGTGTGATGGTGGAGATGAAGAGTGAAAGAGGACACGCGGCAATCAGCAGGGCTGGGAAAACCAACGTCTGGGGACCCCCACCCCCCCAACCCCCCTCCCCCTCCAGATTTCCTCCTGGCCTTCGGGAGCAGAAAGGCAAAGACCACTGATGCCTGGCGGCTTCCGGGACGGGTGGCCCCTTTAAGGGCCGGGAGGGGCGGGGCCCGCGGTTGCCTGGCGACCTGGGGGTCGAGACGCGGGGTGAGCAGCGCATCGCCTCGGTTGGCCCTGTTCCGGAACCAGGTAAGCGCCCCGCGGGGTCCCGGGGTCCCGGGGTCCCAGTGCCCCAGGCCCTGCTGCGTCTCCGCGGACGTTCCTTCCGCCCAGCCGCCGGCCTCCGAGGACCTGGGCAGGTGCGTGATGGGCCAGGAGGACCTTAGGGAGGGACAGAAAGTGCGGGGACCCCCGGGCTCCTTTTGTGCTGCTTCGGGGAAGAAGAAACAGGAGAACACAGTGTCAAGACGGGGAGGACAGATGAAAATTAATGGGAAATTTGCCTCGTAGTTCAGATTTCACGGGTACGGGACCAGAAACCCCAAAGTAAGGGCCCGCTTGAGTTTGGAAATGAGAGCAGCTTGCTTCTCATCGAGGACAGTGATGGGGTGAGGGGTGGGGGCTGGAAAGGGTGCTGGGGTTTGAAGGAAGAGAGGAGCAATGTATGAGCAAAGCCTAGACAGAGGTGGGTGTCCACAGGACGCCCTCCAGGCGGCGCAGGGCGTGGGCCGGCCCCTGGACCCTCTGGGCACACGAAGAGGGACACTGCCTTGCACCCCAGGATTTACCTATGTTCCTGCTTGATGGGCTGAGATGCTTTCAGTGGGGCCAGTTTTAGAGGGCCATGGACACTGGCTCTGGAGCTGCCCCTCCGTTCTGACCTTGACCCGTTTCTTGTCTGGCTGGCATAGGGGGTGCTCAGTCCGTGGTGGTGCTGGCTTAGGGAGTAGGTGGCCAATGACTTCAAGTTCCAAAACAGCAAAGTGACCTGAAATAATCCCTCCATCATTGATTGTGCGTCCTTTCCCATACTTGAGAAATGGGAATCAATTTATTTACTTGTGCATCAATTTATTGAATCCTTATAAGGAAACAAGGTCCTGCTATTCCTATTTAGTATCTGAAGCAGAAGGACATTAAGTAACTTGCTTAAGAACACACAGTTGGCTCAGCGGTTAGAGCGTCGGCCTGCAGCCCAGAGAGAACTGGGTTTGGTTCCCACTAAGGGCACGTACCTTGGTTGCAGTTTGTCCCTGGCCCTGGTTGGGTCATGTGGGTGGCAACCGCTCCATGTGTCCCTTTCACGTCGATGTTTCTCTCTCTCCCGCTCTATCTGAAACAAAAAACAAAAAAATGTCCTCGGATGAGGATAAAAAAATAAAATAAGAAGAAAAAAAGAACGCACAGCTGGTCAGGGGAACTGGGGAGCCTGAGTCCAGCTTTTAGCACTGTGCCATGCTGGCATATCAGGAGAGGGGCTCTTTGGTTAACCCTCACCTGTGGATATTTTTCCATTGGTATTTTTTAGAGTGCAAGGGAGGGAGGGTGAGAGAGAGAGAGAAACATTGACGTGAGAGAGACACATCGATTGGTTGCCTCCCACATGACTCTGACCGGGACCAGGGAACAAATCTGCAACCCAGGTACGTGCCCTTGGTTGAGAATCGAACCCAAGACCCTTTGGTTCGTGGGCCGACACTCTAGCTGCTGAGCCAAACTGGCCAGGGCAGCAGGATAGGGGCTTTTATTTATTTATTTTTATTTTTTTATCCTCACCAGAGGACATTTTCCCTTTTTTTTTTGTTCAGGTAGAGTGGGAGGGAGAGAGAGGAACAGAGAGAGAGACAGAAACATCGATGTGAAAGGAACACATCGAGTGGCTGCCACCCGCACGACCGACCAGGGCCGGGGACAAACTGCAACCGAGGTACGCGCCCTTAGCGGGAACCGAACCCGGGTCTCTCAGGACTGCAGGTCGATGCTCTAACCGCTGAGCCAAACCGGCCAGGGCAGGATAGGGGCTTTTAAAGTATGGACTGACAGCATGCAAGACCTTAGAGTTTAAGTAGCTGTTCTTCATGAACAGGATTACCCTTCTTATTGGGACACTATTTGAAACAAATGGTATTCAGTGGTTCCAATTAAAAAAAATTTAGGAGCAGTATTATTTTAATAAACTGGTGATACCTGCTACTTGTAACTTTTTATGCTTTTGGAGAACGATAATGACACTGGGTTGCAAAGCTAAACTTTTCATTACGTGTGAAACCCTCACATATTTAGAGACATAATTTTTATATTTCAGGTAAAGCTCATCAGTGCTTTGAAACAAACAGCTCTTAACCGAAGGAATTTGATACTTCAATTAAGGCAATGGTGAAAGAAAAGAAAAAAACAGACAAAAAGGTGGATAAGTCTGCCCACTCTCCGTCATCTCTCTCTGATAATCCAGAATTTTCCAAGCAGGATGGCAGTTCTGCTAGACACGAAATGTCCCCAAGCACCATCCCACCTTTGGGACCAAATGAACTGGGATCCAAAAGGGATTCCAGAAGTGACAATCAGCACAGTGAAGAAGCTGCTCAATATGAAGAGCCCATTCTGACCACTCTCATCATTGAAAGGTGACCCTGATGGGAAGTCTTGGCCATGCTCCCTTTTCCACCACGCTTTTGCTTTGTATTCTCTCTCTCTGCCCGTCTGGCTGCAGCTTCACCTCCCCACCCCCGCAGATGACTAAGCAGCTATGTTGTTAGCACTGTCCTCTCTCCTAGAGTTTTATAGGTTCACATGTTTCACCCCCTGCTGTCCACTGTCCGCTGGACTTCATACTCTCTGTGTCCAAAGCAAAGACGGCAGGACGTGAAACAAGACAAGCTGGACCTGAGACGGCTCTGTGGCATCAACCCCATCACTGAACCTTTCTGAGCTTCAAGGTCTTTTTCCTTCCTTTCTTTTTGGTACGTGCCCCTAGCGGGAACCGAACCCAGGACTCTCTGGTCCGCAGGCCGATGCTCCAACCGCTGAGCCAAACCGGCCAGGGCAGCCTCAGGGTCTTAATCGGGGAAACTAACAGACTGTACCCTTTATAAAGTACCTCTGAATGTGGCTGTTTCTCTCCCAGACCTTGGCTTCTCCTTAGGGCCTGTTTCTGTCTGGACCGCAGGCCGACGCTCCAACCGCTGAGCCAAACCGGCCAGGGCTTGGGGCCTGTTTCTGTAAGGGCACCACCGTTTTCTTGTATATCAAGGAAATACAAGATCGGAGAACTGACCTCCTTCTTCCTCGTGCCCTTCATATTTCTTTTTCCTCTATGCTTCTGGCATTAGTCCCTTTCTCTATGCAGAGACTCGTTACCTCTTGACTGGGCTATTGGACTTGCTTCCCAAAGATTTCCCTGCTTCTAGTCTCTTCCCAGGCCTCCTGGATAGATTTACCTTCCTGTTTACATCGCTCCCTGTATTAGTCATCTATCTCTGTAACAGATCACCCTAAAACATGACAAAACAATACGTATCGTCTCACATAGTTTATGGGGGTCTTTGAGCAGCTTAGCTGGACGGGGTTGGGTTAGGGTCTCAGGAGGTTCGGTCAAGATGCCAACCAAGTCCGCCATCATCTGCAGGTCTGGCAGGTTGGACACTCTGCTCTTAGAGTGGCTCCGCAGCATGGCTGTTGGCAGGAGGCTTGGTCTCATTTCCTTGTCACATGGACCCTCCCCACAGGGCGGCTTGAGTGTCCCCATGACATGGCAGCTGGCTGTCCCAGAGAGTGATACAAGCGAGAGCAAGAGTGGAAGCCACAATGTCTTTGATGACATCCTACTGGTCACACGTGTTGGCCTTATTCATTATGGAAGGGTACTCCCTGAGGGCATGACGGACCAGAGGTGAGAGTCGCTGGAGCTGGTGGGAGGCTGGCTCCCACCCTCCTCGTAAAAATCCTTAGCCTCTTTCCACTGTCTGCAGAATAAAACACCTTAGCCTGCCCCTCACCTCAAAAACCCAAGAGCCCACTAGCCTTCCCCCCACGATTCCATTTCTTTGGATCTTTGCTTACAAAGATTGCCTGGAACGTTTGTCCCCGTTTCTGAATGCCCAAGTGCCACCCACTGTTCAAGGTCCAACCTTTCCATGCTTTCCATTAGGAAGTAACTTTCCTCAAAACTTAAACTTTTCTATTATGTATTACTATATGCATAGTATATATTACTTTCTATTGTATGAATTACTGTAATTTGTTTGTAAGTCTCAACTTCTCTTCCAGGCTGAAAATTCCTTCATAGCAGAGATACACCCAGAGTATCAAATGCCAGACCTCAGGCCTAGTAGGGGCTCAGTCAAGATTTGTAGTTTGGCCCTGGCCGGTTTGGCTCAGCGGTTAGAGCGTCGGCCCGCAGACCAGAGACCTGGGTTCGGTTCCCACTAGGGGCATGTACCTTGGTTGCAGTTTGTCCCCGGCCCCGATTGGGGTCATGTGGGTGGCAACCACTCGATGTGTCTCTCTCGCATCAATGCCTCTCTCTCTCTCTCTTCCACCCTCTCTCCCTCCTGCTCTATCTGAAGGTAAATGCTGGAATGTCCTTGGGTGAGGATAAAAAAAAAGATTTGTAGTTTGAATGGTATCAGCAGCCATTTATTTGAGCACTATAGAAAGATACTAAAAAGTATGAAATATGATCGATACTGTTCCCCACCCCACTCCACCCAGCCTCTGCCTCCTCTCATCTTCCTCCTGATCGCTCTTCTTCGCTCCACATGTTCTAGCTGTGCTGCTCTCCTCTCTGTTTGCTGAACTGGAGATCTCAGGCTCTTTCCTGCCTCAGGGCCTTTGCACTTGCTGTTCCCCCTTCCTGGGATCCTCTTCCCACGGTTCTTCTCATGGATGTTCTGTCTCAGGTCCTTTCGGTCTCAGTACAGTTCTCATGTCCTCCGCAAGACCTCCACCCTGACCATCTGTATACGGCAGCCTTTTTCGCTCGTCACTTCTTTCACAAACATCGAACACACTCTGGAATTATCTTGTTTGTTTGTGTCCAGTTTGTTGTCTCATCGATGAACAGTAAGCTCCGAAGGCAGGAACTTTCCAGTCTTGTTCATAGTTCACAGTTCTCAGACTGGCACTTAGAAGGGGACAGGCATCTCGTGGCCCGCAGGGAGTGTTTGTTGAGTGAATGAATGTGAGATGTGCCTCTTCATTCATGTTGATTATGTATCTTAACCCATTGTCACTTAGGTTTACTGACATCATTCATGATCTTGAGTTTCATTTCTCTGTAGCTACAAAGGGGGAAAAGCCCACGGACTGTATGAGGGAGAAGGCTTTGCTGTCTTCCAGGGAGGTTGTACCTACCGCGTGAGTCACACCTTTGGGGACTGGGCAGGGAGGAGGGTGTGGGCTGACAGTTTTAGATTTGCCTCTTCAGGTAAATCCACTGATTCTTCAAAAGAACTAGGAAGTACTTGATGATGATTTTATTTTGAACCCTGATTATATATTTTAAGGTAAAAAAATGGCTCAGTACAAATGACTTAGTCATTTTAGATTTTTTTTCTCTTCCTAATTTTTATTTATTGTCCAAACATTAAGGTCACTACAGGAGCAAATAATGAAGAGCAGACCCAACCCCCAGTATCATCATCCTTTTGCCATAAACGTGTGTTTTTTTTGTTTTTTGGGTTTTGTTTTTTTGTTTTTTATCCTCACCGGAGGACATTTTTGCATTTATCTTCAGATAGAGCTGGAGGGAGGGAGGAAGAGAGAGAGAGAAACATTGATGTGAGAGAAACACATTGTGCCACCCACACAACCCCAACCGGGGCCGGGGACAAACTGCAACCGAGGTACGTGCCCTTAGCGGGAACCAAACCCAGGTCTCTCTCGTCCGCAGGCCGATGCTCTAACCGCTGAGCCAAACCGACCAGGGCCATAAATGTTTTTTTCAATCCTCACCTGAGGATATTTTTCTATTTATCTGTAGATAGAGTGGGAGGGAGAGAGAGTAAGGAAGACAGAGAAAAACATTGATGTGAGAGGAACACATCAGACTGGTTACCTTCCACATGACCCCAACCAGGGCCAGGGATGAACTACAGCTGAGGTACGTGCCCTTGGCCAAAACTGAACCCGTGACTCATTGATCCCAGGCCGATGTGCTACCACTGAGCCAAACTGGCCAGGGTGCCATAAATATTTTTAATTTACTATATTCCTTTTATTCCTTGAATGGATGTATCAGTATTTTAAACTGGGCATATTCATTTTGTCGATAACACCTTGGATCTTTTTTCACTTATGAATCTATCTTTGTATTGCTACATGGTTTCATAATTAAAATTTTTTTTTTCTTTTTGTTGATCCTCACCTGAGGATCTTTTTCCATTGAGTTTTTTTAGAGAGAGTAGAAGAGAGAGAGAGAGAGACATTGATGTGAGAGAGACACATCGATTGGTTGCCTCTCACACGGGGCCAGGGATTGAACCTGCAACCCAGCTAGGTGCCCATGACTCGGAATTGAACCCATGACCCTTTGGTCTGTGGGCCGATGCTCTAACCACTCAGCCAAAACGGCCAGGGTATAACTTAAATTCTTTTTATTGTGGAAAATATATATAACATCAAATGCATCATCTCGACGATTTGTAAGTTCAGTGGCATTAAGTGCACTTAGCAGGCTGTACAACCTTCACCTCTGTCCGATTCCAGAAATTTTTCATCGTCCCAAACAAACTCTGTATCTATTAAACACTAGCTTCCCATCCCCACCTCCACAGTGATTATTTTAGCATTGCACAGCGTCCTCATTTACTGTTCACAACCGTGCCATGGTTTTTGGATACTTTGGGGGTGTTTTCATTTTTTTCTTTTATTACTAATGCCACAGTGAAGGTATTCATTCATTCATTCATTCATTCATTCATTCATTCAGATTCTCAACGAGATATGTGATTATTCTAGGAGCACATTGTTTGGTTGAGGCCATAGGCATGAGTTTTACTTCCCTATTTTTCCTCCTTAATATCGCAACACGTCCATTTCCTGGGCCTGCGAAACGCAGAGCCAGGTGGAATCCGGGCCCACGGTTAACGCTGCGCAGGACAGACCGCCTGGCATACGCTCCAGGGAACTGGACTTTGCCGGACGCCACCTCGGGTCCCTTGTAGAACAGGGTGGAGGCGAAGGTGGTGCCGGCCCCTGGGCGGCTCTGCCCCACGGCCATGTGCGTGGACAAGCTGTGCGGGTGAAAGGGGAGGAGGCTGCGCGTGAGGTCGGTGACTGGTCCCAAGGGTTTGTCGTCCTCTTTTGAAGGGTATGTTTTCCGAAGGACTCATGCATGGACAAGGGACTTACATATGGGCCGATGGAGTGAAATATGAGGTAAAGCCTTTACTGCATTATAGTTCTAAACTGTAATTATGAATGGTCAGGTTCCCACAATTAAACATACTACCCTCATAAAAGTAATTCCGCGCGTGGGTTAAAGGAACCCACAGAACCAAAGAACGCAGGTGAAAAGCACCTCGCCACGGCCCAGGACCCGCTGGTGCTGGTAGCAGTGTCCTTTATGTTCTAGAGCCGCGGTTCTCAACCTGTCGGTGGCGACCCCGTTGGGGGTCGAGCGACCCTTTCACAGGGGTCGCCTGAAACCACCAGAAAACACGTATTTCCGATGGTCTTAGGAGCCCAGACCCCGCTCCTCCGTCCGCCCACATGCAGACGCGCCCACAGACGACATGAGGAGCTGGAGTCAAGGGTCGTGGCATCAGGTGGGCTGAGAACCACTGCCCGAGAGGTGTCTATGTGCTCTGTGCAAGGGCGGCACACCTGCACGCACTGGGCCTCTGCTCCTTTGCAGACACTTTAGCAGAACTGTCTTCTGTACCTTCGTGTCGTCGAGACCACCAGAGCCAGGCACTCAGACCCCCTTCCCACTGGCGGCGGGTGTTCCGCTACACGGGCTCCACTTGACCCCTCGCGCTGGGCTGAGGGGAAGATGCATTTTTAAGTCTGTTGCTGTAACTGAACTGCCCTCCATGAGAGGGCCCCGATTTCAACTCCCACTCACGGCCTTCGGGAGAGTTCCCAGGCCGGGACGTCACCCCGTGCCGCCTGGAGCTCGGTCTCCACACAGCCACCCCGACCCCCTCTTCTGCCCGGGCTTCTACCCAGTGGGGGGACCAGGGGAGGGAGGACAGGGTGTGTAGAGAAGGAGACGGGGGGATATTCGATGTTCCCATGGGAGGAGAGAGAGACAGGTAGTCGGGGACACGTCTCAAACAGTATCCAGGCTCGGGGACCTCTCCACAGCCTGCTTTCTGTCACTCTTCTGGCCATTTTGCCTCAGGGGGACTTTGTGAAGAACATCCCCATGAACCGCGGCACGTACACGTGGCCGGACGGCAGCACCTACGAAGGAGAAGTGATCAGCGGCATGAGGAACGGCTTCGGTGTGTTCCAGTGCAGTACGCAGCCCGTCTCCTACATCGGCCACTGGTGCCAGGGCAAGAGGCACGGGAAGGTGGGCGAGGCCGCCACGTGGCGGCCACCCGCGCAGAGGGGACGAGCACAGAGGGCGGGTGTATATCTAGGAGTGGAATCGCCAGGTCCCATGGAACCCGTGTCTGATGTTGTGAAGAACCCCCAGACTGTCTCCCACGGTGGCTACGCCATTTGCATCCTCACCAGCCGTGCGGGTTATGCCCACTGGCAAGCAAGGTGGTGGTTGTGGGTACCCCTGTTTCTTTCGTATGGGATGATAAAATGCTGTAGCAATGTTTATAGGAAATGTCCCGAGAAAAAAGTCTACCATTAGAATCATCACTTCACTCAGATGTGGGCTGTTAGACTGTATTCTGTTTGCTCGGTTTGGTTTTGTTCACGGCACATCAGTTCAGACGTATTGGGGGGGCGGGATGGTGCGCTCTCCACAGGCCCCTGGATGGCTGCGAGGAGGAACAAGTCAGCTCGACAATGAAGAAAAAGAGAGAAAAATATCTCTCTCTCTCTCTCTCTCTCTCTCTCTCTCTCTCTCTCTCGTGCGCGCGCACACACCAGTAAACAAACAAGCAATCGGAGGCCATTCCTTGTAGATCCAAATACTTAGCACAGGGGCCAGTCCACTAGAGGAGTAAAGTAAGTAAGGTGTCCAAATGCGTAAAAGAAAAATGGTTTTAGCCCTGGCTGATTTGGCTCAGCGGTTGGAGCGTTGGCCTGCCGACCAGAGAGTCCCGGGTTTGGTTCCCGCTAGGGGCACGTACCAAAAAATGAATAAATAAAATTAAAAAAAAAAAGAAAAATGGTTTTAGCACATAAGAGAGTGACCTTCAGTTGTGTGGAAGGTGCTACTATCCCTCTGGGTTACAACAAAGCAGGACTTGTTCAGGCCCTTACTTGACTAATGGTTGTGAATATAATGACCACACTGAACGTAATGAATGTGCATGGTCGACATGCCTGCCTGTGGCACTTTGTTATCGAGGAGCCATGGGTTTGTGACGTCTCGGTCTCCCTTGGTGGACACTTGACCACATTCTTGACTGCAAAGCAGAAGCAGCACGGATTGTCGTCTTGCCTAAGTATGTTTTTTTTTTTTTTATCCTCATCCGAGGACACCTTTCCATTTTCTGTACAGACGGAGGGAGAGGAAAAGAGAGAGAGAGAGAGGGAAACATCGATGCGAAAGGGACACATCGAGTGGCTGCCACCCGCACGACCAACCAGGGCCGGGGACAAACTGCAACCAATGTACGTGCCCTTAGCGGGAACCGAACCCGGGTCTCTCGGGACCGCAGGCGGACGCTCTAACCGCTGAGCCAAACCGGCCAGGGCTTGCCTAAGTATGTTTGACTTCTGTATGGTTTAGGCTCCTCACACCCACACAGCGTCTTTTCTCTTTACCTATAAAAAAGCACATTTATCTTATGAGGCTCGATTTTGTAAAAATGATCTTATTTATTTTAGGGCTCCATTTATTACAACCGAGAGGGTACCTCTTGCTACGAGGGCGACTGGGTTCACAACACCAAGAAGGGCTGGGGGATAAGACGGTAGGTATCACCGCCCCTCGATTGGGGTGTGGCCAACAGTGCGCGGGGGCCTAAATGGTGTTCACTTAGGCTACTTAAAGTAAGGGGCAGAAATCACAGAGAACATGTTTTCTATATAAGCACGGTGGAATATTAACCCCGATATAACTTCCATGGTAATAAAAATATTCTACAGAAAATTTAGAAAAGCAATATATATATATATATATATATATTTTAATCCTCACCCGAGGATAGTTTTACATTTATCTTCAGAGTGGGAGGGAGGAAGGGAGAGAGAGAAAGAGAGAGAAACATCGATGTGAGAGAGTCACATCGACTGGTTGCCTCCCGCGTGACCCCAACCGAGGCAGGAAACGAACCGCAACCGAAGTACATGCCCTGGGCCAGAATCGAACCTGGGATTCTTTGGTCCACAGGCTGATGCTCTAACCACTTAGCCAAACCGGCCAGGGAAGAAAAGCACCATATTAAATGATGTCTAATCATTCTGTTTTACTTTATTCTATATAGAAATAGCCTTTCTTTGTTCTCTGTATTAATTGTGGATCTCTGTGATAAGTTCTACATTTTGTGAAGAACATTGACACATTTTCTTGATTTTTAGATTAAACTGATAAAGTCCAAATATTTGGGGGCAAAAGATTAACTAATTGTAGTATTACAGGGAATTACTATTATTAAAATTTTTTTTTCTTTATTGATTTTAGAGAGAGGAAGGGAGAGGGAGAGAGAGAGAGAAACATCAATAAGAGAGAACATGCCTCCTGCATGTCCCCCACCGGGGATTGGACTCACAACCTGGGCATGTGCCCTGAGTAGGAATCCAACCGGCAACCTCTTGGTGCAGGGTCGACGTTCAACCAGTGAGCCACACTGGCTGGGCACACTTTGTCACTATTAAATGATCAAAAATTTAATAAAGTGATTTATTCTACCTCCTAAGATGATGATTATTATTTTTTTTACCAACCACATACCCACCCACTGAATTTTAGTACAGGGAAGATTGTATGGGCGAGAGGGTTGGATTTTTTCATAAGAGTGTGGGTGACTGTCTACGAGAAAGTCCTAGTGAACGTATATGAGATTATGAGATGACGGATTGTTTTGAATTGTTTTTTTGTTTTCTGGTCCTAGTTATAAATCAGGCAACATTTATGAAGGCCAGTGGGAAAACAACATGCGCCACGGGGAAGGCATGATGCGGTGGCTGACGACGAACGAAGAGTACAACGGCCAGTGGGAGAGGGGCGTCCAGGTACGGCGCCGGCTGAGTACAGCCAGAGGGGCGCTCCGCTGACCCACAGCGCGTGTTGTTCGGTATCGTATCATGTGGCAGTCTGAAACTCCAGCTCTGCTCAATTCAGAAACTCCACTTATGATTTCCTGGTCTAAACCAGACTTTTTTTTGTCCTCACCCGAGGACATTTTTTTTGCATCTATCTTCAGATGGAGCGGGAGGGAGAGAGGGAGGAAGAGAGAGAGAAACATCAATGTGAGAGAGACACATTGAGTGGCTGCCACCCACATGACCCCAGCTGGGGGCTGGGGACAAACTGCAACCAAGGTATGTGCCCTGAGCGGGAACTGAATCCGGGACTCTCTGGTCCGCGGGCCAACACTCTAACCGCTAAGCCAAACCGGCCAGGGTCAGACTTTTAAAAAAAAATTAATTTAGTTTTGTTACAGATGTTTCTCCTTTTTCCTCTGCAGACACCCTCCTCCCTATCCTGCCCCCCTCCAAACATTGTTGTCTATATCCATTGGTTATGCATACATGCATGTAAGTTCTTTGGTTTATTATTAAGTTTTCTTGAAAGGTTTCCCACACAAGCTAGGTTCTGCCATTGGTGAATCCATTATGCACACAATACCTATGAGACTGAGACCACTGTTTACATGTTGGAAGCTATATACTTCCTGTACAGAAAACAAAAACTTTATGTGGTTAATTTTATATAGTTTATATACTAGGATTTTCTGATGATATCTTGTGTATATTCATCGGGTAACCAGGGACCTTGCTAAACTCACATAACAATTCTAGGCACTTTTTGGTAGATTCCTTGAGATTTTTTTTTTTTTTTTTGGTCCAGACATCATATTGTCTATAGTCAACCTTGTATCTTTCTTTCTAATCTGCGTGCCACTTTTTTCTCTTGCCAGTTGCACTGGCTAAGAGCTCCCATATGATACTGAACAGGAGTGGAGAGAGCAGACATCCTGGGGTTGTTCTTGATCTTGGTGGGAAAGAATTTAGTCTTTGGTCAAGTGTGATGTTAGCTGTAGTTTGTATCATAGATGCCCTTTATCAGGTTGAGGGAGCTCTCTTTAATTTTTAATTTCTTTCTTTTTTTTTTTTTAATCCTAAATGGATATTGAATTTTGTCTAATGCTTTTCCTGCCTCTAGTTAGATGATCGGGTAGATTTTCTTCTCTAGCCTGTTGATATATTGAATATACATTGGTTGATTTTCAAATGTTGAACCAACCTTGCATTCCTAGGATAAACCCAGCTTGGTCATGATGATATTATCCTTTTTATGTCTTGCTGGATTCCTAATGCTTTGTTGAACATTTTCGTGTCTGTGTTCATGAGGGATATTGATCCATAGTACTCTTTCCTTAGAATATATTTGTAAGCTTTCAGTAGTCAGGGTAATGTTGGCCTTGTAACATGAGTTAGGAAGTGTTCTCTTCAATTTTCTAGAAGAGTGTGTAGAATTGGCGTTATCTCGTTCTTAGCTGTTTAGTTGAACATGCCAGTGAAGCTCTGGGCCTGGAGTTGTCTTTGTGGGAAGATGAACTGTAAATTAACTATACAGTAACTATAAAACGTATTTAGTAAATGATGTGCTATTCAGGCTGTTATTTTCTTCTTGAATACGCTTTTGGAAGTTATTGAAGGAAATTGTCCATTTCATATAAATTGTTAAATTGACTGGCACAAAGTTCATAATATTCACTTATGGTTTTAACATATGTGGGACCCATGAGGATGTTCCTTCTTCTGATGTTAGTAATTGTGCTTTCGCTCTCCTTTTCCTCATCAGTCTTGCTGGAGGTGCGTCAATGCCACTGAAGTTCTCAAAGAGCCCATTTCAGTTTTATTTATTTTCTCTGATTCCTTCAGTTTTCACTTCGGTTATCTAGTCTTTGTCATTACTTTCCCTTTGCACACTTTGGGTTGAACTTGCCCTTCTTTTCCTAGAGTTGTAAGGTGGGAGGCTCACTGATTCGAGACATTCCTTTTCTCAGAGCATTTAATACTATGGTTTTTCACTCCGAGCACTGCTTCATCTGCATCCAACTAATTCTGACACACTGTGTTGCCATTATTTTCCCGTTCAACATATTTTCCAATTTCCCCATGACTTTCTCTTCGGCCTCTATGTTATTTTGAAGTATGTTGCTTAATTTTCAAATATTTGGGGATTTTTTTCCAGACACCTTTCTATCATTGATTTTATGGTTTATTAATTCCACTGTGGTCCAAGAACATACTCTGCACGATTGTATTTCTTTAAAATGTGTTGGCGTTTATTGTATGGCCCCGAATACGGTCCGCCTTGGTGAATGTTAGACGCCTTCCTGCCTGTTGCTGAGCGGGCTGTTGTGCAGTCAGCTCGATCCGTGCGGCTCTTCGGGTCTTCCGTCCACCACTCTCTCTGTCTGCATTTCCTATCCACCTCTAAGAGAAGAGTGCCGAAGTGTCTGGGTTTAGCCGTAGATCTGTGCATTTCTCCTTCCACATCTATCAGTTTTTCCTTCGTCTATTTTGAAGCTACGTTGTTAGGTGGATACACATTTAGGATTTAGTAGCGGTTACCCCTGGGAAGTGGGATTCAGCGGGGGGCACTTTTATCCAACTGTTTGTTAAAAATAAATAAAATTTAGCCCTGGCTGGTTTGGCTCAGTGGTTAGAGCGTCGCCTACAGATCAGAATCCCGGGTTCGGTCCTGCTAAGGGCATGCACCTTGGTTGCAGTTTGTCCCCGGCCCCGGTTGGGGTCTTGTCGGTGGCAACCAGTCCATGTGTCTCTCTCACATCGATGTTTCTCTCTCCCTCTTCCCCCCTCTCTCCCTTCTGCTCTATCTGAAGATAAATGCAAAAATGTCCTCGGGTGAGGATAAATAAATAAATAAAATTTAACATAATCCATATCAAGCCAGGCACTTTCCATGTGCTATCTCCCGTCTGTAGACCCAACCTGTAGGGTAGGTGTTATTCCCATTTTACAGATGAAAGACAGAGGCTTCAGTAATTTGCCTTAGGTCAGAAGGTGGGTTAGTAAGTAGCTGAGCTGAGACTGAACCCGATTCTGTGTGACCCTAAAGTTCATGCTCTTTGCCCCGTCAAATGAGTCATTGTATTTCATCCATACCTAACCGTCAGTAGATTCAAGTAAAAAGAGGAAATATTTTGAACATTTCTCATGGAAGTTTTCTTTTTTTCCCAGAATGGTTTAGGAACACACACTTGGTTTCTAAAGAGAATCCCCAACTCCCAGTATCCTTTGAGAAATGAGTACAGAGGGAACTTTGTGAATGGATGTCGTCAAGGTTACGGGAAGTTTTACTACGCCAGTGGAGCCATATATGAGGGGGAGTGGGTTTCCAATAAGAAACATGGCATGGTGAGTACAGACCTGTGCAGGTTACATTTTAAAGACCATGTAAAGCACTTGAAATATAGTAAAAGGCGTGTTGTTCTCTATCCAGTAAAGCACATTATCCATTTTGCATAGGATAACTTCCTGTTTGTATTAAGACAATCACATGGCCCTGGCCAGTTTGGCTCAGCGGTTAGAGTGTCGGCCTGCGGTCCGGAGAGACCCGGGTTCGGTTCCCGCTAAGGGCACGTACTTCGGTTGCAGTTTGTCCCCGGCCCTAGTTGGTCGTGCGGGTGGCAGCCACTCGATGTGTCCCTTCACGTCGATGTTTCTCCCTCTCTCTCCCTCCCACTCTATCTGTACAAAAAAATGGAAAAATGTCCTCGGGTGAGGAAAAAAAAAAAAAAAGACAATCACATGAATTTAAAAATAATTACCAATGTATCATCAGTTTTTTATGTATGTAGAGGTTATTTAAGCTTGTGTTGTGTGTCTGTGTTAGGATGTTTTTTGTTGCAAGTAATAGAAAAAGCTAGCTTAATCTTCTATAAATTATAAAAAATAATGTTGGTTTGATTCAGAAACTCAGTGGTGTCAGGGTCTCTCCTCCGTCGATCCATGATATCTCCTACCATGTCAGCCTCACCTTTATGCTGTCTCTCCTTCACGATAGCAAGATGGCTGCTGTGATCCCTGCCTTCACATTCACGTCCCTCACTAAGTAGGAGAGCAGAAACTCTTTTTCAGGAAGCTTTCGACAAATGTCTTAAGTTTTGCTGAGTTGAATTGGGTCATTTGCCCATCTCTGAATCAGACTGTTGGCCTGGATCTTATAAATATCAAGAGAGTCCCTATTCTGTGGTGGGTACTCTGCTGGCCATCAGCATGGTGTAACAAGATGCATTCTGTGACCTAGGGGTGCTTACAGTTGGGGAGAGGTTGTGAGGCAGATACAGCAAGGAGAGGAGGAGGATCAGGAGGAGGGGGAGGAGGATTTCTGCAGTGACACGAGCGTCTAGGAACCTGATCATATATGGACTAAGTGCATATCTTAAAAACATAACCAACAAAAAACTCCAAACTCTTGAGGAAGATTTACCAATGGTTTTCTAAGAAAAATTTTCCTAAACTGCAAAAGTTACCTTTCTAGCCCTAGCTGGTTTGGCTCTGTGGTTAGAGCATCAGCCTGTGGACCAAATGGTCTCAGGTTTGATTGACGGTCAAAGGGCATGTACCTGGGTTGCAGGTTCGATCCCTGGCTCCAGTTGAGGTTGTGCGGGAGTCAACCAAACATTGATGTTTCTCTCTCTCTCTCTCTCTCTCTCTCTCTCTCTCCCCCCCCTCTCTTCCAATCTATCAAAAAAAAAAAAAAAAAAAAAAGGAAAAATATCCTCGGGTGAAGATGAACAACAACAAAATAAGTTACCTTTCTATCTGCAGGGCCGATTAACTTTCAAGAATGGGCGTGTGTATACTGGCCCGTTTTCCAATGACCACGTAGCGGAGTTTCCAAATCTCGAAGACGAACTGCTGAATCACCCAGACCCGTCTTCAGAATCTGCCCTTGGGGGCCAGTACCGAGGGTCTTCCAGCACTGGTAGGGAGCATCCACCTGCCAACTGAAAGTTAACTCCTCTGTAGCATCCACGGGACCCACTCACCATAATGCGCCTAACGCTTCAGAAAACGGAGTTTCTTGTGAGCGGCGGCTTTCTTAGCAGTTTAATTATTCATTGCATTTATTGGGGGTTATATTGGTTAATCAAGTTATATAGGTTTCATGTGGATAGCTCCGTGATACATCATCTGCGTAGTAGGTTTCCTGGAATACTCTTGTATCACACATCTGTGGGAAATTATTTGGGCATAACGTTGGAAAAGGTTAACACTGCTGTTCACAATGACCCCCTATGTGTGCCTCCGTCTGCTAGAGATTGTCAGAAGGCTTGACGGCAGCGGGAGTGATTCAGTGTTGGGGTCGACCATTGAGCTGGACCTGCTTTTACTGCTCAGTGAGTACCCCGAGACAGAGCAAGCAGAGGAGAGGAAGCAGGTGCGCCTTTTGTATTGTTATCAGTTTGCGTTTTAGGCTTAAATAGTTTTTAAAAATAGTTTCTTTTTCTTTCTTTCTTTTTTATTAATCCTCACTCGAGGATAGTTTTTCCATTGATTTTTTAGAAAGAGTGGAAGGCAGGGAGGGAGGAAGGGGCGAGGGGGGAGAGAGAGAGAGAGAGAGAGACACATCAATTAGTTGTCCCCCGCATGCACCCCGACCAGGCTGGGGATTGAACCTGAAACTCAGGTATGTGTTCTTGACCAGGAATCGAACCCAAGACCCTCCAGTGCTCAGGCCGACACTCTAACCGCTGACCCACACCGGCCAGGGCAAAAATAATTCATTTTTTCCGTTCCAGTTGACAGTCAATATTATATTAGTATAAGCCAGTGCTTAGACATTTATGTAACTTACGAAGTGGTCACCACATACTGGGGTGTCCCACTTTGCACAGGAGGGAGCTGGGGCAGAGGGGGCTGGCAGCCTGCCCCAGGTCACACAGCCCTCTGGGCATTCTCCGACCACTCCACCTTGTCCACCCTGCCCCGCCCCCGCCCGTGGCCCGCCGTCCATGAAGTCCTGCTCGGTCTCCGCTCTCCAGGGCTCAGTGCAAGGCTGTGTCCCCGGGAAGCTTCTCCCTTAGGCCCGCCGCTCCCCCCCAGCTCTGCTCCGCGATCCTGCCTCACCGTGTGCCCATCTGTCCGTGACTAGATTTTAAGCTCATGAAGGAAATTCTGTTAGAACAGCGGTTTCCCAACTGCACTGATTCTAGAAAGTTAATGCCGAGAGTGAGGTGCTGGGGGCAGCTGCTCAGGTGGGAGGGACTTTTCGGTCTCCATGGCAACCCAAATACAGTTCCTCACCTTTTCTGACTATTTCACTCGGGAGGCAGAGGCCTGGGGTACCTGGAGGTGGCCAGGCTGCCGGGTGAACAGGCTGTGTGGGGACGTGGGGGCAGCACAAGGCCATCGAGGGTCTGGGGAGAACACCGGACGGCCAGTGGGGACAGAGGGAGCTCGCAGAGCAGTCGGCGTGAGCATTGCTCATTTCACGCTCGCGGTCTGCTGTGAGCTGCCTGTCTCTGTATATGCTGGCTCTCGGGTCGATTCTTTCCATTCCCAGTCTGCTGAGGATGAGTATCACGAATGGAGGTTAAATTTTGTCCAAAGCACTGATATGATCATGTGCTCTTTCTTCTTTAATAATCAATATGATGAGTTACACTGATTGACTTTTCAAATGTTGAACCAGCCTTGCAATCCCAGGACAAACTCTGCTCAGTGCCGACATACTGTTTTTAAAAATATACTGCTAGGTTTAATTTGCTAGTATTGTGTCGAGGATTTTTGGGTCTGTGTGCGTGAGGGATATTGATCCGTAGGCACGAGAATCGCATTGCCGCCCTGCAGACAGGACGCTCTCGCGTAGCAGCCAGAACGCAATTCCACCGTCCAGAGAACAGCATCAGTTTTAGGATTTTTACTGTTTCTCAGAAGCTGCATTTTATTGACCTGGGGATGAGTGGGAAGAATGTAACACAGTGAGCTCTCCCAGTGACAAGAGGTAAACACTATTACTTTGCATGTGCTAATCTCATTTAATTTAGAAAACAGTGTTTCTTTTGCTGCTGTTCATATCGGGTAAGATTAAGATATGCATGGTTTGCCATGGCCAGTTTTGCTCAGCGGTTAGAGCGTCAGCCCGCGGACCAAAGAGTTGCAGGTTCGATTCCGCTCAAGGGCAGGTACTTGGGTTGCAGTTTGATCCCAGCCCAGGTTGGGGTTGTGTGGGGGGCAACCAACTGATGTGTCTCTCTCACACTGATGTTTCTCTCTCTCTCTCCCTTCCTCCCTCCCTCTCTCCCACTCTATCTGAAAATCAATAGAAAAATGTCCTTGGGTGAGGATTAAAAAAAAAAAAAGATATGCATGGCTTTCTCCTTTCAGGTAGAATATGCTGTGTTAAGAAATATTACAGAATTAAGAAGAATCTATAGCTTCTACAGCAGCCTAGGATGTAATCGCTCCCCGGATAACACCTATCTGATGACAAAGCTTCAGTTCTGGAGGTTTCTAAAGGATTGCAAATTTCACCACCATAAAATAACTCTTGCTGACATGGACAGGGTATTAAGTGGTGAGTGTTCCAGGGATGCACACCTTTTGTTTCCAAGAGCAGTGTAACATCATGTCGCCGTGCAACCCGTTAGGAAGTGTTGAGGGAGTGAAGGCAAAGGCTGGGAGAGGTGTTGCAGAAGTGAACACACCGGCTGCTTTCTTCTCCAGGTGCTGAAAACGTACCTGAAGAGGCAGCCTCGGGATGTGATAGCAACGCCGCCACCATCTACAGCAGGGAGGGATCCACAACGCAGGGGCCCCCTGCCTGTGTTTGTAAATAAAGTTTTATTGGAACACAGCCATGCCCATTTGTGTCCATATTGTCTGTGGCTGCTTCTGCCCTAAAACACCAGAAGTGAGTGGTTGTGGCAGAGACTGGCCCGCAAAGCCTAACGGATTTACTGTCTGGCTCTTTGCTGAGGCGTTTGCCTACCTCTGACTATAGTAAAGACATGCTCACTTGTTGGGTCGGAGGCAGAGAGGGTCAGGGGGGGCTTGGAATAGCCTAGAAAAGGCTTTAGGTCTTGGGCTTGGTGTCGGTTTCAAATGAGAAAAATTCATGCAACAAATTTCACAACTTGGAAGGTTTTCTCCTGTCAGCTGAATTCTGGGAGGCAGGACGGAAAACCTCAAGTTATCTTCTTGGAGGATAAAATGTTAGAACGAATACCTATGTACTTCAAATCTAAGTGTTTGAAACAGACCCAGCATCCATGTCGAATGATCAGCATTCATCAAGGTGTGGCTCAGAAAACTCTGAAAAACCCTGGGACACAGGATCTGGAAATTAAAGATCCGCCTGAGACCATTTGTGGGCGGATGCAGGCGTGCGGCGGAGTATTCTCTAGGAAGAAAAGCGCTTTGCTCTGGAGTTGTGTGCCAGAAGCAAGTCGAATAGAAGGTGCTAGAAAAGACTGTTTTCTTATTTCAGCCTATAATGACATACCAGTTGAAGACATTCATTCTCCATTTACAAAAATACTTTTCAGAACATTTCTGAATTACCTTCTGCAGTTGGCTCACCACATCCATCACAAAGAATTCCAGTGAGTACTACTTCGGGCCCTGAGAGAGCGTGAGGGCAGACTAGCTGTTTCTGAGGATGTAACATTTGTCCTATGTTCTTTCTTTTTTTAAAAAAAAAATTGATTTCAGAGAGAGGAAGGGCGGTGGAGGGAGAGGGAGAAACGTTGATGGGAGAGAGAAACACCTACCGGTTGCCTTCCATGTGCGCCCCGACTGGGGATGGAGCCCGGAAGCCAGGTCTGTGCCCAGGCCGGGAAGCACAGCCGCCGCCTTTGGCCAGCAGGTGCCGCTCGCACCGGCTGAGCCACGGGCCACCGCGGTCCTCTCTCCTTTGGCTGCACATTGTCTTCACACCCTCTGGCACTGGCAGGCTAGAAACAAAACTATGAGCCACAAAACCGTCAGGTGCCAGCGTAAAACCGTGCGAAGCCTTCAGACGGGAGTCACGGCGTCTCTGCTGCAAGTAGCTCCCGGGGTTCTGTTCGGAAACAGCCACAGCCCACTTTACCTTAGGCCAGAATCCCCGTCTGCCTCAGAGCAAAACTGATCCCCACACCCGTCCCCGCCTCCCCACACAGCGTCTCACGGAACCAGGGTGCACGCGTCGGAAGTGAGGAACCCACGTGGCTGCAATGCCACTAAGCAAATGACGACCACGCGGCTTTCCCAGGTCCCCCGACCCGCGTCCCTGTGCCGTGCCGGGATCTAAAGCAGGATCCCACGTGGCATCGGTCGTTGGTCCTCTGCAACCCACCACAGTCCCTCAGACCTTGTCTTTTCTGACCTTGACCCTTTTGAAGACTGTCGCTCAGTTATTCTGTAAAATGGTCCTCGACTTTGGTCTGCTGCTGCCTTCTCATCATTACATGGAGCTTATGGGTTCTGGGGACGGATGACAAGGAGGTGAGCTGCCCTTCCTGTCACATCCCATCAGGGTCAGCGCCGCCACTCTGTCTCATTATGGTGACATTCACCTTGATGCCCTGGTGAAGTGGTGTCAGCCAGGACTGTCCCCTGTGCTCTACTTGTTAGAGGCCAGTGACCGAGCTCCCCCTTCCCCCCGGGGGAATCACAGCCCAGCTCCTGGAGGGAGGAGTGGTGACGGCTTCTCTTCAATCACAGAAACAGGAGCCCCTCGCTCTTCCTGTGTTTTACAAAACTGATGACGGAGAACATCCATCCCAACGCCTGCCATGTCAGAGGTAAATAAAAACCAACAGGACTCCATTGCGCACTACTTTTTCGAAATATGATTTTGTAGTCATTTTTTGAATGATCATCTGTGGTATTTTTAGGCAATTTATTTAGCAGGCAACCGCGGACACTCTACTCGATGAACTACATCGACCTGAGCTGGGAGATCTACACCGCGCACTGCAGACCGAGCGCCGCGCCACCCCACGAGCCCACCATGACCATGCGACACTTCCTCTGGGTGCTCAAAGTAAGCACGTGATTTCCACGGAAGGAAACTCTGCCAGCCCGAGGCGCCAATACCGAGGGGAAGACCTGGGTGGATTTTCAAAGCCGCTGACCGTTTCCTGGGTCTCTTCTGGCAGTAAAGATGAATTCCACTGCGTTGTGGAAGCTGACGGACGGACAGAGGGAGCGTCTGCCCTGGCCGCATCTTTTCTAATGCACGCCTTGTCATTAAAGGGGGCGGGGGATGGAGGCCATTTAAAAAGTGACCGTCCATCAAAAGAGTAATTTAAAAAAGTTACCAGTTTGGAGAATAATGAGACCATCTAATTTATACGATATTCTCATACTAACTATTGGTAGTTTTTGTTTCATGACTTATATTTGTGGGAAGATAAATATGCTAAAACGAAAAGAACGGAATACTAATAGGAGATAGAGTGCTTTAAGAAATTTAAATGTTGCATATACATGAACCACTGACAATCTAGCGTCTCTAAGCAAACCGTTTTTTTAAAAAGTATGTGATTTCTTGGATGGAATATTATACAGTTGCCGATTTGCTCCCTTTCTCCCGTTCTCCTCTATTACTGGAGAGAGGAGGTCGTCTGTCCCTGCAGATTGTCAGCCGTCGGCTTCAGCAGCCGCGTCCTCAGGCTGACTCCCATGTCTCTCCTGTGCCCGCGTTTCTGTCGAAGGGGGAGTGAGAGTCAGAGGCTCGGTCAGACTCCAGGTTCTTTCCTCCAACAAAGTGACAGTGGTTCTGCGCACGTCCCATTGCATCACCTTGGGAACGTCCACGCCCCCCCCCTTTCCCCATGCCACGGATGTGGGGAACGTTCCCTCCCAGTTTACCTTCTGGGTGCCTTACAGCCACGAAGAGAGGAAAACAGAGCCCTGATGTTTGGAATGCCAATCATTTAGGAAGTTTCTAGCAGGTCTGCCACTTGTTTGAACCATGAGGTTTGGTTTCTGCTTGAAGCAGGATCCCAGGCAGGCCAATCCTATGGTTAAGCAACTGGCAACAGCTTGGGTGGGCCTGAAAGTTGGGCGGGGTGGGGCGGGGCCTCAGGGAGTCAGCAGGGCGGGGCTACCAGTGTGAGCCAGGTTGCTGGAGTCCCAGATATGGCTTCTGTCTGCTGCCCCCGGGAAGGGCTCACCAAAGGAACAAAGGCCTCTGACAGCACGTTTGTCCCGGAGAAAGCCCCCTCTCCAGCCCTCACTCCAGTGCCAAACAGCTCAGTTCTTCCCTGTGTGTCTCTGGTGCCCCTCGAGCTGCCTCCCCTCCGAGCTTAGAGGGAGCGAGTCCGATAAGTCCGTGCGCGGGCCCTTTAAGGAGCTGCCTGGGGCTCCAGCCGCCTCAGCCTCCCTGAGCCTCAGTTCCCGCTGGTTTTTCCAGCCAGAAGTGATGGGGATTCTCTTCCTGGCACTGGAACCCTGAGCGGGGCACCTGGTGTGGGACGGGGACCCCTCAGTCCTCAGGGAGGACCTTCCCAGCCGAGGTGTCCTCCTGATTTTTATCCGCCACACGTGGGTGTGGGAGCAGCCCGTCCCCTCCGCCCCTCCTTCCAGTCTCGATGTGGCTGCTGCTTTAATCCCGTAGCTGTAGGACTGCCGTTCAGCTCCGAGTCAGGTGGTTCTGAATGATGGTGGTTCTGTAGTTTAGTTGTAACTTTGATGTGGTTGCGGGAGGACAGATACTGCGGTTACCTACCCGCCATCCTGACCGGAAGTCCCCTCTTTACACATTTACAACCACATGATACAGTGTTATAATTTTTGCTTCAACTGTCAGACATACTTTTTTTTTTGGTTATCCTCACCCGAGGACATTGTTCAGATAGAGCAGGAGGGAGGGAGAGTGAGAGAGAGAAACATCGATGTGAAGGGACACATCGAGTGGCTGCCACCCGCACGACCAACCAGGGCCGGGGACAAACTGCAACCGAGGTACGTGCCCTTAGCGGGAACCGAACCCGGGTCTCTCCGGACCGCAGGCTGACGGTCTAACCGCTGAGCCTAACCGGCCAGGGCCAACTGTCAGACATACTTTATAAAACTCAGGAGGAAAAGGAAAGTTTCTTGTATTTTCCCATGATTTTGCTTACCGTGTTCTCGCTTCCTGTCTGAAGGTTCCTGGAGTTGCTGGAGTCTGTCTTTTCCTTTCTATTTCGAGACCCTCCTTTAGCCACCCTACAAAGGTGGGTCTGCTGGCCACAAACGCTTAGTTTCCTTCACCTGAGAACTCCCCTTCATCCCGGCAGGACGTTTGATTGGCTCAAGAATTCCGGGTCAACAGTCCCCGTTCAGCACTTGAAAGAGGCTGTGGCATTTTCTTCCGGCCTCCATGGTTTCTGAAGAGACACCTGCTGTCATTTGACTTTTCCCCACTCTAAGTGAAGGGTGGTTTCCTTCCCATGTCTTCCAAGATTTCTCCCTTTGTCTTTAGCTTTCAGAAGTTTGACTTCGATGTGTCTGGCTGTGAATTTCTTGAGGTCTATCCTGTGTGCGGCTCACTCAAATTCTCGGATCTGTAGATTTGTATTTTTATCAAATTTGAGATGTTTTCAGTCCTTATTTATTGATGTACTTTTTCAATCCCTTTTCTTTCTATGACTCTGCTGACACGAATGTTAGATCTTTTGTTATAGACCCATAGGTCCCCGCGTCTCTGTTTAATTATTTTCAGTTTTATTGTCAGATTGGATAATTTCTATGGTTCTGTTTTCAAGTTCATGGATTCTTTTGTCCCTTTTGTTATGATGTTGAGCTCATCCATTGACCTTTTTTTTTTTTTAATACTCACCCAAGGATATTTTTCATTATTTTTAGATAGAGTTGGAGGGAGGGAGAGAGAAAGAAACATTGATGTAAGAGAGACAAATTGATTGCTTGTCGCACCACCCCGACCTGGGCTGGGGATAGAACCTGCAAACCAGGTATGTGCCCTTGACTGGGAATCCAACCCTAGACTCTTCAGTCTGTGGGCTGACTCTTTTTTTTTTGTTTTTTTATCCTCACCCGAGGACATTTTTTCATTTTTTGTTCAGATAGAGTGGGAGGGAGAGAGAGGAAGAGAGAGAGAGAGAGAGAAAGAGAGAAACATTGACGTGAAAGGGACACATCGAGTGGCTGCCACCCGCACAACCAACCAGGGCCGGGGACAAACTGCAACCGAGGTACATGCCCTTAGCAGGAACCGAACCTGGGTCTCTCTGTACCGCAGGCCAACGCTCCAACCGCTGAGCCAAACCGGCCAGGGTTTGTGGGCTGACTCTTTAACTGCTGAGTCAAACCAGCCAGGGACATCCATTGAGCTTTTAATTTAATTGTTGTATTTTTCAATTCTAAAATTTTCATTTGGTTCTTTAGTTCCTCTCTTTCTGTGCTGTGACTTTTCATTTTTTCCAAGCATGTTTGTAATTGCTCATTGAAGCATTTTTTTATGACGACTATTTTAAAATCTTTGTCTCTACAAAGCATTATTATTATTATTATTTTTTGTACAGATAGAGTGGGAGGGAGAGAGAGGAAGAGAGAGAGAGAGAAACATCGATGTGAAAGGGACACATCGAGTGGCTGCCACCCGCACGACCAACCAGGGCCGGGGACAAACTGCAACCGAGGTACATGCCCTTAGCGGGAACCGAACCCGGGTCTCTCAGGACCGCAGGCCGACGCTCTAACCGCTGAGCCAAACCGGCCAGGGCTACAAAGCATTATTAAAAGAGATTGAAAAAGACATAATGGAAAGATATTCTGTGTTCATGGATTGGAAGAATCATAATCGCTCTCTTATGCCACTGAAAAAAATGATTTATGGGAGGGGAGCTAAGTGGAATTTCTTTTTCTGCACTTTGCATTGCTCTGCTCCCTCCAAGCCCTGTTTTGCTTGTTGTTTTTCCCCTGTTGGTTGTGTCCTCTGGCTGTTGTATTAAGGCTTTCCCTACAAGGTGCGGTAAACCCGGGCTGTCCGCTCTCATGCAGGACTGTGGCACGGTAAAGCCGACTGGGAGCTCTCTGCGGATGAGAGGCACTTGTCAAAGATTAGACTGTGGAGTAACCAAGCCAGGAAACTGCCCCAACCCTTCTCCTCGGCTGCCAGCTCCCTCGGTTTTTTTGTTTGTTTGTTTTGAGCAGACCATTTTTTTTTTTTAATCCTCACCCGAGGACATTTTTCCAGTTTTTGTTCAGATAGAGTGGGAGGGAGAGAGAGAGAGAGAAACATCGACGTGAAAGGGACACATCGAGTGGCTGCCACCCGCACGACCAACCAGGGCCGGGGACAAACTGCAACCGAGGTACGTGCCCTTAGCGGGAACCGAACCCGGGTCTCTCCGGACCGCAGGCCGACGCTCTAACCGCTGAGCCAAACCGGCCAGGGCGAGCAGACCATTTTTTATGATAGCAAGAGTCCAGTTGAAAGAAGGAGGCCATTCTGTGTATACCCTATGTTTGGGGGGTGCATTTATCATGGAAAAATGGAGGGTTTGTTTTTTTTTTTTAATTATTAACACTATTATTTGTTGGTATTGATCTCTTCTCTCAATGTTCAATTTTTCAAGAGAGGATTTCTCTTTCCTAAGTGCGGGGGCACATAAACCTGGTTTTCACAGTTCTTAGCACAGAGTGGAGGGGGAGGGTCAGTGTGGGGGGAGGAGCTTCCCAGGATGCACTTTCCCTGCACCTTGTTTCCACAGCACTGTGACTGTGGGGGGCGACTGCTCCCTGGTTCAGTGTCTGAGAGGAAACCACGTCTCCACCCAGACTCTCAGGGCGTCTTCCTGTGTCGGCCCTGTCTGAAGCCAGCCTCTCGGAGATGCCTCTCCTGCCCCAGTCCTGAGCTCCCTGTCGCTCTGTTCCGCCGGGTCCGCTGTCCACGCTCCCCACTTGCAGAACTGGGTTGCTGTCTCACATCTGGATTATTGACTTTCCCATTCCCTGTCCTGTGTTTATGCCTCTGAAAAAATATTTCCTGTTACTTTCGAAGGATTAGGTTAGGAGAAGAGAGGTAACTACCATTGTTAATCTAGAATGCTTTACAGAATGATCAGTTTTCACGATATTCATTTCTGGTACATTTTCTTAAAGTGTTGTATTGCTATGAATTGACATTAAAAATATATAGTATATAGTTATTTGTAATTATAGGCCCTTATGGTTTGATTGGTTGTTTCTATTATAGGATTTTAAAATGATAAATAAAGAGTTAACATCAACCAAGTTTGTGGAGGTCATAGCACAGGACAATCCTTTCGTGTATGACGGAATTGACAGCAACTTGGAACTTGAGGTCAGTAGAGAGGGGCACACATGGTATAGATCCAATTCAGGCTGTTTGTTTTGCTTGGATACCAAGAACCAAGATTTGATTGAAAAGAATTCTAACCCAAATACACGAAACTGTGTGTGTGTGTGTGTGTGTGTGTGTGTGTGTGTCTGTGTGTATCATTGATTGTATTAGAAAACTAGAGATTAATATTAAAAAGAATAAATGTCATGAAATGATGAACAAAGTCAAAAGGATATAAAACTACCATACTATCTCATGGGTAATTTACTTAGCAATTTAATGCATGTATATGTTCTGTGGTATACATATCATACACTCAAAGACACTAATTGATCTCCTCCAATGGATCATGTATACGTGTCTTTAATTGTTAGCATTTCTTGCAGCAGGCAAATGTCTCATTTTACCAGCTAGACCAGTGGTTCTCAACCTGTAGGTCGTGACCCCTTTGGGTGTCGAATGACCCTTTTACAGGGGTCGCCTAAGACATAACAGTAGCAAAATTACAGTTATGAAGTAGCAACGAAAATAATTTTATGGTTGGAGGTCACCACAACATGAGGAGCTGTGTTAAAGGGTCACGGCATTAGGAAGGTTGAGAACCACTGAGCTTGACCCATCTTTGGGCGGGTCCCAGCGACTGTCCGACCAGTGACACTGGTGCTGCAGGGATGCTGAGCAGACCCCTGGAAAAACCAAGTTTTGGGTCTTCCCTAGAAGCAGGCAGAGTCTAGCTTAGAGCCTTTGGTCAAATTAGGGGCCTGCTCGGGCTCCAAGAGCCCGGGGCTCAGAACCAACAGGCACAGCAGGTGGACGATCAGAGTCCCAGCCAGCCAGCCACGCACTCCGCAGACCCGTGTGTCGGGGTCGCAGAGGGGAGGAGGGGGACGGCTGCTCATGTGTAATACTTGCAGTGACACTTGGTTTCCAGGTGCCACTTTTCTGGTTAAGAAAAAAAGGAAACATTTTGAAAGTGACTGTCCTCAATTAGCTGATATAAAATGTTTCCATCAAGGCCGAAAAGGAACTTACAAATCTAACGATAGAACATATATCATACTAGGTCCTTTAAATGCTAGAGGTTTGAGCCTAAGAGGTGGTGATCTCTGGAGAAGAGAAACCAGCGCCCAGATGAAGCGCTGATTGACCTCCGGGGTGTCAGGATGAACGCGATTCTTTGTATTTTCTTCTGTTTCAGCTTGTTTTTCTGGAATTCTTTGAAGCTCTCTTAAGCTTCGCATCCATCTGTGCTACCGACCAAATGACTAAATCCTATTTAAGTTTTCCAAATGATGACTTCACTGGATACAGACCTGGAATCACTTGTATGACAACACATAAGGTAACAAGTAACATCTTAGAATTTAGAGCAAGGAATGGTTTTATTCTGGAATGGTTAAACCATCCTCGAAACTACCTTGGGCTTTTGTAACCCTTCAGGAAATAATTTAGAACTCATTTTCACATTTTGGTTTTTGTTTTTAAGTTTGAGAAAGTGTCTTTCCTGGTCACACCCCAGGAAGCTGACTCCCGGCCACAACGAGCGATAGCGTAACGGAGGTCAGGGTGCCCACAGACACGATGGGTGGCCACACGTCTCACAACCCCTGAGATGTTCTGTCCCATGATCTAGTGTTTGCAAGGGGGGGAGCCTGTCCCGGGGCGAAGATGCTGAAGGACCACTCCCGAGTGTGCACGAGATGCTGGATGGGTCCTTGAGGATGGGCCTGCTCACAGGGCCGGACATGGGCCTCGCCGCCAGACCTCTGGGAACAGGGCAGCGTTAGTAATTCACTGAAGGACCCAGGGCTGGGGCAAGTTGAGACAAACCAGTTGTGGGTGGGCATCTCAGCCTAGTGGGCTTGAAGGGTTTCTCATTTGGAGCCAAAAGGGAGAGTCTTGGGGGCCAGGGGACCCCTCAGTGCAAAACCCTTCAGAGTTGCTCCTCCAGAAGCCTCCCCACTGTTGTCTAAGGAGAGACTCTTACCCCGAATCCCTGGGCTGTGCCTCGGGCTCCTGTGTGCTGGAAGCTCCCAGTTCAACTTCAGCACCCCATGGTTCACCCTGGGGTTCACCCTGGGCCAGGTCCGCCCCCTGCCGGTTGAAGATGTGCCTGCCGACTTCTCCGGATCACCCGGGAGCCTGGTCGCTGACTGCGGTCTGGGCTAGGGGCTCTGCCCTGAGGGAAGACTGTCCACCTTGAAGTCCCCCATGCGTCTGTGGATGGCATCACCATGGACGCTAGGAACCCGTGTGAACACTTTTGTCTAGGGATCATCCTCACACACCATCTGATTAGTCTCACCTCTGGATGTCAGTGTGACAGTTTTTTTAAAAAATCCTCCCCTGAGGATATTGTTCCATTTATCTTCAGATAGAGTGGGAGGGAGGGAGAGAGAGAAACATCGACGTGAGAGAGAGACATTGATTGGTTGCCTCCCGCATGACCCCAACCAGGGTCGGGACTGACCTACTACTTAGGCATGTGCCCTTGACTGGAATGGAGCCTGCGACTGGTCCGAGGGCCAGTGCTCTAACCGCTGAGCCAAACCGGCCAGGGCCAGTGTGACATTTCCAATGTCCATCAAGATAAACAAATCAGCCCTGGCCGGTTTGGCTCAGCGGTTAAAGCGTCCGCCTGCGGTCCGGAGAGACCTGGGTTCGGTTCCCACTAAGGGCACGTACCTCGGTTGCAGTTTGTCCCCGGCCCTGGTTGGTCATGCGGGTGGCAGCCACTCGATGTGTCCCTTTCACGTCGATGTTTCCCTCTCTCTCCCTTCCTCTCTCTCCCTCCCACTCTATCTGTACAAAAAATGGAAAAATGTCCTCGGGTGAGGATAAAAAAAAAAAGATAAACAAATCATACCCTATTCATACAATGGCACATGAGTCAGCAGTGAAATGACTCATGATCCATGCAACATCACGCATGATTCAAAATAATGATGCTGGGCGATTGTCTAAATGATAGAAAGTTCTAGAGAGTTCAAAGTAACCTGTAGTGACAGCAGATCGGCGGTTCACCGTTCTGACCGAGGTGGTGGTTTCCCAGGTGTAGACATGTTGACATGCATGAACCAGTATCCTTTACATGTAGCTCATTGTAAATTACACCTCCTGAAAAACGTGTGTGCGTCCATCTCTGTGGAATCCACAAGTTCCCGGCTGTCCTTGCTCTGCCCCCCAGAACAGGAGCCTGAGCGCAGTGATGAGCCAGGAGTCCGACGTGCACGTGGGCAGCGCCAGGGCGTCCTCCAGCAAGCTGGCGCAGCTGCTCGACGTCACCCCAGACATCAAGACGCCACAGGTCTGTGTTTACAAGGCACCACGTAACGACTGTGCACGGTTGTGTTCCAAGCACTGTGGCGCACCTACTGTATGACCAGGGTTCCGTCCTTGGTGGGCCGAGCCTTCTCGTGAGGAGGGAGGCGGTGCCCGGTGAACACAGGGACAGCTAGCACCATGGGGAGTGTCCCGGGTGCAGTGGCCCAAGCAAGCAGCGGAATTGTTCCGTGGCTGGGAGAAAGCAGCGCAGCAAGGCTAAGGCACCTGCCGGGCACAGGCCTGGTCAGCAGTGGAGGGGCCTGTGCCTGACTCCAGACGGGCCGCCCCACGCTGCATTTGCACGGACACTGGCAGTGGAGGGGGCCTGTGCCTGACTCCAGACGGGCCCGCCCCACGCTGCATTTGCACGGACACTAGCAGCGGAGCGGGGGTGTGTGCCTGACTCCAGACGGGCCGCCCCACGCTGCATTTGCACGGACACTGGCAGCGGAGCAGGGGCCTGTGCCTGACTCCAGATGGGCCGCCCCACGCTGCATTTGCACGGACACAGCAGCGGAGGGGGAAGCGAGGCAGGCTGTGGATTTGAGTGGCGGGCGGTTAGGAAGGCCTCTGATGAGGCCGGTGAGCACACCTGCAGGAGGTGAGTGTGGCCGTGTAGTTACCTGGGGAACACTGTCCCGTGCCGAGGCCTGAGGTGGGAGCTGCTCAGGTTGGGGACGAAGCAGTGCAGCCGCGAGTGGAGCCGGCCAGCAGCGCGGGCCAGGGAGGCGCACGGGGGAGGCGGGGGTGAAGGAGAGGGAGCCCGAGCACAGGGTCAGCAGGCTCACTGTGGCTTCACAGCTGACAGACAAGCCGGGAAGCTCCTGGCTCCACCTGGCACTTTGAAGGCTGTGGAGTGTGAGAAGGAAGGAGAAGGCACAGGTGATCCAAGAGTTTTGGCCTGAACAAGGAGAATAGTTACTATTTACCACGAGGGGGAGGCTGGGGCAGGGGCAAAGCTGGGTTGGTTTTGGACATGTTAGGACACAGGTCATCCAAGGGGCGAGCACGCGGCACGTCTGGACACGAGTGTGGAGTTCAAGGGTGGCGTCTGGCTGGAGACAAATGTGGGTGTAAACAGCATATACGGGGCAAACGCAGGTTTACAGTGGTAAGTATGCAAAGCACAGGGTTTATTCTTGTGTTATTATTAATTATTGTAGTGTTTTCTATACGAACAACTGTAATTAAAGCCATTCCCATATGAATGCAGGGAGCATTCACAGTGTGTAATAAATACTTCCTCATGTCTCTGGCTCCTTGCAGGGAGCCGTGCAGTAGACACAGTGACTGTTCTCCAGCGCAGAGAACGGCCTCGTTAACAATTTCTAATTGTTTGTGATGTAGAAAATCAGCTTGAGTCCATAATGATGCAGAAATATTTTACTTTATGATTTTTTTCTTTTTTTTACATAAAAGCTCAAGTTTAGGAAGTTGCTAAGTGATGACAGAATTTCCAAAATGAATTTTAAATCTCCAGGAAAAGGGCTAACCTTTTTATTACCTCAAAGTGGTAAGTATTTTAATGATAAAACTTAAATTTTGGCAACTGTTGCTTATAAATGAGATATAGTTATAAAAAATGTATAACCATCCTTAAATTTTTTAAAATTAAAATTATGTGTGTGTGTGTGTGTGTATGTGTGTGTGTGTGTGTACGTGTGTGTGTTTGTGTGTGTATGTGTGTGTGTGTGCGTGTGTGCATGTGTGTGTACACAAAAATATAATTAGGCCGGTACTGTTGCTTCCAGTTCTGTCCCCTGCTTGACAGAATTCACTTTCAAGGCTTGATCTTGCTGAGGTTTGGGGGTATTTTTTCCAATTTTATTGAGATATAATTGGACTTCCAGTGCTGTATAAGGTTGACTGAGTTACACTTATCATGAAATGATTACCACAATATGTTTAATTAATATCCATCATCTCAAAAAAAAAAATTGTTTGTGACGAGAGCTCTTAGGACTTACTCTTAACTTTCACGTACCCCACAGCACTCAACCACAGCCATCAGGTTGCACATTACACCCCCAGTGCTCATTTATCTCATAAATAGAAGCCTGTACTCGACAGCCTCATCCACCCCACCCCCACAGCCCTGCCTCTGGTAACCACAAGTCCGACCTCTTTTTCTATGTTTTTAAAATGCTAAGATTCTACATATAACTGAGATCATACAGTATTTGTCTGTCTGACTTATTTCCCTTAGCATAATGCCCGCAAGGTCCCTCATGTTGTTGCAAATGGCACAGTGTCCTTCTTTTTTGGAGGGAGGGCTGGGCAGAATTCCACTGGAGGTGCGCTCCACAGCTTGCTCTGTTCATTCTGTCGATGAACCGTCGGGCTGTTGCCGTGTCCGGGCCATTGAGTGCTGCTGCTCTGCGTGTGCGAGCAGGTCTCTCTGGACGCTGTATCTCCATCTTCTTTGGGTATGTGCCCAGAAGTGGAATTGCTGGGTCCTAAGGTGGTTCTATTTTTAATATTTTGAGGAACTGCCCTGTCGTTTCCCACAGTGTCTGCACCAGTTTACATTCCCACAGTGTGCAGGGGCTCCCTGTTCTCGTCTTCACCAGCATATTACCTCTGGTCTTGATGATGGCCGTTCTGACAGGCACGAGGTGATAGCTCACTGTGGGCTTTTTTAATTGCATTTCTCTGATGATTTGTGATGTGGAACCGCTTTTCGTGTTGGCCATCTGTATGTCCTCTTGGGAGAAATGTCTATTCAGATCCTCTGCCCATTTTTAAATTAGATTTTTTTGTTTTGTTATTCAGTTGTATGAGTTCTTTATATATTATGGATATAACCCCTTCTCAGATACATGGTTTGCAAACATTTCCTACCATTCTGGATGTTGCCTTTCCTTTTTATATGGTTTCCTTTGCGGTGCAGAAGCTTTTTAGTTTCCTGAAAGCTTCTCTATGACTGAAATATATAAATATCTGAATGGCCTGCGTGGCTGCCAGGGTAGAAGCCTACAGGAGATTTAACCAACAAGGAACAGTGAGGTCTCCTTCACTTTGGTTGGTTTGTTTATTTGTTTATTTATTTCCTCACTCAAGGATATTTTTCCATTTTTATCTTCAGAGAGAGCAGGAGGCAACCAATTGATGTGTCTCTCTCACATCAATGTCTCTCTCCCCCACTCCCGCTCTGTCTGAAGATAAATGAAAAAAAATATCCTCGGGTGAGGATTAAAAAAAAAGGTGCAGATCTTACTGACAACATAGAACTACCCAAAGCATTATCTTCCCAGAATCAACTATTTTAAACACATTCCAAAGTGGGTATCTGTTGGCCTTTGTAGACAGCAACTCCTAACCAAGTCAAGAATTTAAAATTTTGCCCTGGCCGGTTTGGCTCAACGGTTAGAGTGTCGGCCTGCGGTCCAGAGAGACCCGGGTTCGGTTCCCACTAAGGGCATGTACCTCGGTTGCAGTTTGTCCCTGGCCCTGGTTGGTCGTGTGGGTGGCAGCCACTAGATGTGTCCCTTCACATCGATGTTTCTCTCTCTCTCGTCCTCTCTCTCCCTCCCACTCTATCTGAACAAAAAATGTCCTCGGGTGAGGATAAAAAAAAAAAAAAAAAAAGAATTAAAAATTTTAATCTTAGAAAACCTAAAAAGCTACTAAAAAACAAAAAACAAAAACAAACCACAGGTGCCAGGAGCCTGGAAGAACAGGCTGAGTCTAGCAGGGCCCAGTGGCGCCGGCCTCGTCCCAGGTGGTCCCTGCAGCTCCTTGAACCCGCGGAGGCCCAGGAGCATAGCCGCCGTCCACAGGGCAGATGTGAACGCAGGCTCCCGGGTTACTTGGCACAACTGCACGGGTATTCATTGAAATTAAACTTTCTTCCAGAGGAAACAGAAAAGCCCAAGGATGAACAAAATGAAGATCTCAACATGTGGATCAGCCACATGTGTATCTTTTTTGTGAACAAGCTCTTCCAAGCACACAGACACGAAGAAACTCTCAAGGAGAAGGTGAAGGAGAACAGGTCCCGTTACGCAGCCATGGCCAAGCAGAGGAAGACGGAAAGCTACGAGCTGGAGTCAAGGTGACCGACACCCAGCCCCGCCCGCCCCCAGCGCTCAGGTCCCTTCCCGCTTCCTGGGGCCAAGGGCTCTCACCGAAAGCACGCAGCCTCCTCAGGGTGGCCTGCCGCACGGGGCGCTGGGACCTGTGGGCCCGTCCTCGCCTGCTCTCGGGGCAGTGGTGACATCTGTGTCCAAGAGCCCAGCCACAGATCTGACCGCCGGGGATCAAATCCCAGCCCCGCCGTGTAACACTTGGGTGCCCTTGGGCAGGGTCTGCCACTGTGTGCCTCAGTTTCCTTACCTGTAAGCCGTGGTGAGGATTAAGTGGCCTAATGCTTGTAAAGCATCTGAAACAGTGACTGGCACTCAGTGAGCGCCCGCTTAGGCTGCACTCACCCTCCTGGAACACTGCCCAGGCCCCCGCGCCGCACGCCGGTCGAGGACGGGCGCCTGCCTCTGTCCAGTGCGGCGAGCCTGTTGGTGTGGGGGAGAAAGCACCGACCTGCGCTTAAGGAAAAACACCGAGAAGCATTTCCAAAGGCTACTCACTAGCTGCTGGTTGCTACGACTTGAAAAGCGGTTCACAAGCCTCTGTTGATTCTGTCTAGATGCGGTATCACTCGATTTCAGCAAAGTGACGATAACTTAGTTTTCGTAAACAAAACCGTAGGCTGGAATTCAGGGACAGATGAAATGACAAAGGCAGTGACCCCTTCCCCTTCTGTTTGCTCCTGCTGTAGGCTGACCAGCTTGAGAGAGGAAGAGGCCAAGAGGCCAGACTACGAGGTTGACATCACCGTGATCAAGGAACCGGCGGAGACCCCATCCTCGAACTTCACGCCGAGCCCCGTCAAGGAGGAAACCATGGCCGTCCAATCCAAATCCATCATAAGCAGGAAAAAGAGAAAATAGAGCCACGGGGACAAACAGATGCAAAAGGAGGCCAGAACCAACGCGCTGGAACAAGACCCGAGCAAGGAAAGTGCCGTTACTTCCCGCCGGCGAGCGTGAGGGACCCTCGGCCCGCTGGGCTTCGGGCCTCCCCTCAGGCTGGCCGCCTCCCCTCAGGCTGGCCGCCTCCCCTCAGGCTGGCCTAACTGTGATCAAGGAACCGGCGGAGACCCCATCCTCGAACCCCATCCTCAGGCTGGCCTGCGCTTCGAGAGCAGAGCTGAATTAAAGGCACGTGGGCGACAGACGAGTGTGTGCCAACATGGTTTCTATTCAGAACGGCTGGTGATTAAGTTTAGAACCTGATAAAACTGACCACATTTCTTCAGCCACCCCCCACCCCCGCCCCAGACAGGTCCTCTGCCCTTGTCACCACCCTGTGTCCACGTCCTACCCGACCTTGCCACGCCGCCCCTCGCCTGGCTCCTTCCCGCAGGTCACAGCACCGACAGGGAGCCGGGACCAAGGCCGGACGGGAGCGGGAGCGGGTGTGCAGTCGGCGGCGAAGTGAATACTGTAGATCCGTTAGAAAACGTTAGAGCTAATGATTTGTTTTAAAATTTAAGCACCAAAAGCATAAAAATACAATCTCTAGCATCCAAGCTGACAGAAGGAAACCATCATCCAACATAAATCTGGGAAAAGGGAAAACGACAAAGAAAAACAGATGAAAACAGAAAACAAAGCCGGTGGGGAGAAGTGCAGGAATCACCAAGATAACAGGCTAAACACAGCTCCCCCACCTCCAGAGATACTTAGATTGGATGAAAAAAATCAAAATTCACTTCAGTGTTATTTATTCTTTACGAGAGAAACATCTTCAACAAAACCATACAGAAAGGATGAAAATAAAAATAGGGAAAAAATGTATCAGGAAAATCTAAGCAAGATGATTAGAGTAATAGCAAGCATTATTAAAGGCCAACAAAATAGAATTTAAGGTTAATATCTGCATAATATGGATAAAAATAATAAAAAAGGGCCCTGGCCGGTTTGGCTCAGCGGTTGGAGCGTCGGCCTGCGGTCCAGAGAGACCCGGGTTCGGTTCCCGCTAAGGGCATGTACCTCGGTTGCAGTTTGTCCCCGGCCCTGGTTGGTCATGGTTGGTCGTGCGGGTGGCAGCCACTTGATGTGTTCCTTCACATCGATGTTTCTCTCTCTCTCTCTCTCTCTCTTCCTCTCTCCCCCTCCCGCTCTATCTGAACAAAAAATGGAAAAATGTCCTCGGGTGAGGATAAAAAAAATAATAATAATAAAAAAGGACCAACAATCAATAAAGGTCCAATCCTCGTGTGTGCGCACTAGGTGTACACACAAGCTTTGCCAAAGCTGACAATTACAGGAAAGAAACAGACCAGGAAGACCAACATTTAGTGAGGACACAGATAATTTAAGCAACTAAACTAAAATGTTTGAACTAACAGAGTTAGAAGCCAGAATGCAACAGGGAATAAACTGGCTACATTTTTGGTTGAAAAGTGCAAGTTTCAAATGGTCCATCAGAGCCCAGCTCCTATTGCACTGCAGTTAATGAGTCAGCAGCGAACAACGCACACAATGAAGCGAGCCGCAGACACGTTGGAAACGGATCCATACAATCCCAACCGACTCCTGGTGTAAGAGGGAACCAGCAGAAATGGTAAACCATGTAAGACAACAACAATACTTTAAGTTGGTGAGAAGCACCCCCCTGCCCCCCACTTGCAGACTCATGCAGGTCAGGCGACAGGAACTGGGGAGCCCCTGCTAGGGCCAGGCTAGTGCCAATGCTTGGCCGGTTTTCACCCCAACTCCAGGATGCCCAGACACTGATGGTCGGTCCATCTCAGCTGCGGAGCTGCGTGCAGAGTGAGGCTACCTGGGAATCTACCTGACAAATAAATCTGCTTTGTGTGTAGACCACACTGGGCACTTTCACTACGTTCCTTGTATTACATGAAGTTTAAAAACCACATCAGCACTCAAGATAAAAACCAAGTCTAGCAATTACTTTGGGCAGATGCCTTAGTTCACGTTGGGTCTAGTGACCAGGGAGGGCCCAACTCTGCGAAGCTCTAGCTGCTGGACTGTCCCCCAGGACGAGCCCGGTGGTCTGCAAACAGGCAACAGGACAGAGAATGCAAAACCAGAATTTTAAAAACTTTAACAATTTATTAGTCTTATTTTCCAGTAAAATATTCACATAATGTCAAAAGAATGGAATGATAGGGATGTCACCGAGTAATTCCACATAAATATTTAAAATCTAAAAACTTCAGGGGGTCATCAGACTGAGTAGAAATTTGATTCTTCAAAGCAAGTATTGCTTTACTATTGTCATTCATCCAGTCAATAATATGACCAATAACCTGTAGTGGTAAACAAAACGTTTGCTGAGTTGTTTTTTAAAAGATGCTTCGGTGAGCCATCAGCAGTCAATCCAAGAAGAATATGTTATTGAACTGCGTCGCACAAAGTTTCTTGACCTCTTCTGCAAGAAGAACAGAAAACAGCGAGTAAGGAAGAGAGATTTTTGCTTAAAGGTTATACAATCAATACATATTAGTACCTTAAATTCTTCTGGAATAAAGTTAGGAATAAGTAAATGTCTGCATTAATTTTGACCTATTTCTAAGAAGATTAGGTAAAAAATGTTAATAAACCGAGAGAAAGAAACAGCCTAACATGCCCACGAGACTTCAGTGCTGTTTAACAAAGACACACTGCTTCCTTGGGCCTGAGAAAGCTCAAACCCAGCACCCGATGTGCCTAAGATACCCACAGGTGAAGGTTAGGAGCACAACTTCTAAAATCTCGAGAGCTTGGATGTGGAGCACAGAACCCCAGCTGCAACCTGGACGTGTGGGCCAGGGGCTCCAGAGGCCTGTCCTGATTTGACTCAGTTCCCACTGTCCTGAGCTGTGTTCTCACTGAGGTCTTCATGCACACAACTATGAAAATAAGTGTTAATAAAAGTGAAAAATTTAGTATGCCCTAGGAGCTAGACACAAAAAAAACCCCTCACACCTAACTTTTCGTACAGGTGGCACTTGGGCATCCCCCCAGCTGTCCGCCCCGGCTCTGGTCTCTTGCAGAGCTGCAAAGGAGCCGGGTGCAGGGAAGGTGACACCACCCTTTCCTCCAGGGCAGCAACACTTCCGGGTCAGTCAAAGCAGTTGTTCGGATCACACCGTGCAGAGGACAGACCAACTGCTCTGGCTGGAAGCCGGGGAAAAGCCCGCATGTTGCTGCTCCTGCACACAGGCGGCTGTCAGTTGCCACAGGAGCCTGGCTGCTCTGCATCGGTGTGTATTCTTATCACAGGAAATAAAAATGACCGGTTCATACACAGTATATAAAGCCATGGGACTGTCTTTCTTTAGCATCATAAAAAATAATTTTCTATTGGCCACTGTCAAGTTTCCCGTGGCATGGGGAAGTTTTTCACATACTTTTTCAAGGAACTGGGTTACAGAAAAACACAGAATGAATCACAGTTTCCTTTAAGCATCAGGGGCACCTGCTTGAAATCTCCACAGTCATGAGGTTCTATTGCACATTTTTTCTCAGTACAATGAAAAGACAGTAGTTTTTAAATATCAGAAGCATTAAAATTCTGCTCAGATACCAAATCCTATTTACCATTTACTTCAATCAGGTTTGCATTTTTTTGATTCAAAATAACATAGAGCTCCCGCTGATCAGACTTTTTCCCAACAACCCAATAATCACTCATGGCTTTCACGATGATCTCCTCGTCTTCGTCCACTCTGCAAGACAAGAGTTTCAAAATGCAGTCGTTTATTACAAACAGAGCCAGACTGAAAAACCATCCATCTAAAATAGGAGCCAGGAAACTTGGGTCATTTGGAAAGTTCGGGAGTCCTGTGCGAGTGACCAGGGCCCCGGGCTTAACGGTCTGTGTGGAAGTGGTGCCCGGATGGGTGGTCAAGCCCGCGAAGGGCTGTGGGTCACCGGGCTTTGAAGACAATTCCTTTCACGTCTCTGCTCTCACTAGAAGGGGCCACCTCATCTGAGGGGTGGTTCGATTACCTCGTAAAGTCACTGTTGATGTCGCCTAGGATCTTCATTAAATCCGGATGCACGGACGTCAGTGACACGCTGGGCGTCTTCCGCATGTGGATTGTGCTTTTTTCCGCTAGGTTCATGTGGTTGAAGTAGATGAACTTGAACTGGGGTTCTTTCTCCGACCTGTGGAAACACGCGAGTCAAAGGGTAACATTCTGAAGGGTCATCCTGACTACCCAATGGCACTGTTACTTTCAATCCGCAGGGCTGAGCCCGGTTTCTTCAGGGGCTGGGCCTCTGACAGTCTCAGTGAAGAGTAACAGGCTCCTCATTCGTTAGTAACTTACTTGATATCCGTGAGGTATTCCATATGATGGAATTTTCCAGAGAGCTGAAATTTATTTTTTTTAAAACAAAAATATTTAAGCCATTTTATGATTTTTCTCAATAAAAGTATAACGTTTTATAAATGCCAATCACTAGGTTATCTGAGTTTTTTTTGTAAAAAATGTAAATTAGCCCGACCAGTGTGGCTCAGTGGCTGAGCATTGATCCCTGCACCAAGAAGTCGCGGGTTCGATTCCTAGTCAGGGCACATGCTCAGGTTGTGGGCCCGATCCCCAGTGGGGGGCATGCAGGAGGCGGCCAGTAGACGTTCTCTCTCATTGATATGTCTGTCTTTCCCTCTCCTTTTCTCTCTCTCTAAAATCAATACAGAAAATTTTTTTTTTTTAAAAAGCAAACTAAATCAGTATAGGCCATTTATCTTCCAGTGGAGGGGGTCAGCAAACTACAGCCCTTGGGCCAATCTGGCCCTGTTTTTCTAAATAAAGTTTTACTGGAACACGGCCACACCCAGTACTTATGTATTGTCTATGGCTGCTTTCACACAAACAACAATTGAGTAGTTGCAACACATACAGACCATGACGTCTAAAGTTCTTATTATTCGGTCTTTTGTAGAAGTCTGCTGGCCCATTTTGAGAGAGTAACATCTCATTTATCCCACAGAATTGGGGAACACGTGTTCCATGTATTTAATCTGCCATATAACTAAAGTTAACTACTATTAAATAACAAAACTTTTCATCCTAAGTGGAGACTATTCTAAAACACATCAGCCTTTGCCTTGGCTGGTTTGGCTCAGTGGTTGAAGCGTCGGCCCAAGGACCAATGAGTCGCAGGTTCCATTCTAGTCAAGGGCATGTACCTCTGTTGCGGTTCATTCCCGGCCCTGGTCCTACTTGTGCAGGAGGCAACCAGTCGATGTGTCTCTCTTTCTCTCTCCCCCACCCTATCTGAAGATAAATAGAAAAATATCCTTAGGTGAGGATTCAAAAAAAAAATCTGCAACTGAAGTATGCGCCCTTGGCCAAAATCAAACCCGAGACTCACTGGTCCACGGGCCAATGCTCTACCACTGAGCCAAACTGGCCAGGGCAAAAGCAGAATGTTTTTTTAGTAGGCCCCTGAAACTAAAAAAAGAAATAATAATTACAAGAAAAACTGGAAAGATGAAAAATTTAAAAGATGTTTGGAAAGAGTTGTAAATTTAGTTGTCTGGTAGACAAACTTCTACACAACTTCAATCAGGCATAAAATTCTGGCTGTTTTTGTCTAACCCCAAAACACACTGTAGAATTCCTCTCTCCCTCATTTACAATATTTAAAATACAGCCGTCCCTCGTTTATCGCGGTTAATCCGTTCCAGACTCTAGCGGTTGCACTTGGCGTTGAGGGGCTCCTGGGGTGCTCGAATACGTAGGCCTACAGTCCCTACATATAGTAATTTTCATTTTAATTGTAATACAGGGGTGTATAATGGACTCAGACAACCGAGCGCGTGCTGTATCATTTTCACTGTCTCGATCAACTTTTTAATGAATATATTTGAAGAAACCGCCAGAGTGAAGCTGTGCAGTCGAAGCGCGAAGTGGCGAGGGACGACTGTACTCTTCCAATAAGATTAAAGCCATTTCTTTTGCACCCCAGATGGAAATTCCGTTAGGAAACCGTAATCAGGCAGTTCAGACAAGCAGACATGCCTCTTTCCACGCCCCCTCCCTGAAAGATAATCTAAAAATAGAAACAGAAAAATAGCTCCTTGCAAGATACTGTTAATAAAAGAAAAAAGATCTGCTTACATTAAACACAGCAAGGATCATTTTCGTCCTAACAAGTTTATTAGTTATCAAAATTAACATCGAAGACTATTAGTTTGGATTATTAGCCAGGAGCCGCTTTTACCTGGTGCCTTTTCCACAGAGCTCAACAGTCCTTTCAAACATGAAAGCACGTTTTTCTAAATATAAAATGATACAAATTTTTTGCCCTCTTAAAAAAGGACATGCTACACACAGGTAGCTGTCAGTGTACAGCATACTAAACACAGGAAAACCAACCGAGTCCTTGGTGACTTGTGAAGTCGGGCGCACCCACCACCAGAGCGCAGGACGACAGCGGGAGCGTGAGAGTGGAACGTCTGCCACCAACATGGCGCAGGACAGAGCACTTACGTGTCCACTCATTTTTTAAACAAGGTTTTGTTTTCTGTCAACCTTTCCTTCACATTCCTCTGCCCCTTTTCTGCTACTGGCCGGAAACTCAAGGACCTGTGGCTGACCTCCTCCGCCCGCCACGGCACCAGTTCACCTCGAGGCCAGAGGTCACGTCGAAGGGGCAGGTGCGGGCACCCTCCCAAACTGCACAAGCATGCCAGGGAAGGTCACCGGGTTACTGCACAAATGACAAAGACGTTGCTTCCAACAGAGGCTGCTCCTCTCCTACCCCTCTCTGCCCTCCCTGCACCTTCTCAGGCTCAGCACTGGGAATGGCTAGTGAGGAGGTGAAGGGAACAGAACCCGAAGTTTCTCATCCACCAAACGGCCAATGTGGGGAAACAGCTTCCGTGAGAGTCCTTCCTCAAGGTCTCACAAATGTCAGGTGATAAAAGATTTTAAACAAAAGAAAAAACCATGAAAGTACTGAGATAAAAATGGGATGTTTTTATAACACTGGGGTAGAAAGTCCCAAGTAGGACACTAAAGACAAAAATTAAAGGCAATGATTAATCACAATATCTACACCCCCCCCAATCTCACGATAAAAAAAGAGTACAAAGTTGAGGAATCTGGGCCGTGACGGAAGGGGTAACACCGAGTCCCGAGGCAAAAGGGAAAAAGACAAAGCGCCAATGGGAAGAGCCAAAGGACACAGATTCGCAGGAGAGACAAAAATGCCCGTAACCAGATGAAGAGATGACCCTCCTCACTGTTGCCTCTCACTGTCCAATGTGAGAGCTGGTGGGAGGGTCAGAGGGCTGCACCCTCCTGGGAGGCCTCCCCTCTGCCCTAGAACTCAATTCCAGCCATTTCTCCCAGGGGCTGATCGGATGCATGTCCCAGGTGGTTCAGTGCAGAACTGTCTGTAATGCTAACAGCCATAACCAGGCTACTCATTAAATGTGAGAATGATTAAACAGATCACCTCTGTCCAATTAAATACCATGAAGCCATTACAGAGAATAAGGCAGATGCATATTTATTGCTTTACAAAGGATACTCACGCCATATTTTTTAAAAAGCTACAGGTTTATAGCATGATGCATTTTTAAAAACCCACGTGGAAAAATACACCATGTGTCTAGGTCACTGTGTTTAGATATGTGCACAAGTCTAGAAAGACAGAAGCCAAAGGAGATTGCTAATATTTATATTTCTAAATTGAAAAATTAATAACATAAATTAATCTCAAAAAAGAAAAAAAAAATTTAAAGTAACTGAATTGTAAGCCCTTGAGTAGGGGGAAAAAAAAATCAAGGTATCACATCAATGAATGGGTACTGAAGACCAAACAGACATACTTAGTGCCACTCCATCCAGGGGTGGCCTTGATTTCTTAAGGAGCACGGACAGGGCTGGCTGCTTCCATGCACATGAACTCAATACTGAACGTGGCGCCCCAAGCCTGGCCTTAGGAACACTGCCCAGGCAGGGGCTTCAGCGAACAGGCCGCACAGAGGTCCTGGGACTGGACTGGGGTTCAGGACTGCTGCCCATCTAACCCAGCCCTCGGGGCTCCTCTTCCCTCCGTCAGGGCTGCCCCTAATTTCTTGGGATGGGAATTTTGGAGGTCCCAGGACCAGAGTGTAAATGGTTGATTTGGCTCAGAAGGACTTCCAGAAGGAAACTATATTACTGTTTGCACTCCCAAGCTTTTCTCGCTGGTCAGGTGATATTTATGGTTTGGCCAGCAAGAATAGCTGCCATACAAAATCTCAGGTGCATCTAGAACCATCTTAAGGTCAACTTTCAGAGATAAGAATAACTACATTTCTAGAACCCCTTTTCTTGGGCACGCCCCTAAATTGTGTGGTTATTTCACCATCGAGTTTGCTGGGTACCCTGTCTTTCAGGGGGCTAGTGAAACTGTACAGTGGTTCTTAGTAAAAAAACTGTCCTCCAGGTTCGACAGATGTGTGCTGAGACATATACAGCAAAATATAATCGTGGAATCTAAGTAGGGGGTATACAGGGTGGGCAAAAGTAGGTTTGCAATTGTGAGTACATGAAGCAGTTTATCCTTATACTTATTACTTATTAATTATTCTGTTATTGTCCACACGAATGACTGTAAACCCACTTTTGCCCACCCTGTATGTGTGTGCACTGTATAATGTTTCAATGTTTTAACCTTCCTAGGTTCAAAAATGTTCATAAAAAATACTGGAGAGAAACTGTTCTCTTATGCTAGGGTAATTAACATTCAAGGCCCTCCTTTCTCACATCCAGCCCTACGGAGAGTCCATCTTATCTGCGAACCAGAAGGTGTACGCAAGCGAGTTCACCTCTGGACATGTGTGCAGGAGTTGCTGAAATCCATCGCTTCTACCGAAAGCACACACACAGAGTCAACACAGTCAGTCACCTCCCAGGGAGTTGGGATGGAGGTCAATACACGTGGTCACTCTCGACTTAGAATGGGCATGGCCCAGAACAGAGTCAACTCCCTTCGGCCTCCCTCACAAGAAAAGATCTGGCAATTTCACGGTAAAATAGATAAATAAATAAGCAGCACTTTGACAATACAGCTGGTCAGGCACTCTCGTCCCCTGCGGCATCTCCCCAGACCAGGTACGCTGCCCACACAGACACAGGGCCACCGGCGTTCACCAGAAGCATCTGCATCCTCGCCGCAGGCTGAGGCTTATATGAGACCAGACACTGTACGTATAACATGATCACTACAAACACAGGGCACGTTGGTAACTTCTCCACCACGTGGCAAGTCCACATTGCGAGGGCTTTTCTCTCTCAAAGTGCTGTCCATCTACTCACTTTAGTTACAGTAACTCGACTTTACAGAGACAACAAAGTAGAAAGAGCTTCAGTGACTTCAGTGTTTATACAAACATGAGTTTACCGCGAGTCTTCCGGTGCTCAGAGAGCCTTTCAGGCCGCCAGACCCAGCGCCAATACCCGAATGGCGTCTAGCTCAGCCAACCTGACCCCCCATTTCTGCACAACAAGGCAAAGTGCTTTCAGTCTGTGCGAAGCAAACCCTGCCGGCGACTACTGCCAGTGTGACTTTCACAACCTGGCTGGGCACGTGGGATGTCAGATGGCACAAGGCCAAGTCCACCTCAGCCCCACGTCCATGCCACGGTCGGAGAGCCAGCCCCCATCAACACGGGCAGAAAGTTCAGGAGCAGGGCCCCAGGAACTTTCGGACTGGACTGAGCAGCACACTGCTGTTCTCTGGACGCAGGGAAAACGTGCATGTCAACACTGTCCGTATCCTAAGGAACGACCACCCTTATTCTTCCAAACCCAGCTGAATACTAGAAAGAAACAAGGTCAAGTACACACCCAGACACTCTTTTGTTGACGTTGAATTGCTCACAGATGTCAGATGCCAGCACAGTGAGCTGGGGCCCCACAATGCTGTCTAGTCTTCGGCAAAAGTCCAACGTAGGCTGCACAGAGGCTAACAAGTAATGTAAGAAACACCAGTGAGTGTATAATACTTTGTGTTAAAAAGGTCGATATTCATTTTACTGTCTTAAGAACAATTTTGCCATCTTTACTGAACTAACAATTCAAACTTTTATTGGATCTGGGAGATAAAACAGATCATTAGATCTCCCTGCCCACCCCTCCCCCCAAATAAAAGAGAAAAAGAATCAAAATTGGTTATATTTCAGATGAAAACAAAACAAAATCAAAGACCTAGCTCACCGAGAAAATTGATTTAAGCATGTCCTGTGGGAGGTAAATGGGTTTCTACCCCGAGCAGACCCAACAAGGTCACAGAGTGAACAAACGTTACATGGGCCACGTTCAGTACTTTTCAAATATTACCTCATTTAATTCCCAAAGCCCTTGAGACAGGTGCTACTGTTACCATCCCACAGTCAGGGAGGCATGGAAGGTACCAGGCCCTCCTGCTGACAGTGGAGAACTAGGACTTTAATGCAGCCTGTGTGTCGCTATGACACCCATCCTCTAGGGACAAGCACAGCAGACCACCCAGAGCGAAGGCTCCGCTAAGCGGGAATCAGACCAGGCGCGTACCTACCGTCAATCATGAAGCACACGGCGGCACTCATGGCCTGGAGGACGAAACAAACCAGAGGTCACACAGCGGCACAGGAAGGAGGCTCCGTGCCCAGAGGCCGCCCTGCGGGACTCCTGACTGCAGCAAATCAACTTTATAAAGGTGTCTGTTATGTTTTTTAGGCAACTGGAGAAGTCCCGATGTAAACTGAGTATTAGATGACATTAAGGAAAACTGTTTATCTCGTCAGGTGTGGTAACAGACTAGACGTCCTTACCCGTCAGACGCAAACCGAAGTATTTATGAGTGAAATGACATGATTTAAAATGCTCTAGCAAAAAAAAAAAAATTGTATTAAATTTACCTTTCATCTCCCCTGAAGCATGTCAGAATAAATTAGTGACTCCATACTTAACAAAATAAAATAAAATGCTCTGGCAAAAAAAAAAAAAGTAGAGAAGACAGATGAGAGATTAGCATATTGTTAATTAATTAAGCTGTGTGATGGGTATCTGGAGATTCATATTCTAGACTATTTTTGTGTATATTTGACAATTTCCACTAACACAGTAAAAACCCAGCAAATCAATTCCTTGTCTCATGTTTTACTATAGCAAATATTGAGATCATGACATCGGCAAGTAACAGCAACCTATAGCAACCAATATCATGAATAAAATAACCAAAAATGTTTAAAATTATCAAAGCAATGTACATGTTTTTAAAAAAAGTCAAATAGAACATATAGCTTTTTATTAAAGAAAAGCAACGGACTTCTTTCTCTGAGCCCTGTTCCCAAGGCCGTCCCTTCTAACCATTTCTGAGAACATGGTCACACCTCAGACATCATGCTGACCTCCCAGTCTCATCAGGATGGATGCGACCCCTCATCTGCCTTCCTCTTCCTCCCTGGAGTTTACAGCCACTCCGGTCCTCCACCGGTCACCTGACGGCCCCAACTGGCTCATTTTTCATGCCACCAGTCACAGGCACCAGCTCCTGAGTTGCTAACTTTTAAAATGGGAACATTTATGTCCCCACCTGTTCCCCCACTTCCACCTCTAATCTTCTATAAACATCTACACTATTTTGTAACAAAATTACAATCATTATTTGCCTATAAACAGGTTGTAAACTTGGTGGCTTACAGGTCAGTTCCATCTGATATGTGTTTCTTTGTGTGTCAAGTAATTTTGACTTAGATGCAACTAGTTTTCTACCAAATTTCCCATCTCCACCCTCTCCCTCCGTGTCAGGACGCGCGGGACCAGCGGCTCTGCGCCAGGCTCGAGCGGGCGGGCGCAGGTGCACCCGAGCGTCCCACTCAGCAGCACTCCGGACAGAAGCCCACCCGGCTCGTGCCCCTTGTCTACCGGCAGGGCTTCTGAGGGCATTTGTGTGGACTGGTTTTAAATGTGCCTTTTCAGTCTCTATTTAAACATGTAAATAGAAAATATATAGGGTGTCCCAAAAAAATGTACAGGCAACTCTGAATAATTATAAAGCCAGTCTTTATTAAAATACATTTTACTTTCGCCCTGGCTGGTTTGGCTCAGCGGTTGGAGCGTCGGCCTGCGGTCCTGAGAGACCCAGGTTCGGTTCCCGCTAAGGGCACGTACCTTGGTTGCAGTTTGTCCCCGCCCCAGGTTGGTCGTGTGGGTGGCAGCCACTTGATGTGTCCCCTCACATCAATGTTTTTCTCTCTCTCTCTCTTCCTCTCTCTCCCTCCGGCTCTATCTGAACAAAAAATGGAAAAATGTCCTCGGGTGAGGATAAAGGAAAAAAAAAACAAAAAACATTTTATTTTCAAAATGTAATAGAATCTACCCAAATACATTTTGGGGGACACCCTGTACATATAAGAAAAGGACACAGAACAGTCTAATGAACCCCTGGACATCACTTTCCCAACAACTGCCAAGTCAAGGACAATGGCACCCTATCCACCCCGCTTTGCATGTAACCTCAGCCCCCATCATGCAGCACCCCGTTTCAGAAGGGGTCTGTAAGACACGGACTCTAGGGCACTCCCAGAGTGGCAGCGCGAGGAGTACCACAGCCCCACTGAAACACCGTAACTGAGAAAATGAGAAAGAACCATCTTTACATTCCCAGAGGGAAACCGTCCTCTGGGCGAACAGCCAATGGAGGAACGTTTATTCGTGAGAGTCAAGTAAAACTTAGTATTTACTGCTTTATAGCTGTAAACACATATACCAAAAAGAAAGACCTCGAATCAACAACCTACCCTTCCATCTTAAGACCCTGGAAAAGAGAGGAGCAAACTAAATCTAGAGCAAGCAGAAGGAGGGATATGACAAGGAAAAAAGCAACGTCAAAAGTTGGTTCTCTGAAAAGACCAGCAAAAGTGAAAAGCCTTTAGCTAAACTGTCTGGACCAAGTGAAAAAGAGAGGAGACAAATTCTCCAAATGAGGGGCTACTGCTCCATGGGTACAGAGTTCTGCTGGAGGCGAAGAAAAGCTCTGGAAACGGTGGTGGCTGCACAACGCTGTGCCTGTACTTAACTCACCGAACCGCACACCTGACATGGCTAGATGGTGAGTTTTATGTGATACTTATCTTACCACAATAAAAAAACCTTTAGCATCATTATTTTCAATTAACCTAAGTTTAAAATAACTTCAACTCATGTCACACCGTTTGATTTGTGGACACCTCTCTCATCTCTGTGAATACTAATTTTTAAAAGTTCGCCTCTGTCCCCAGAATCGCTCTTGCTCCTCTCAGGACCTGGATTGTTGCTTTTCCAACCACACTTGAGGAGGGAACCGACAGGCTGACCAGGACGGGAGCCCGGGTGAAGGACAGGGCAGCAGCTCGGGGGCACACAGCGATGCCAGGGGCAGAGCCTTGTCCTCAAGTGCTGACACCCCACCTCAGCCGCTCTAGGTCTCTCCAGATTGTTTACTTTCTCGAAAAAGGCAGAGTTGTCACCTGGGACAGGTGCTCAGCTGCCGTCTGTGGGTAAGGACAGGGGAGGGGAGGCTGGTGTACATGTGACACTTCATTATTCCCGGTATTTCCCACTCCTGACTCCTCAGGTGCCCGCCTCCCGGCTGGAGCTCCCCTGTCCCCCTCCCCACGCATGCCCCAGGCTGGCCTCCTCTCTCCTCTGCTGCCATCTCATCTCCTTCCACCGCCCAGGAAGACAGTTCCCGCAGCCCTGCAGCTCTTCCCCTGCCTGGGACTAGGGCATCGTCCCTAAGCCTCTGCGAATGGAGCCATGATCGTACTCTCAGGCCAAAAAGAAGATAAACCTAAGCTCGGTCTCTTTTCTTGAACCAAAATCTGCCTCAAAATGAAACAAGCACCTGCCCAGCCAGTGTGGCTCAGTGAATTGAGCGTTTCCCATGGACTGAGAGGTCCCTGTTCGATTCCCGGTCAGGGCACAAGCCTGGTTGTGGGCTGGATCCCCAGTGGGGGCGTGCAGGAGGCAGCCGATCCATGTTCCTCTCACATTGATGTTTCTCTCTCTCTCCCCACTTCCTCTCTAAAAATCAATTTAAAATTAAAAAACCCAACCTAACATAAACACATATCCTTACAAGATGCTCCCTCACAGAACTGCCACTGCCCCTGCAGAATAAGTGAGTCCTCAGCGCTGACCCCGAGCCGAGGCAGTCTCCAGTGGAGTGTGGGCAGGAGGGGCGTCCGACCGCACCGGGGACGCCACAGCCGTGGACAGCTCCCCTTTCACAGATAACTCCTCGGTAGGAGCTGGAAACGAACTGCTTGTTCCAGAAGGCACCCACTTGGAGTTTTACAGTAATTTCACTTCTAGCATCTGTCCTGAAAAACGTATAGGTTTACGTACATACTTGTGGACACACACGGAAGAGTTACTTTGGCATTAATCTGAAACCCTGGAGGGAAAACAGTTGTTACCTTATAAACGATTAAATGGAGGGCTTCATAAGTGTCCTCTGTATTTACAAAGATTTTGGGGAATCTGCATTTTGCTTCTGGGTCATTAAGGTTCAAGGGTCCAGTCAGAAATCTGAGAAGCAAGCACAGAGATGACTCAATTCCACTAGGAAAATTATAAGCAGGGATACACAGGGTAGGCAAGGCAGGCTTACAGCTGTGAGCGCGTGAAACACCAGGCTTATTCTTGTGTTGGTATTTATTTATTACTGCATTATTTTCCATACGAACACTGCAGGCCTACTTTTGCCCACCCTGTATAAACAGAGTACATTCCTACTTAATATACAGCCATTTTGGGGAAGCCCGGACATCACTTACAAAACACCAAGTCAGAATATAAAAAAGAACTTTGTTGAAGGCAATTCAGTGTTTATGATTTTATCGTTACCAAAAAGATAAAATCCAATATTGCACATCAAAGAACATAAGTCTTACCTTCCGTAGTGTTGAAGATTTCCTGGCATTTCTGCCCTTATAGGAGAATCCCTTCCTGCCAACTGGGAACAAATTTCACGTTGAAAATGACTTATTAGACTGTCGACTCTCAAAGCTTTGAAAGCAGCACCCACATCTACTCGGTGGCTTCCTGCCCTTTCTCTGCATCAGTTTCCCCATTCCTCTCACCAAGAAAAGGGAGGGGATCCCAGAGGGACACAGAGAACTCATTTTAAGCAGAACAATCACAGCATAACTTCCCTGTGCCCTAAACGCCACGTCCTGATTTACTTTTACAGCAGTAACTGAGATCTCCCACGTGGTGAACACATCCCAGGCAATGGCACAGATTACTCAACTTCATCTCATACGGCCCCTGTGGGGAACACTCTCTTCCTACTTTCTAGATGTGGAAACTGGAGTTCACAGACGGTCACCACGCACAGTCCTCAGGAGGGCCAGGCATCGGACCCAGGCCTCTGACCTCCTAGTCGCTGCCTCCTGCCAGGACATCGTGCCTCCTCCTAGACTTATGGTTGTGGCACATCCCTAGTTTCTTTTGCTGAAGATATACTATTTCAACATGCATAGAAGAATGGGGGGAAATCCAAATCCAACAGTCATGCTAGCTAAAACTTGTTACTATTTAAAAAATAATGTTCTTGCCCTGGCAGGTTTGGCTCAATGGTTAGAGCGTTGACCCACGGACCAAAGGGTCTCAGGTTCGATTCTTGGTCAAAGGCACATACCTGAGTTGCACGTTCAAACCTGGCCCTGGTAGCGATCGTATGGGAGGCCGCCAATCGATGGCTCTCTCTCACATCAATGTTTCTCTCTCTCTCCCCCCGTCCCTTTCCACTCTTTCTAAAAAAGTCAATGGAAAAATATTCTCAGGTGAGGATTATCAAAATAAAAAATAAAAAATTATGTTCTTTTAGTCTACATAAAATTGTAGCATGTGAAAGATTTAGCAAATGCAAGACTGAAAACAGGAAACCCAACAGTAAAAACGCACAGATAGCTACCACACGTGCAGTCTGCACTGAGAGAGGCCTCGTGTGTCCACGGTCACAAGGCCATGCTGTCTACGTGGCTTCCTATTCCACAGCCTGGCTCTGAGGCACGTCATAAAGCCCCGCGTGGCTTCCCACTGCTGCCGCAGCACCATCACACGTGGAAAAGCCTCCTGAAGTGGTCCTTCTGGAGCAGGTGGGTTAGCACCAGGCTGCCCTGAGATCAAGTCCTGGCTCTGCCGCTTGCTAGCGGGGTGAGTCTGCCTAGTCAGTTAAGGCTCCTAAGCTTGGGAATCCCACCTGGAAGATGAAGATAAGGTACCCAGCTTCTAGGACTGTTGTCAGGAGATGCATGTTTGCTGGGCACATAGTACAATGTCTGGCCCACAGCACGTACTCTAGAAACATCAGCCACTGTATTCAAACTACCCAGAAAGGAACAAAGTGCAGGACCAGGTCCTTCTCAAAACCTCGCTTTCAATTTCTTATCAAAGGTATTTTTCTCGTTGTTCCAAGTCATGGCTTTAAGAGAGAGAGAGAAACACACGTGCCCCTGGACCAAGGTGGTGCTTTTCTGGACTATGAGTACTTCTCGCCCCCAGCCCAGGTGAAGCTAGAAGAGACACGCTGGGGAGAGCCCTGCGTACTCCTCACAGCTGTCCGCAGACTGGGCGATGAAGGCCCGAGTGGGAAGGCCAGGTGGGCGGTGAACGGCTGCTCCAAATTAAGATCACGGGCTGTAGCTGAGACGACCGGACTGACCATGGCTTTGTCAAAGACCCCTGGCATTTTCAGAGTTCCCAGAACCGTACCTAGAAACCCAGTTTTCCCTCTACTCAATGAACTGCTCCTCTTAAAAATATACCTTTGCTATTGCCTCTGAGCAAAACAAAACAAAGAGCGGACACACATTGTTTTCTGTGCTAAGTGATACACAATAGACAGACCTCACTAAATATCACACTGGTGATTAAAATAGGGACCAGAACTGCCCAGCCACAACCATGTTACTGCACCCTCCTCCGCCCCAGACCTGGGTGAGCGTACGTACATACATATATACATACGTGCATAGCTATCTATCGGGAGATAGTAGTGTCCGTACCTCAGGTTCGATGTGTCTTGGAAATAAAGATGTGGTGAGGTATTTGTATAAAATTCTCATGTCATCTTGTTCCAATCCACTCCTGAAACATCAGAAAAACACCCGTTAGACGACTGGAACCGGTCTGTGTTTCCATGGCTCCACGCTAAGGTTCACCCTTCTCCCTTCACATTAGGGCAAGAAGCCCTTTCCGACCGGCAGGTTCGGAGGGAATGGACTGCACTCGATCTGGCACCAGAACCTGCTCAAGGCCACTCCTACGTAGCCTCGCATTTTATGTGCCATTTACGACAGTCCCAAGACTCGAGTCTCTGCGAATCCCACGCAGGATCCTCAGGAGGCGCTGTCGCCACCTGCCCTCCTCCAGGGGAGGACTGCGCGGCTCTGCGTATCTTCACTCGGGAGCCATCAGCCAGGAACTGGTCCTGCTACATCTCAGAAACGGAGTGGATTTTAGTTCTCGACTCCAGTGTCCGTGCGAAGGAGGGAGGGAAAGAAGCCAAGCGCAGGCAAACGTCTAACTTGAAACGGGCAACGAGCAGCACGTGGGGAAGTGACTGCGGAACGGGCAGGCAGCGGACTCCATCTGAAGCAGTTTTTCAGGTAGGAATACAAACAGGAGTCTGTATTTGTCTTCTGTTCAAGCTCGCTGAAGAAGACATGTGAGGAAACATGTCTCCCTTTACGTGACTCAAACCTGTGTACACATTCCAGAGGCTCTCTCCTTCCCGCCACAATCACGTGAGGAGAGGTCTGCTCTGTCCGGGCAGCGCGGCCCCTCTGCGGCCTGGGCTCTCTCGCCTCTCCTTCCCAGGTCCAACTCTCAGGTCTCGTCCACAGTAAAACTAGAAGGGAGCCCTACCCCCTTCGGCAGGCTTGTTTCCCTTCCAGGAAAGGGAGGAGCGCGGGTCCAAAGGTAAAACAAGAGAGAAATGGTTCACAGCCAATTAGGCAGATGGATTTTGCAAATTAAACACAGGGAAAGGTCACCCCGTTTTCTTCTGCGGAAATAATTGAGATAAGAGGGGAAAAACGAGAAAAACAAAAACAAAACAGGTTCTGGGTGTTACTTCCACTCTAAGACGCGCGAGTAGCCTGGGAAGGGCTCTAAGGACGGCGTCAAGAACCACGTGCGGGCAGCTGCTTCCTCGGCTTGGCTTCCCAGATCAGCAGCAACCGGGCCCATCTGGCTGAACCCGCAAAATGCGATGGGTCAGAACCAGTGTGGAATACACACTGGATTTTTAAGTTTTAGCACAAAGAAAATAGCTCGTTAATTTTTTATTTTACACATTGAAGTCATAGTTTAGATACATTAGGCTAAAATATATGTTATTATAATTAATTTCACCAGTTTCTTTTTATTTTACCGTGGCTACTGGAAACTTCTAAATTACATGTGTGGCCTGCACTACACTCACACTGGCTGGTGCTGTTCTGGGCCGGAGGACACTGGGTAGAAAACGCCCTATAAAAGGAAAAAGCAACAACATTCCTTAACTGCTTACTGTGTGCACTGTGCTTAGGGCTGTCTCTATTACTGCACCTAAGAGTTAATGCTGGGCATTAAGTACTTTGGGGCTGGTTTTCTGGGTAGAACATTTAATAAGGAAAATAAATGGACTTTCAGCCAGATGTTCAGAGCACAAAACACCAGCAGGCGCTTCCCGCTCGGCCTACGGAGAGGGGCCAAGTTGTAGGCTCTCCGTGAGCTCTGACCAAGCAACTCTCCCTCCAGTATCTGCCACCCCATCCCTATCCCTGCTCCCCCACAGCAACAAATGAAGTGATATTGCATCATACTTATGCAAGATGATACCTTGAGGAAAGTTCTTAGAGCTGCACTGCAATCTTCAGCGATCCCAAAATAAAGGTTTTAAAAAAACCAAACAAATTCCTCTCAGCACAGACAGACAGACGACACATAAAGCCAACAAAACCCTGCACTGAGGGGTTCAAATGATTCAGGACTCCATCAAACAGGAAATAGCCCCTCATGCTCAGACGTACAGCCATTCTCAAAGTGTCTCAAACACAAATGTTTAATAGCAATGACGTTTCTCCTTAAAAAACCAAAAAACTTTTCTTCCATTCAAACTGCGTCATTTGTATGCATGTGATGCTACTTTGTCAAGGCTGACTGGTCTTTCTGGCTTATAGGTCTATAGCTCTGTCCTGTGTTGGTCCCATTGCTAAATGGACTTTTGCCGTTTTGCTCTAAGACTCCCATACGTACTCTGAGTGAAACAGCAGCTCCAAGCTATACAAGTTGTAGTCAATATTTCTCTCTCCCGCCCTCTCTCTAAAATCAATAAAAACATGCCCTCAGGTAAGGATTAAAAAAGAGTCAACTGACATCCTCCTCCTAACAGTAGGAGTATCTACTAATCCTGTCACAGCCATGGCAAAACTAAATCCATTCATTAACTGCAACACAGTCCAAACAGAACTAGAAGGTGTTTTCTACTAACCATTTGCTTTGAGCTCACTATCTGCATTTACAGAGCATATACAATGTGCCAGGTCCCAGCCGTGTGCTCGGATGCTGGGACAGACAGCTGTTTCTACCCTCAGATAATTAAAAAAAAAACAAAACAATAAAAAACAATATATATATATATTAAAAGTAGTAAGAGTAAATATATATCCGGTTCATGAAGTTTAAAATACTCCCTTGGTATTTAAATATACCAGCTTTGCAACTAGCAATTACTTCTCAAAACATGCTGTTTCTCAGAGTTCCTTCTTGTCACCGCTGCTGGGAGCACCCTTTCCGTCGGCATAGAGCTGCCCGGGCAGCCACCAGCGCTGCGCACTGCTCAGCTCCAGGAATGTCACTCACAAAGACAAAGATGCCAAGAGGATCCCCAGGAGTTGGACAACAGGTTCCATGAGCCCACGTTTGCAGAGCTCAGCCCTCCTGGTCATGCTGGCTCCAGGGCCACCCAGCATGAGCTGACGACTTCAAGGGGGACCCTATTGCTTGAGGGGTGTATCCTCTCGAAGTTCACAGCCACGTCGGGGCTTATGTTGTGCCAGGAGAGCACAGCCTCATCTCCTTCTTTCTGACAGGGCCACCAAGGCCACAGACTGCTGCTGGACGCTGGTCCATGCCTTTTCTCCGTCACCACGGCGGGTTCGGCCTTCCCATGCCTCGGGAATTCCTACCGATGGAGGGCCTGCTCCTTCCTCAGCCCGGACCCGGGGAACTCCCCTCCACCTTTCACGGCCCTGAGAATTTCACTATCACAGTGCGAAGCACGGAACAGCTACAGCAGGGTCAGCTAGTCTGACGTGAAGTTGCCTAACACACCATTTGTCAGGTAAACAAGGTGTATTTTCATCTGGCATTTATGTTTTCATAGAAAATGAATTCTTCTGAAAACCCCATTAACTTGTTTAATAAACAGATTCAAACATCTTTAGATTAACCTGTTTTTCTTCCTAAAATGGAACTACAGGATTTTGGCAGGGGAAGGGATGGCTTGTGGGGGATCATTATTGCCTTTTCTATTAGCTGAACTCAGGTTTTAGTGTTAAAACATGGCCACACTCCTATCTTAAAGTGGGATCCAGGCAACACAAATGAAAACTGAACCCAGTGAGCACAGAGCTGGAGGCACCCAGCCGGCTCCCTCTTGACTCTCAGCAGCTCGTGCCAGGCGCCCACCCTCAGCCACGGGTAAACAGTGCGGATCCACACTCCACTCTTTGGGCCACCTCCTCCAGGCAGTCTCTGCACACTCCTACAGCCTTCCCAGTGTTCAGTCTGACAGCATCTAGTAATAGTTGACCTTCCTTCCTGAGTATCAGAATGGTCATCACAGAAATTACATCTTATTCCTACTACAGGATACAAACATAGTGCCGTAACTTTCTAGCACTTTCTACTTCCTGGAAATTAAAAAAAATCTATCTTCTTTAAAATATGAAAAGTATACTTTCTACATTTACCATACAATTTCTTTGAAGATGTTTTTGGAAATACACCAAAATGAAACCAGGATTCCTAAACCTAACCTAATAAAAACATTTTATCCACCTTTCATGGAATCAGTTTTAAACTCCCCTGCTTGGTAATTTTAACTGAAGTTACCCTAGTTCTGGTTTAGTCATTGCTCTATTTGACAGTATCTGTAAACATGCTTCCGACCTTGCCCACTGCCATTAGTTTCGGTTGGAAAACCTGCTGCCAACCCAGGTATGCGGTTTTCATATCCTAAGAGGTGTTCTGCTTTCACATGGTGAGCCTTAGGGTGCACCTACCAGATGAGTTGATCGTTATAGAGAAAGGCAGTATATTTGACTATACTCAGGCTTTCCTCCATTCTATTAATAAAGGACTGGATTTTCAGATAAGTCATTTTATCCAATGGGAAGAAGCTGATTCCACCAAAAATGTCGAGTAGATCACATGACTGCAAATGCAACGTTTGCAAATACTGTAGGAAAAAAGAAGGAATAACATTTACTAATGAGTACACTGAATATAGTCCTCTTTGATAACTGAAAATTAGTCCTAATTTATGTTGCAATACAATTATATACTAGCAACAGTATACTCACAAGCCAACAGGCAGGTGAGCCCTAGGTAACGATCTGAAATCAGTACCAATGTCAAAATATAAAGTTCAAACACAACTCATTAATGTTTACTCAATATTGTGTTTTATCTCTTTAAAATATTTCACTCCTTATATTAGTGCTCCTCAAATAAGGTTAGCCTTGTTAGGGAGCCACAGAGCGACATCATTTAGTGCCATTTTATACTAAAATCCTGTTGAAAGGACGTGGTCAGGTGTGACCACTGATGGGAACAAGAGCAGGAATCAGGAGACAGTTTGAAAGTGAATTAATTATGGTCACTAAAGTGAAGAAACAAACAAGAAAAGTAATTATAATAATATAATTCAAAAATAGGTATCAAAGGTAGTGTAGGGAGAAAGTAAATTGAGAATTATTGCCTGAAGACAAACTGAATTTGAACAGAGGTTGGGTGAGATATGCAAAATTCAGTTTACAGTGAAAGAGAATGCCAACTATTTAGGGACAGTCATGTATCCCTTGGGAAAAATCACACTAATAAGCACTAATGTGATAAAGTCTATGTCACAGCCCCAAACTTTTACTTTGTGTCAACATAGCTCACAACTACTTAGTGAACAGAATCAATCCATAAGAATTTGCAACTAAGTGAAGAGTTTAAATTTTGCTAATCAACCAACCCATCACACAGTAAGTTCACTTTTTTTTAAAATGTTTTTTTATTGATTTTTTTCGATTGAGAGGAAGGGAGAGAGACAGAAACATCGATGCGAGGGAAACATTGATCGGCTGCCCCCTGCACACCCCACACTGGGGATTGAGCCCAAAACCCAGGCATATGCCCTGACCGGGAATCGAACCAGGACCTCTCAGTTCATGGGATGATGCTCAACCCACTGAACCACACCAGCCGGGCTAAGTTCACTTTTGAGTAAGTTCAATTTGACGGACACAGGAAAGAGGGATGAAGCCGAACAATGTCTCCAGATACTCTAAGGAACTGTGCACCAATGGTAAGATGTTCTGACCCTACCACAAGGTTAGGAAGTGTCCCAGAGTGCAAGTCTAATGAGCCTCCTCACTGGGCAGGTTTTGCCACAGTCTATCTTAGGCTCTTTGCCACTTTCAAGTTCTAGGTTTTATGTATATGAGAAAGAAACTTGTCTGTATATTTCCCTAAAGGTCTGTCTGAATACCACCAAGATTATAAAGAAACTTCAAAATACTTACCCGATGGAAGAATTTCTCTAATCTTTCTTTTAGGAGCTTGACACCTCCATCTTCCATGGATCTCAGAAATGTACCATTAAAAAGCTAACAGTGTAAAAGATTTAAAAAGTCAATTTCCTATGCCCTTCAAGTACCCAGTATAACAACTTCTTCTTTTTCCTTTAGATTAATCGAGTAAGTATATGTACAAACTCAGTACTGTTCCAAAGGCCCCATTATTTCCTCCCCTAAATCAGATATACAATCACCTTGCAGTCATCTAAAGAATTAAGAATATTGTTTAACAACCCCTGTAAATACAGGTAACTGGCTAGATTAAATTCAGAAAGACTGTCAGGCTTACCTTGTACATGCTGTAGCACTGTTGGAGCACTGAACTATAAACCTTGTCCTACAAACAACACAAAGACAGAACAAATCTCAAGTCGAAAGGAAAAAAGTTCTGTTACGTAGCAGAGGTACAATGACTCTTGGCAAAGCAATATAATACTTATAAACTTGATCACATAATAGTTGTATGCTGAAAATAGAGATATTTAAATTCAATTATAAACCAGTAAGCCGAATTTTAGGAGAGATTTAAACATGGATGATTAGAAGGCATTAGTGAGACATGGTACATGTACATTTCTGTAAGACTGTACTAATGTAGACAGTAGACATAAAGCCTCACTATGTGTGCCCTGAGAAACTTGTGTAAAGCAACATAGCTTAAAACTGACCAAGTCAGTCACTCAACATAGTTAGTAATAAATGTTTTTCTAAAAATATGAAATGAAAAATGACATTACCAACAACTCCTCCTCTTGGTATTCAATAACTGGTTTTCCATCTTTACTTTGCTTTTCAATGATAGGATTCCGAACAACCTACAAAATTTGATACACTGAAATTATACAATGAATCAATTATAAGTTTTAAAATTTCCCCTAAATTTAAATATTTGAACACTGTTACAACAACAAAAACAAATACACTGAATAGGAGTTTGATTGTAAAATTGTAACCTATTTTATTGTAATTTTATTTTCATGCAATGGCCAGAGGACTTTCCTAAATTCTTAACAGTAAAGATCACACATAACTTTACTATACAAATTTAAAAAGATGTATTGTGTATGTAAATACCATGACCATCCAGAAATTTTCTTCTGGTTCATTGAAGAACTGTCTATTCTTCTGTGTATGTAAAGATTTTGCAGGTTTTGATGGACTAAAGGTCCTAAAAAGGTTAAAAGAATATGTTGGGGACAATTCTCCGGTATAAGCTGTAAGAATTCACTGAGCTTTGTGGAAAGCACATTTTAAAGGCATTACCTTGTAAACTGTACAATAGCTTCACATAACCCGACATTTCTAATTTTTTCATTCTTCTCTACTTCATTTGGGTGATAAAACAAAATTTTATTCTCCTCCTGAGCATGAAGAAACAGAATCACAACATGAATATAAACTTTTTTTTCATCTTAGCTGTTGAAAATGCTATGTTTAATGTCAACCACTTGTGTCATCTATGCCAAAGGCAAACAACAACAACAAAAACACTCCCAAACCAAAACCAAAACCAAAAAACCCTTTTTAGAAAGAGAATTCTCTTCTCGCTGTGCAAAACGCTCACCAGACTGGAAGACAACTGTGATACTCATGAAGTCACATGTCATCATCCTAAGTAGCGCTAGACAATTATTCTGAAACTCCCTCTTTGGAGTTCTTTTCTCAAGCTAATCTGTAATAGATACACCGATGCTTACAGGAAGTAACCGTGGGCGAGCTCACATGCACAGACGTACACCTCTCGGCAAATGGAACCCAGCAGGCTCACGAGCATTTAAACCGACTGCCTTTCAGGGGGCTGATTTGCTGCCAACAAAACCTAGCTCCGGACACCCTTTGAGGAAGTCACCGATCCCACCAAACACACACACACACCCCTCCTGGAACGGATTCTTGAGTAACCCGAAATGTTTCCTGGGGTCCCCGGAGCCTGCAGGGTCTCAGGGCTGCAGTCCCCCCGCTCCTCTTACTCGCTTCTAGCTTCTATAGCCGGGGACTCCGTTAACAAAGGCATTAGCTCAATTTTGATCACTCCAGGAGTGATGCAAGGGGAAAAGACTCAACCCGGGTGGCGTGATTAACCTGATGAACCTCCATTCAATACCCAGACACTGCTCCGGGACCCGAAACAGACCCTGCCTGCTCCGTCTGGTCCCCGCCGTCCCCCCGGACCCGGGCGCACACCCGGCACAGAGCAGCCCCGTCAAGGCTGCTCGAGGAAGGCGGAGGGGCAGGTGATCCCCGGCGCCGGCCGGCCAGGGCCGCCTCCCGGGGGCACCGCGCGGCTCCCCCGACGCCGCCTCGGCCGCCCGCTCGCAGCCCTGCCCCGCTCACCTCTCCCTCGCGCGGCCCGAAACGCGGGTTGTAGATGAAGAAGCTCAGCAGAGCCGGCGGAAACTGCTTCTCCTGGGCCGCCGCGGCCCCGGCCGCCGCTGCCGCCATCCCGGCCCGGCCCCCGACGCGGGAGCCTCCCTCTGCCGGCGCGACTGCCGCCTCTAGGAAACCGCACTTCCGCCTCGCTCGCGGTCGCCCCGGAAGTGGTCGCTGCCAGCCCGGAAGGACAAACCGCAGGCCGGCGCGCCCGGGCGGGCGGGTTCCTGGGCAGGTGTTTCTCGTACGCGAGGTTACGGCCACAGTGAAGTGGTGCTGCTGTGGCCGGCGCCCAGATTTCTGTCCCGGGTCAAGGGAATGGCTGCTTGTTTAAAGAAAGATGGGCGGAGCGGAGCGTTTTGTAGAAGGGAGTGTGAAGGCGCCCAAAGCCCCTGCGTGGAAGGAAACACGTGCGGGCATTCAGCCGGCGGTTTGCCGGTCTTCATCTTACAGCCTCCCTTCGAGTACGTAAGGGTTTTGTGGGGTTTTTTTTTCATCCAAGGTTGAGACACCCAGGTGACCGTGGATCCGACCGAACCGACAGGACTGTGCACACCCCCAACTCCTCTGGCCCCGGGAAGCGAGACTCCTGCACATCTGAAGGCGCTGCCCAGGGGAGGCACTGCGTGTGCCCCGAATAGGACCGGAGCGTGGTGCCCTCCAGAGAGCCAGCCCTCTGGCCTCGGCACACAGGGCATCACCCTTTCCAGCTTTTAGGATTCACTTGCTTTGCAGTCCTGTGGATGGTGGCACAGTTGGGATGGCTCGTTGCTTCTGGGATTTGGCATTCAAGCCCCCGCGGCCGACTGCTTGGCCAAACTCGAGAAGACTTTGGTTTACGTTGCCTTGTGTCAACCGATGGTTGTTGGTGTAGGTTCAACTCTAATAGGAACCCCCAAGTTGGGGTACAGTGAAGGAGGAGAATGGATTCAAAACAAACAGCTCAACTGCCATACAGCACAGGTGTGGAGCAGCAGGGCAGTGAGGTGGCCCAGTGTTGCACCTTGGCCCCACCTCAGCAAGACAGCTGGGCTGGGCTGGGCTCCAGCCGTCTCTGCTCTGGTCCACTCTGGTTTGGCCCAGCCAGACAGCTTAAGTAGTGCAGCTCCAGCAGGAAAACAATCTTGGGTAGGTAAGGAAAGCCCATTCTGAGTCAGAGGGAAGCTGACTTATAGAGAGAGAAGTCCCCACCCCTGGTGTCTGATTGGTCCATTCTCATGCAAATAAGGACTCCAAACCCTGAGTTTGACTGGTGGGAAAGAACACTGTCCTGATTTATCCTAATGGAGGCACCCTGATTGGTCAGTGAAAATGCTAATGGAGCTAAACCTGTGCAGCTCCAATTGCGTGGAAAAAGCCTCAGTCCTATTGGTTGAGATAGGATTCCAGGAATTCCTTTAGCAGGTTGGCTCAGATGGCGGGCGGGCAGTTCAATGCAGATTTCTCCTTGACCTGTGGCTTGCTTAAGAGGCTCCTGTTTAGCAGGGCTGATAGGTCCTATTTTTAAATTTGGCCCAATTAGCCACCAAGAGCCCTTTGTGGTCTTTTCTTTCTGGTAGTTAACAGTCCTCTGTCACAGATTAAATTTAAAAACAGTACTTCTTATCCAGCCTGGCAGAGTAGGTCTTCTCACTTAGGGGGACCGTGTTGGAATTTGGACCCGAGCCAGATCTGAGTTCTTATCCTAGCTCTGTCACTCACTAGGTGTGAGACCTTGGACTGATTACATAACCTTTCTCCAGTATATCTCTCTTATTTGTAAAATGACTAATAGTAAATGCTTTCCTTGAAGATTTCACCATAAAAATTAAATGGGACTGTGAATTGGATATCTAGTGCCCAGTACTTAATCATTATTCAGCAAACAATTACTATCATTACTTGCTCTTTAAAGACTTTCCCAACATATGCAAATCAATGTATAGGATACACCACATTGAGGGGTAAAAATCATATGATCATCTGAGTAGAAGAGAAAAAGCATTTGACAAAATTCAACATCCTTTCATGATAAAAACTCAACTGGTACAGAAGGATATACATCAACCTAATAAAGGCCACATGTGACAAGCCCAGAGCTAACATGTTCAACGGTGCAAGGTGGAAAGCTTTTCCTCTAAGGTTAGGAACAAAACCAGCCACTTTTATTCAACAAAGTACTGGAGTCCTCATCCATCCTCAAAAGAAATAAAAGGCATTCAAATCATAAAGGAAGTAAAATTGTCTCTGTTTGCAGGTAACGTAGCCTTACAACTGAAAAGATGCTCAACATCACTAATCACTAGGGAAATTCAAATCAAAACTACAATGAGCTATCACCTCACTCCTGGTAGGTCTATTTTCAAAAATGAGAAAACAAATGCTGACTCGGATATGGAGAAAAGGGAACTCTAGTGCACTCTTGGTGGGAATGTAAATTGGTGCAGCCACTTTGGGAAACAATATGTAGGTTCCTCAAAAATGTAAAACTAGAACTACCTATGACTCAGCCAATCCCACTTCTGGTTATATATCGAAAGGAAATAAAATCGTTTTCTAGAAGAGACATTTGTACTCCCATACTCATTGTAACATTCACAATAGCCAAGGTATGGAAACAACCTAAGTGTCCATGGACAGATGAATGAATAAACAAAATGTGCTGCATATGTATACATTATTCAGCCATGAGAAAGAAGGACATCCTGCTGTTTATACAGCAAGGATGAGTCTGAAAGGCGTTATGCTTAGAGAAATAAGTTAAAGAAAGATGAATACTTTATGGCATCATATGTGGAATCTTAAAAAAAAATAAAGTCGAACTCAAACAGAGAGTAGAATAATGGTTGCCAGGGGCTAGAGGGTGAGGGGAAAAGGGAGAGGCTAGTAACAGTATAAACTTTCAGTTATTAGATGAATATGGTCTGATGGTCTAATGTACAACATGATGACTATAGTTGATAATGCTATGTTGTATAATTGAAACTTTTAAGATAGTAAAATTATGTTTTCAAGCCCCCTCTCCCCAAAAAAGTTATGTGGGGTAAGGAATGTGTTTCTTAGCTTGATGGTGGAGATCCCTTCACAGAGCATATGTACATAAAATCATCACACTGTACACTTTAAATACATTACAATTTTACATGGCAATTATACCTCAATAAAGTTGAAAAAAGAACTTGTAAACTCAAACTTCCAAAGGAATGAGATGTAGGACGGGCATGCTTTTGTGGGAGAAGGGAGCACAGTTCCAGGTAGAAAGCCACAGTTCCAGGGGGGGGAGGTTTGGTCATGATATAACAGACCCGTGAGTCAGGTCGCTGAGACTCTGCCATTCAGAGGTGACTGTCATCCTAAGGGTACATCTCTCCCCTGCAGTGAAAATTGTCCTCAATCCCTGTCTCCTGTGATCGCCTAAAAGGATTTTCAAAATCATGTAATTCTTTTTATTAAAAACAATGAAAAATCTGCTGAACAAAATTAACCCAGAGACATAGAGGTGGGGTGCAGACTGACAAACCTCAGAGGAGGGGAGGTTGGGGAGGGAAGAGATTAACCACAGAACTTACATGCATGTATGCATGACCAATGAACATAGACAACAAAGCTGGAGATGGGGCAGGGTGGGGGAAGGGGAGGAGTGTGTCAATGGGGGAAAAATGAGAAACATCTGTAACAAAAACAAATTAATAAATAAAAAATTAAAGACAAAAATTGGGTAGCTATAAAACAATAATGAGCCCTGGCCGGTTTGGCTCAGCGGTTAGAGCGCCCGCCTGCGGTCCGGAGAGACCCGGGTTCGGTTCCCGCTAAGGGCATGTACCTTGGTTGCAGTTTGTCCCCGGCCCTGGTTGGTCGTGCGGGTGGCAGCCACTCGATGTGTCCCTTTCACATTGATGTTTCTCTCTCTCTCTCTTCCTCTCTCTCCCTCCCACTCTGTCTGTACAAAAAATGGAAGAATGTCCTCGGGTGAGGATAAAAACAAAAACAAAACAAAAAAAACAATAATGAAAAACCTGAAGCAAACTGTATATCAGGGTTCAATTGGAGAACAAGAACTAGACAAAAATATATTCATATATATGTATAGTATGTATAATGTAATTTTTAGGTGTTTACTACATGTATTATGCTATTATGTAGCCCTGTAATATACTGTTATATACAAGGGTGGGCAAAAATAGGTTAAATTACCAGCTATCATTACCTAAAAGATAAATCATAAATAAGGGTATGAAATAATAACAATATCATAAGAAGACGAATAATACAAATAAGTAATACAACAGTTAATAAATAATAAAAGAATAAACTGTTTTGCGTACTCACAACTGTAAACCGACATTTGCCAACCCCTGCGTGTATCTGTATATATTGCAGTGTGCTTGTGAGAGCTAGTTCAACAGTCTCCATAAGGCTGTTGCTGTCCTCCAAGGCCTGCAGAGCAGGCAGTCAGGGGAGGACGATGGGTATAAATGGGGAGCGTGAGGAACCCATGAGGACAGACTGGAGTTCATGTCAGTCTCCCACGGCCCTCAACTCTGACAATGGGGGGGGGGGTCTTCCAGGAAAAGCTGGTGTCCTTGTCACAGAAAAAAAATATACACCTGGAACTGGGAGCTGAAGGAGGAGCCCACACCAAGGAGGGGAGCCCAAATATAAGTGATGACCCCACACTGACCTCCAGAGACTAAATACTTTGGCTGCTGCCTCACCCCACCCTCTAAATCTCAGGCAAAATGATTCTCGTGGCCCACCCGAACTGGTACCTACAGCATAAGCTAGTTGGCATATTACTAAGCCACTAGACAGTTCATGCCAAGGTTTAAGAAGGTGAGGGGGTAGGCCCACAGGTGTTTATGTCGCTGCGTATTCTCATCTGGATGCTTCAAATACTTTACAATGAACAAATTAAGGTGTGAATCCATACAGTCATTGTAGAAGTTCTATGAAAACAATGTCAAAATTCACTCCCTGCCCAAAAAAAGTTACTTTTGGAAGCCAGTTAAGACATACGTAAATGAATAGCCTTTCCAGTGATTAAGTTAACAGGCCCGATGGAAACGACCCTGGTGATTCCAATTTCATCTGTCTTCTTAAGTGTTTGCAAGGTAATACCATACCTCAGTATGAGCAGAGGAGATAGAAGATAGGTTTTTGCTTGAAATTGGATTCCTGAGTACTCATTACACAAAATTAACTGCAGTTGTTACCCAGAATTAACTATGGAGCTCATAAACCTGAACAAACAGACAAATATTTCAGAAATCTTCACTGTTTTGCTATACTTTTTACTTGAGCCGGAAAGAACTGTGAAAACCTCTACATTAAAAAAAAAAGCACGTGAGTAGTTCGTCAGGTGCTATGCTGGAGCAAAACACCAAGTGATGTTCGGAGCATCTTCATCACTCATAAGCCTCAACAGTTAAACACACGCATGACGCTGGCATTGGGATAATATTTTACTAATTATAGAGTACACTACCGAACTATAAGCCAAAATGATAAGAAAAAATAGTCCAAATTAAAGTCACTGTTGCTTCCCTATTTTATAAGCAGTTAGGAAGACACCAGGTTTTTCAGCTCTCCAACCGGTGATGCCATCTAGACCCCCATTTCAAAGTCAAAATACATCATTTCTCTGCTGAGGACGTGCTCTCGAGGAGGGGTGGTGGTCACCTGCAAATGAGGTAAACTGAGAAAACAACCATGAAAATGAAGTTGTTTGGGTGCCTGTCAAGTCCTTTTCTGGGCTGTTGGGATTTTATTTAGGGTTTTTCCAAGTCCTGATTTGACTCTGGATATGTTATAGTTAAAGGTTCCCCTGGTATATAAATTACAGTCGAGTCTAAAATGAGTAGAAATTTCAGGAACATAAAAGTACTCAGGGCTTTCATTCATTTGAAGTGTGGGGTGAACGTTTTTTTAAAATCAGAATGCGTTGTTACTTTGACTTCATGACAATAACTGGGTAAATGCGACATGTTGGTGTTTAATTCTCTGTAATTACTAAGCTCTGCTTTTGCAAGGACTCCAGTCTTATCTCATTGTTCTGTAATCCTGCCAGCTGGAGATCATACTGTTGCCATTTTGCTGTACAGCCTTTCTCTCTTTTTTCTGTGGCAGTACACACTGAACAGGACCCATTTAAAAATGAATTGCTTTGTATGAAATTGATATAGTGACTAAAGGCGGGTAGTTTCTGCAAACATTTTTTTTTTGTTTTCAAATCATACTTTACCAAAGATTTGGAAATGCTAATGTTTCTGCAATATTTAAACCTAAAACAACAACGACAGACAGTGCTAATTAACAATGTGGTCAAATGCCCAGAGCCATTGTTACCAGCACTCAGGTGGAATACCCCCCCCCTGCCCCCCCTGAGACCTGAATCCAAACAACAGAATTAAACATCGATTTGAGTAAAGACAAGATTATTGTTTCGTTTAAGCATACCACCTGACATTTTTTGGGTGTTAAATATGGAGAGATGTCTCCTTTGATTGCTATTTCTGGTCTATTGGCAGAGATTCTAAAATTAACTTCCTAAAACCAGGTTGGAAGAATGAAAAAGTACTATATTTGAAATGGCAAAAAATAACTTGAATTATACCTTTGAAACAGTAGAGTGAACAAAATTCATGAATAACTGACCATCATTCTGTCTATGGAAAATTTGTGGCAATTTATCCTCTTGTATACATCTGTCCTCTAAACATTTTCCCCAAGACAGAACATCAGTACCACCCAATGACACAGCGTCCCATGGGTGCTCCAAATAACCCTTCCAGTCATTACCCTGAACAGATGTCCTTCTGAGTGACAGGAAAGAAATAAGAGAAACCCATGATCTTGGGGGTAAGGTGGCCTTTGCTGGTTTAAAGGGTATTGGGAGGCTTTGAATTGACTAATCAAAAGCTCATGGTCACTATTTTTTTTTTTTAATCCTCACCAGAGGATATTTTTCCATTTATCTTCAGATAGAGTGGGGGTGGGGGGAGAGAGAAATATTGATGTGAGAGAGAGACATCAATTGGTTGCCTCCTGCACGACCCCAACCAGAGCTGGGGATCGTACCACAACCGTGGTACATGCCCTTGACTGGAATCGAACCTACGACTCTTTGGTCCGAGGGCTGATGCTCTAACCGCTGAGCCAAACCGGCCAGGACACGACCACTATTCTTAAAGCATTGTCATTCACATTGTTTCTCTGCAGCACATGGTGGCCAGAACCCTTCAGGCGCAGGCTACAGGACCACTTTGACTACTCAGAGGTCTCCCCTTGCCGAGAAAGGCTAATGGGTGAACCCCAAATAAGGGAAGGATCCGTGTGTGGTGTGGAGGCGAAGGCCGAACGTGGTTTGTTTTAAGAGTCACGGCTCGTAGGTCATCAGCAGTGGCCAGGAAGGCCCTCTTGCCATCTCTGTTTCGAGGGGTTCACAAATGCCTCTGGGGACATTTTCACAAACCAAAAGGAGCTGGTGGGGGGACAGGAGCTGGGGGTGAGGGGAGGGAGTGCAGCCATGTGCGGGGAGAGGTGACAAGGGAGCTGGCCCCCCGAAACGACAGTTTTGTTCTCTGGCTCTCCCCAACGAGTTCTTCCTTTATGAGCTGTCCTTCCCCATTTTGACTCTACCCCCCCATTTGAAAACTACCTTTGTGATTTTTGTTCCTCCAAAGACCATCTCTAACATGACTCGTTCTTCAAATCCATCACTCTCAAATGTCTAATACTCCCCTTAGCCTCGGCCTAAAACACTGAAACCATGTGTTTGTGCTTTGTTTTTTCTGATGCATGTTAAAACAAACACACGGTTATTAAAGTAAAATCACCGTGAGGCCCCTAGTAGTCCATGCCCCCATAACTTTGAAAAGATCCTCCAAAAACCAGGTTCCAAGTCACTGAGTGATTCAGTGGGATGAAAGAGCCCAGGGCCTTGTGAGCTTGGGCACTGGGGTAAAAAGTGAGTTTTTAGAGGGGTGCCCAGGAAAATGCCTAGGTTTCTCCCAGGAGTCCTGAACCCCCCAGGGTCAGCCAGAGAGAACAGCATCAACCTGCCACCTGGAGAGCAGCCTAATGAGAATTTCCTGGCCAGAGCTCACCCCACCCCAACGCAAACCCTGTAACAGGACCCCCCAGGCTCGCCTCAGATGTTAGGCAATTCTCGGTGGAATTGGTTCAGGTGGTATCAAATGCGAGCCAGGAAAATAGTGGCCGAGGAAGGGGAGGGGTAGGCGGCAGGAGGCGACGAGGCTCGGATAGCTCGCTTTTCTAAGAAAAGAAGTCTGCAAACCGGCCTGTTTGTGCTCACCTGGTCAACAGGCCTCCCTCGCCTCGCCACCCACTGTAGCCTCACATTTTTTGTACCGTTTGCTTTCACTTAAAGCCTCTCTTATGGAAATCTAACACCCAGAAGCAGAAAACACATCTCAAGAGTGGTTTTATGCTGGCTGAAATCTCTTCCTATGAATTTCCCACTCAGATAAATCAATGAGAAAAAGCCTAGCTCGACAATGCCACTTATTTCTTTCGACCTGTTTTCCTGTTCGCTCATGCACAACACAGACCTTGCTTGCTCAGTGCTTGATAGGACCCGGCATCTTTCTAAGAGTCGCCCAGCTGCCTCCATCCAGCTCTCTTCCTGAGGAAAAAACCACACCCACACATCAGCGGATGATGAGAAACGCGTCTTTATTGGATGATTTTGAAAGGCATTGTCTGCTGAGGGCCTTACGGGAGTCATGGGGCATACCCACCACCAAAAAGTCATGGGTGACGGTCTGTTACCTCGCTAAAACACCGAGTAAGTCGCAGGAGCATTCCAGGGGGAATTAACAAATTGGGGGGGGGGGCTTTGCCATTTTCCTGGGGTTTTGGAGGACTTCCAGCTGATTGTGTCTATCTCCATAGTCTGGAGTCTAAGAATGTACCATTTCCTGGAATTCTAGAACAGAAGAGGTGAGAACAGGGTCAGTGGGGACAGCCAGGTACTTTACAGAGCTATGGCCTGTGAGGGTTCTGAAGAGGAAAGGGGGGAGGGCGAGGGGCCAGGTGATGGGCGTGGCCCCTCAAAGGGCAGGACAGGGAGAGAATGGTCACTGACTGCAGGTCCAGAGGGTCTAAGGGTTTCCTCTTCCTGCCTAATCTACTGTAACACACTTCTTTGGCTTTGTGGTACAGCCCTCGCATTAGAACCTGTCAAGCAGTCATCTTTCTGGGAATGAGTGGATTCGGTGCAATGGCCAATCACAATCTGTGATCTTCTAACTTTCTGTCTGGTCAGTGTAAGACAGACATGGGAGGTTTTCTTCTGTTCTGTACCTACATTTTGCATTTTTAGGGAACACTTCATAGGGTGGGACTTTGAACTAACCTTTCTCTTTGACCCTAATTATACTCCCAAAAGTTTGTAATACTAAAAGATGATGATGATGATGTGTGGATACTACAGATAGGAATTGAAAACTGGGGGTTTACATCATATGTATCAGTAATTACTGCCTATTTGGAAGTCTTCCATGGTTAGATTTTTTCAAAAATCAACCTTTCCTTACCTAAACTGTCTTCCTGAGTTATTTATAGAAGCGACATTACCTCCCCATGTGGTAAGTTAGGGTGGCATCGTTGTGATTAGGTTTTAAAAAGAAAGATCTGAAGTAGCAGTTTTTAATTTCAAATTAATGCCACCATAAGGACCACGCACAAGTTCCCCATGCCCACAAAGTAGCTCACCAGCTGGAGAGCAACATGACCAAGTCAGAGAAAAACAACACCGGAGCCAGGCAGTGATGCCAAAATTGGAGTACGGGCTCCGCACACGGAAGACTCCATAAATGTTGTTTGCATCGGTTTGTGTGTTCTCTAATACTGTCCACTTGGTGGGCTAATATCCAATAAAACATATTTGTTTAAACCCTTGACAGCTAAGAGTCTTTACTACTCTAGACAAGAGACCCTTTAAAGTATGAGACACTCTTGAGAATATCAATCCTTCCCTTATTCAGAGGGGCTCAAATACCTCGGGTAAATTTCTTACACTGTCTCCAAGGTACATGAAGGTGTCTTGCACGTAATGGGCCAGGCAACTCGCTAGTCCTCCAATCAAGTAAAGAATATTTTCTGGTTCATAGACAATGACCAGCGGGACCAGCTTCTCTGGTACATCCCCAGGCATTATGCCAGAGTCTTTCCTTACATCGTTGGTACCCTCACTTTAGTCCCATTTTACAGATGAGAAGACTAAGACTCAGCAAGGTTAAGCAAGGGGCTTTTAAACCACATCCACCTGATCTCATGGCCCAAGCTAGTCTTTTATGCTCGGTGTGGGTGTGAACATACCATCGGCCCCAATTTTTCCATCTCCGTCATTGTCTGCAGCCGCCAGCAGGGACTTGGTTTCTGACTCAGTCAGCTCTCTAGCACCGCTCTCAAACTTCTGCAGGAAAAACCTACAGGATAATAGAGACCGAGGGGAATTTTCTGAGATCACACATGTCCCTGCTTACCCTTGTTCTTCCTCTCGAAGCGACAAATCACCTGTTCCCAGCAACTGTGGTCATCGGTCAAGGTCTTAGTAAGCACAGGTTTCCTTCATTGTAGAAAGTACTGCCGGGCATTTTGTTTCTGAACGTGTTTTCAGAGTTTTGTTGATACGTCCATTTGCCAAAGAAAACCCCTAGAGCCAGTGAATCTCGGCACCTGCGGTCTTAGGGGCCCGTGTTTGGATGGGTGGCCAGCCGACTCGTGTCCTCCCTTTCTTGAGGCTCTTTCCAATGACTGGTCTCAGGGCCGGCCAATGAAGAAACACCGAGCACCTGGCCTCCCCTGCACCCCAGCCCCTCTAACAATGTCGGGGTGCCAGACGGGCTTAGGACAAAGCTTACTTAAGCTCTTCTTCATCCAGGTATCCGCTCTGGTCGTTGTCTATGAACCGAAAAACATCCTTCACCTGACTGGCCGACATCTTGGAGAGGCCTGATGTCTGGAAGAATTTTTGAGGTTCGAAAGTATCTGGGTCTGAAGAACAGAGAAGGGGTTATTCTGGTGCTCGCTGGGTCACATCCCATGTTTGGGCCAAGTACTGAAAACATGGGCTATTAAAAATTCTGCTCATAGTAACCCTGGGCCACAGGGAGGCTCTACTAAAAAAAAAAAAAGTCCTGGCCGGTTTGGCTCAGTGGTTAGAGCGTCGGCCTGCGGTCCGGAGAGACCCGGGTTCAGTTCCTGCTAGGGGCATGTACCTCGGTTGCAGTTTGTCCCTGGCCCTGGTTGGTCGTGTGGGTGGCAGCCACTCGATGTGTCCCTTTCACATCGATGTTTCCCTCTCTCTCTCTCCCTCTCTCTCCCTCCCACTCTATCTGTACAAAAAATGGAAAAATCTCCTCGGGTGAGGATAAAAAAAAAAATTTAAAAAAAGTGTTTTTAAAGACAAGAGGGCTGCGACTGGTTCAGATTTTTAAGTAGCCAAGACTGGATAGCTTTGGGTATCATCTCCCGTCCGTCTCCGCCCGCCCCCAGGTTCCCTCTCCTCTGCCCCTCTGGGCCTCCTCCTGCCCATTTTACAAGTGTGTCTCCAAGACTCCGCGTCACTCGTCTACTCGGGGAGGGAAAATGCAGTCACCGGAGTCAAACAGGCTACTTGGCCGTCACGGACCTCTCTTCTCGCTTTTAGTTACTCTTGCCTTACAGAAATGTCACCATACACTCAGACCTCAGATCCCTATAACTTTAGTTAATAACAGTTTTATTCTCCAATCCCATGACTCTTCATCAAAGTTCACATTTCAAATGTTTGTGGCTTTGCCGGAAGTGCAGCTACGTGAGAAAAACCCGCCCATGCCTCAGTTGCCCTTACCTTGGCACTCCTGCAGGGCCGCCGCGATGTCATCCGCACTGAGGACGTCCGTGATGCTCATTGTCCACCTGCTCACACAGAATAAACAACGTCTGGTGAGGGGTGAGCAGAGACATGCACGTCCGGAGGGAGTTCCTCTTTGGCCCCCGGAAACAGTACCTTCCTTGAGAACTTTTAAAATGTGATAAGTGTGGTATTAAGTGATAGGACAGAATCGCCGCATAAAAACCAAATACTGAAAAGATCCCAGCCTCCTTCATCTCAGGCCCTCTCCTGAATGTACCCCAAAGATGAAATTAAAAGCACATCCTAAAGACCAATTTGATAGTTACATAATTGACCACTTAGGTAAGCATCTACAAACCATTCAAAAGTAAACCATGTTACAATTGCAATAGCGTTTTCCTACACCAGCCGGAGAGATTCACTGTTGCAAACTACATGAAAGGACAGAGCTTGGGCTGCGGGTAGACCTTCTGTGGAAGAGGTGCGACTCCTCCTGAAGGACGGGAATCAGAGACATGAAAAGCCCATCTACCAGAGATCAAAATCCTCCCAGGTGTCGACGCCACAGGAAAAGAAATCTGAGCACAGCATGCACCAGCCTAATATAAATGCACGTAGGAAAGAAGAGTCTGGGGTCTGGTAGGTCCACCAGCTACTCACCGTTTTAGATTTTCCCTCAAGAAGAATCAGAAAAAGATGAAGGAGCAAAAAAAACGGATGTGCTTTTGTGTCCTTACTGACCTACCTTATATAGGATTGAAAAAGTGATAGTAAGAACCTCTTAGATTTCCTTTTCAAGGATCAAATGGACGTAGCTCGAATGTCTTACCTTACTAATTAAACCTCTATTTTTTCTATTTATATCTCAAGGGAATGTGGGTGGGAACAGCCAATTTTTAAAACCAAACCTCAACCAAACTTAACTAAGGTTTCAGGTCTGCAAATGAACCCCTCTGGCAAAGCATGGAGAAGATACTAGAGGCCTGGTAACGAAGGGACAGTGGCTGAAATGAGGTAAACACATGTGGGGGTGCTCCATAGACTACAAAGGCCACCCCAGAGATTAGTGGCTGCCATCTGAGGCAGGTCTGTTGTCAACCTTTGAGACTGCGACCATGTGAGGCCGACCTCAGTCTGGAGTTGAGAATCAAAGTCAGTAGATGACTTTCCAAAAAAGCCTTGACTTTGATATTTCCCAGCTATATCTTAAATTGCACACGCTAACAAGACAACAAAGAGGGAAGAAACCACCAGCCATTCCCAACCTCATAGCTGACATTGGCATAAAATATATGAGACCAGGACTTGAGGCCGCAGATGATTTTTGCTTTGAGCAAACACTGAGTCCCCTCTATGGCCAGGGCTGCACTAGACTCTTTATTATTATTATAGTTATTGTTGTTGTTGTAAAAGTAAAAAAAAAAGACACATACCATGTAATTTACTATCTTAATCATTTTATATTTACTTTTTTTTTATCCTCACCCAAGGACATTTTTGCATTTATCTTCAGATAGAGCGGAAAGGAAAGAGGGAGGAAGGGAGAGAGAAACATCGATGTGAGAGAGACACATCGACTGGCTGCCACCCACACAACCCCTTGGGGACGGGGACAAACTGCAGCTGAGGTACGTGCCTTAGCAGGAACCAAACCCGAGGCTCTCTGGTCCGCGGGCTGACGCTCTAACCGCTGAGCCAAATCGGCCAGGGCTCTTAATCATTTTTAAATGTACCTATAGTACAGTAGCATTAACTACACGCACATGGTTGTACAAAAGATCTCTAGAACTTTTTCCTCTTGCAAAACTGAACTCTATACCCATTGAACAAGAACTCCTATTCTCCATCCGCCCGGCCCCTGGCAACCCCCATTCTGCTTTCTGTCTCTAGAAGTTTGACTACCTGAGATGTCTCCTACAAATGGGATCATGGTGTGTTTGTCTTTTTGTGGCTGGCTTATTTCCCTTAGCGTAATGTCTTCAAGGTTCATCCATGTGGTTACATATGTCAGAATTTCCTTCCTTTTTCTAAAGGCCGAATCTAAGTTTTTTAAAAGTCAAAAGACAATCCCATGTTGCAATCAGAAGTACTCAGTGGCTTAGAAGTCGACAGTTCAGGAGGGCTAGAGAGAGGCCTTAGACTCCTCCCTGTGTAACTAGATCTGGATGGTCATTTTCAATTCGTTCCAAATAGATGCCCCCACCGCCACCCCGGCATTGTGCTTTAGCTGGAGTCATCAGGGAAAAGTTTCTCTCAGGAACATCTACAGTCTTTCTTGAATCACCAGACCTCAGGCCAGCACCATCTCCGTCCTGCCCACATTGTATGCCCCAATGCCCACTATACTGGGCCCAGCTAGGTGCTCAGTAATCATTTGATGAGTAGATACATAAAACCAGCAAAAAAACAAAACAAAACAAAAAAAAACCACCCAAATTTGAAAAGAGCGTTACCAGCCGGCATCAACTTGCCTAGTTCTTTTTTTTTTTAATCCTTACCCACGGATATTTTCCCATTTATCTTCAGACAGAGTGAGAGGGGGAGAGAGAGAGAAACATCAATGTGAAAGAGACACATCGACTGGTTGCCTCCCGCATGACCCCAACCAGAGTCAGGGACTGAAACTCATCCAAGGTATGTGCCCTTGACGGGAATTGAACCCAGGATTCTTCAGTCCGAGGGCCAATGCTCTAACCACTGGGCAAAACTGGCCAGGGCAACTTGCCTAGGTCTTAAAAAAAATAGTTTCTGAAAATAAATCTTAAGAGTTTTGAGTTAGGTTTCTGACATTAAGTTGCCATGGAAACTCTCTGAGTCATTTTTTTTTTCTTTCTTTTTAAAATTTATTTTATTTCATTTTTTGGTGAATCCTCACCTGAGGATATGTTTCCATTGATTTTTCAATAGAGTGGAAGGGAGGGAGGGAGAAAGAAACATCGATGTGAGATACATCAGTTGGTTGCCTCCAGCATGACCCTGACCAGGGCTGGGATCGAACCTCCTACCCAGGTGTGTGCCCTTGACCGGAAATCAAACCCGTGACCCTTTTGGTCCATGGGCTGATGCTTTAACCACTGAGCCAAACTGGCCAGGGCTGTTTATTTTTTTCATGGAAGGGTTTATGATTGTTCATAGAGATAAAAAAAAAAATCTTCCCACTTAAATGAAAATAGGATATAGGTTAAACCAAGACACTCGAGGTTTTCATGTTTTTTTTCTGATAGAAAATAAAGATAGCAGAGACCCAGTAAATGTCATCTGAATCAACAGGTAGCCAAGATTATGACTTGAATTCCATTGTGTGCAACCTGAGGTTAAAATGTTGATTCTTACAAAAGGACAAATAACATTTTTTTCTTTTTCTTTTTTTTTGTGTGATATGTGCCCCCTAGCAGGAACCGAACCTGGGACTCTCTGGTCCACAGGCCGACGCTCAACTGCTGAGCCAAACTGGCCAGGGCTAAGGAATGGGGTAGTCCCAGAGACGTGGAAGTGGGGTACAGACTGACAATCCCCAGAAGAGGGGATGGGGGAGAGATAAACCACAGAACTTATATGCATGTATGCATGAACAATGGACATGGACAACAAAGCTGGGGACAGGGCGGGGAGGGACAGGGAGGGGTTGTTAGTGGGGGAAAAAGGAGAAACATCTGTAACAAAAATAAATTAATTAATTTAAAAAAAACCAGAAATCCCTCGGAAAGAGAGAAATACTAAGAATCAAAAACAAACAAACAAAAACCAAAGGACAAATAACGTGTGATTCCACTAATGTGAGGCACCTGGAGTTAAGCTCACAGAGAGAGAAAGCAGAAGGGTTGGTGTCGGGCGCTGAGGGAGGGCGCTGATGAGTCCTTGTTTAATGGGGACAGAGTTTCGGTTTGGGGAGATGAAAAGTTCTGCGGATGGATGGTGGTGATGGTTGCACAACAATGTGAAAAGCCACAGAACTGTGCCCTTAAAATTGGTTAAAATGGCCCTGGCTGGTTTGGCTCAGTGGTTAGAGCGTCGGCCTGTGGTCCAGAGAGACCCGGGTTCAGTTCCCGCTAAGGGCACGTACCTCGGTTGCAGTTTGTCCCCGGCCCTGGTCGGTTGTGCAGGTGGCAGCCACTTGATGTGTCCCTTTCATGTCGATGTTTCTCTCTCTTCCTCTCTCTCCCTCCCACTCTATCTGAACAAAAAATGGGAAAATGTCTTCAGGTGAGGATAAAAAAAACCAAAAAAACAAAAATAAATAAAAAATGGTTAAAATGGTAAATTTCATGTTATATATATTCTAACCAAAATTAAAAATTACTGGTTCAGCCCTGGCTGTTTTGGCTCAGCGGTTAGAGCGTCGACCTGCGGTCCTGAGAGACCTGGGTTCGGTTCCCGCTAAGGGTGCGTGCCTTGGTTGCAGTTTGTCCCCGGCCCTGGTCGGTCGTGCAGGTGGCAGCCACTCGATGTGTCCCTTCACATCGATGTTTCTCTCTCTCTCTGTTCCTCTCTCTCCCTCCCACTCTACCTGAACAAAAAAAAAATGGGAAAATGTCCTCGGGTGAGGATAAAAAAAAAAAAAAATTACTGGTTCATTACTGGTAGTCTTCATTATGTTGGCTGCCAATTTACAGCTGCTCCCCGGAAAGAGCAGACGGATGATGTGGAAGTAGGTCTTATTTGGAGCCCAGGTCTGTTGTGTACCAGCAGTGGGCCCCTGGGACTCAGTTTCTTCTTGAAAACAGGAGTAATGCAAGTACCTGCTCTGTCAGCCAGGGCTCTTCTGAGGACCAAGGGATCAAGTGCAGATCTGCAAGAGTCTGGAGAGCTCCCGGAATCCCTTGTTGAATCCCACCCCTGTCCTGGGACAGCAAGAGGATTTTGTCTGTGTCTATTCTGCTCGATTGGTAGGGGCTTCCAGAGTGGAAGGAGTGGATGCTGGGATCCGCTAGCAATGTCTGCAGTGGGAAAGGCAGGCTGTGTGTGTCTGCTTTGCTGCTGCCCATAGCCCCGGACTCTCAGATCACACTTCTGTCTCAGATATTCTATTTGATGCTGTTCCAATTGACCACCTATTCCAATCCACATCCCCCAT